AAATCCTTGGCTTACCCACAGGCTGCAAACCTGATGGCTGTTTAGCAGTCTCTACTACACTGGGCTCACCAACAATGTCCTCCCTGAGGGAATTTCACAGTAGGGAAGGGCAGAATCTGGCCATATGCCTATCTTATTCACACAGGTCACATTTCCTCTTCTCTGCACATTCAGCAGCAGTGTGCCCTTCCCCAAAACAATTTCTGCAGCATAAACCTTTATCAAATGCATCGCTCAGGTGTCCAAATTGAAAGCCATTGCGGCAATATAGTGGCTGCCCAGGGTAAAAGATATCCCCTGTTCCCACCAATAGAAAAGTTCTGTGGTGGGTGTTTTAAACCACTCATTTCAGAAGGCTCCCGCTTCAAAACAACAAAATTTCCTCTTGCCATTGTAAACTCCAAAAGCATTAACCAGCTTAATTGGCTTGGAAAAAGCTGAATAGTATGTAATGAGAAAAGCCATAAGTTCTCAATCAGCAACAAAAGGGTTAAACATGTGAACACATAAGAAGAGCATCTTGGAAACCAGCACAAAGGGGAGAAAAGAAATACCTTGCAGCAGTGGGTCAGTTTCTTAATGATATTTTCTATTCATCACAGTGGTAACTTGATCCTGCTCCATGAAAGTGATGTCAAACATACCTCTTGCTGGGAAGTCCTGTAGGCAAAACAGCCAGGTTCTGGGTATCTTCAATAATCCTTCCAGGATCTCTCTTTGAACCATATGCAGACCAACAACACATCTTTTGTCTTCTGTAACCAACAGCCGAACTGTCTTGGGAATTGAGTGCACCCCTCTTCATTCTGGAAAGCCAAAAAGCTTAGCCATAGCCCAGCTCACCCCACAATAGCAGCATTTTCAGCCTGTATCCACACAGGGCAGACAAAGACCAAAATGCTATAGGGGAGACTGCAGCTACTACCACAACACTCAGACCGCAACCAGGACTGCTCTTGATCTTAGCCAAAAGGCAGAGAAGCGATAACTGGAATGGGCGCCCAGCTACTCACCTGCCATTCGCCTGGGCTTCTTCAGCTTTCCTTGCCACAGTACCACCTCTTCCTCATCTACGTGTAAACTGGTTAGGGATAGCAACAGAGACAGTCACAGCACATAACCTCGAAGCCCTTGAAACCCAGCTCCCCTTCTTAACCTTGTCCATTTGTCTTTATGCTCTCTCAAGACGTACCTTGCACCTCTCTCTCTCCAGCTGCTACCACTGAGCCTAACGAGGCTGCTGGATCACCTGGTCTGTTCCTCTTCAGCTGGAAGTAGGGTAGATTGAGCAACCAGCAGGTGCTTAATTGCTTGCTCTATCACTTAATCATTCAATTAAACCCTTAATTGGTTACTTAGATGTTGCTCTAATTTCCATCCAAAACGTTAGTGCTGTAATTGCAAAGACCAGCATGCTGCAGCAGATTTGCATACCACCGCCCACTTTTCAACATTGATAATGCACACTGCCAGCCAGCCAGCCAGCCAACAGAGTCCAACTGGATAGAAATACTCTGGCTTTATAATGTACTTGACGCATTTATTCAATGAATCAGGTGAACAGAAATGTATCGTGCACAGCACATGATGAATAATAAATCGGACAAGCTATCCAAATGAAATAACAGTTACCAAACATTGCTACAAGTGTCCATAATTGCAAGGAATGTTTTTGGTCGGTCCGTCCAGGCTTCATTCAGCCATGCCGCAGACAGGGGGAGGCAGAGATCGCACTTATGACAGAGAAAGCAGGAAAGGAGAACAAGTTTGCCTTCGTTTGCAGGTTTCCTGCATTTCTTTGCCACCCACCAAGTGAGAGTCCAGAGGCTTGCTTTTTCTTTTTCAATTCTATTTTTGTAACCAGCATAAGAGAGGTGCACCGGTCCTGGAGGTACTGCAATACCAGGTCAATGCTTGGAGTGGACAGAGCAAGCTCTTCTTCCATCTCCCTGTCCCAAAAATCCATTTAATATATGGTCCCCAGATAGGGGACGTATCAGATATTAAACTGATAAGAACAGATTTTTTTTTGATTTTTTTTATAACCACTCAGTCACAGAGTATTTCCTCCACATAAGATTCAAGGAATCTCTCGGGTAACATCCTCATGATTCTTGCATATAAAATAATTAAAAATAAAAGGAATTAAACATCACAGCAAACAAACCCCAACACCTTCCCACAACCCACAACAAACCACCCACCATATAAAACACTGCAAACAAAAAATCCAAATTCATACATTCAACCTTTCATATTTACCCCAATTTTTCTCCACCTAAACATAATATACAATCTTACCAACAACACCCACAGCCCACCACCCATCAATCGCAATACCCACCAATTTTTCTTTTTATTTCTCTAAAACAAAAATTCAAGAAAGAAAACCTCATTAATGCACAATTTACCATTCCCACCAATAACTATAAATACTCCTTATTCACAAAATTATTAGCAATTTACACATTAGTTCTAAAAATATACCCACCACCTACATTCTCTACGCACACCATTTTTTCCATTTTTTGATTTTCCACACTCCTTCAGCATCCATTTCTCCACTCTAACATTTCTCAAATAATATAAATATACTTTACCACGAACCATTCTCACACACATATCAACTGTTAAACATTCTTTCTTAAAAATCAGTAAAATTTCTCGCATCCCATATAGTTTGACATCACAATCCATAACACCCTTTCCTTTTTCAATCTTACACATACCAAATAACAAAACATCAAACGAAAAAACTGTAATACCTGTCAACCCCACAACAAACTTCAACAATTCTCTAACAAACAAACAGTTCCAAAATACATGCACCACATTCTCTCGCCCCCCCACACCCTTCTCTTGGACACATCTCAGACCTAGCCAAATTCCAATCATACTGAACTTCCCTTGTTGCTAAACAATTGTGCACCGCCATCCATACAATATCCCTCTGTTTACAATTTCATCCATTTTCTTCCAAACCTCTTTACATTGCCGTTCATTCAAACCACCAATCCCACATATATTCTCTCCTTCTCATCCAAAATCTTAAAAACAGCTTTCTTTTCACACCATACCCCATTTGACACCTCTTGCAAACCAAATTTCCTTATACACAAATCAATCCTCTTATAAAACCAGAGCTTTAAAACAAATCGGTTTAGTTCTTACAATCTCATACAAACCATACTTTCTCAAACACATTCCCGCAGCATACTTTAACATACATGCCACCATATTCCCTTTATTACATATTCTCACACATAATCTGACATAATGAATCATTAAAAACTTTTCTACATCCGGAACATCCATACCACCATTCTTAAGTTTCTTGACCACTATCTCTCTACTCAGTCTCTCCATTCTGCTACCCCAAAAAAACAAAAAATTATTCTCATCAATTTCCTCAGACTCCTATTATCAATTGGAAAAACAAAATTTACATATAGCATAATCGGTAGCAGAACCGCTTTTATAATCAAAACTTTACCCTCATATGACAGCACTCTACTAGACCACAAACCAATCTTCTGATTCACCCGACTGACAACCTTGTTCCAACTTGCTTTCCCTTTCAAATCATCATCAAACTTAACTCCCAAAACTTCAATTTCTTCTTCCACCACTGGCCAGCCACATAATTCCAACTCTCTCCACCGTCCAAAATCTCTACACGCACATTTATTCCAATTAACTCTGAATCCACTCACCAAACAAAAAATTCCCACAATCCACTTCACTCTTCTCAAACTAGCTTGCGTTCTACATACAACTGTAACATCATCCATATACCCGATAACCTTCATACACCTAGCACTACTACCCGGAATTTCTACACCTCTCACCACTTTATCATTAAAATTTCGCAATAAAGGTTCAATCACGCAAATGAAAAGTATAGGAGACAAGGGACATCCCTGTCCACTTGCACCACACTCTCAATTCCTTTGTATAAACATTTAATCCAATTTACCACTTTCAAAGGCAAACCCATCCGTTCCATACATGGTTCTTGGTTATCATGGAATATGAGCGCACCGGATATTGCATCCTCAGATGTGTCTGCATTAATGCATCCACAATAATCATCAGGAGTCTTACAATATCTCACTTTACACTCATAGGGGAATGCTGTACATTTAGCAAACGTATCTCTAATGTCACAATCTGGCGTACCTGTACCTTGGGCATTGATTGTACCTAACATCATCATGATTAAAAACAGTATACTATGCAATTTTATAAAGGTTACATTATCAAGAAACCCCAATCGGTTTGATTTAGTCCATGAAGTAATGTCCTCTCCAATCGCATTCATGAGAGCAGTCTTTTTGTCCATAGTGTCTTTTGATAGTCCAAACAATTTGTCCTTTTAAAAATTTAAACAGTCTTTGTCCATGAACAAACATTATTGATTCTGTAATGAAAAACAGATGGCAGTTTACTATTCTTATACATTTGTGAGTTTACATTGATCAATATGCACAAGACTTGCTTTATTACATTTCCTACCAACTTTTGCTTTTGAACCTGTAAGACAGTTTGTCCTAATTTCTTTAATATAACATAAGGTCCTTCCCAACCTGCCTGCCAGGGACCTGGTGTTCTAAATGATTTTACCATCACCTTGTATCCTGGTTTAAATTTATCTGCATAATTCCCCTGAGTTACATCTTTAACCCATTGTTTACCAGAAGGGGCCATATTCAAAGCAGCAAACTTCAAAACTGACTGCAGCTGTTCTTGTAATACTTTTAACCATTCAGCATGTTCTGCAGCAACTTTGAAAGTACTTGGAACAAAAGGTTCATTGGGGAAAGTAATTGGCATGGTTCTGCCTGTCATTAACTCATGAGGTGACACTTGCGTTTTGGAGTTGCACGAATAGACATTAAAACTCCTGGTAAGTGTTTTACCCAACTACTCCCTTTATCTTCAAGCATTTTTTTCAATCTAGATTTCAATGTTCTATTCATTCTTTCCACTATGCCAGCAGACTGTGGATGATATGGGACATGAAATCTTTGTTGGATCCCCAACAATTTACACATTTCTTTAAGTACTTCTCCAATGAAGTGTGGACCATTGTCAGATTCAATGATTCTGGGAAAACCCCATACAGAAAATACATATTTCCATAGCGCCTTACATGTTGTTAACGCTGTACAATTGGTAAGAGCTATACAATCCACCCATTTGGAGAATATAGCAACAATTACCAATCCGTACTTTAGTCCTCTTGGAGCTATAGGTAATGGTCCAATAAAATCAATTTGGATAGCGTCCCATGGTCCTTTTGCCAAAGGTACTCTCTGCAATTTTGGTTTCTGACCTTTAGGTCTGGGATTAAATTGAGCACATATGAGACACTCCTGTACTATATTTGTACACCATTGTTTCAAATTAGGATGATAAAATTTATTTTGCAGGACCTTAAACAAGTTTTCTGTACCCAAATGCCCCAGTGCACGATTATTGAATACAATTAACTCCTGCAATATATCACTAGGTACAAATGGTACAAAGGTTTGAGTTTCCTCATGTTTAATCCCGTACAAGCCAGTTTCAGTATCTAAATCCATTGTTTCTCTACTGAAAGCTACATCTTTACTCTGATTTTCTTTCAGATCCTGTACAGGATTTGATATTGGTCTTTTGCTCACAGTTGCAATCATTACATTTTCTGAGTATTGCAACTCTCCTATTAAAGCAGCTTCCTTTGCTCCCTGGTCTGTTTCCTTCTGCCATTTCATCCCCACTTTTCCTGTTTTGGTGTGCTTGAACTTTCACAACAGCACAAGTTAAACCTTTTTTTTTTTTTTTCTGCATAATTAAACAGTTATGCCAAAATACCTGCATGTTTTAAAGCTTTATCCTGTGAATCTACCATCCCCTGTTTTCTCCATATTGGGAGGTGAAGTTGTTACGGACCGTTTCGCTCATCAGAGGAGAAAAACCGTTTAGGCGATAATCCACTTTCCCATAGACCAGCAGCTACTGCAAGCATCAAACTCCCGAACTGCAAACTGTACGAATTCACCAACTCCCGAACTGGAAACACACGAACACTGGAATCAGCCCAACAGGAAAAGCATACAATCCGCTTACACTCCTGGCAGTCAGCATACAATCCAATTCCCCCCAAAAACAAGACGACACATCGGTTTGAGGGTCAAGCAGAATTCCCCTGTACTGTCACATACAGTCTCTTTTATTCCCAATCCACAAACATAGTACAGCCCACAGGGCGTTACAAAACAACCAATCAATCCGTACAATACACCCAGACACTCCCACACAAAATCCTCCCCTCTGCAGGTGATATGATTACTGAACACAATGGGTAATCTCATTATCACTGGCAGAGGAATACAGTTTTTACACAATATTTATAACTTCTAAAATATACATGTCACAAACATAAAACATACATTTTCATAATCAATCCATTCAGGGAAACAACATATTAAAAAATGGCACGAATCAGACCAGGGGTTCAAAAGTTAAGGGAAAGTCCTTTGTGACTAAATGAAGCATGGCTTTCTGGCCCAAACCAGTTTCAGAGTCTTCTATCCTGGAGAGTAATTCAGTTATCTCCCAGGACAGACACAAGACTCCATTAAGCACATGGTTGCAAAAAGACACAAAACACTTTAAAATACATAAAGTCACATTTACACATAACACACAGACATTTCACATATCCCCAGATAGCTGGGATCTGAGTGCACATTATTAGATGAATGGCACTCAGATCACACAAATAAGCCTTTCTGCAGGGGAAATAAACAGTTTAACCTGCAGGGCCATAGTCCAAAGGGAGCAGGCGAGCAACCAGGCTTCTCCAGTTCACAGTGGCGAGGTTGGTTTCGCCACACTTCTCCCCTTTACCAACTAGACTAACAGGGTATCTGACCTCCTGCCGGTCAGTGCCCTGGTTAGTCCAGCAACCCACCCACAAAACAGAAACAGCAGTACAGCCCACCCACAATAACTGGTTACTACACCTGGGTAGAGGAGAACTTTGTCCATGTCCAGGTGCCTCACCACGACTGTGTGGGCAACTGTTAGGCTGCCTTGGTGGGTTGCTGAGTGGGCAGAGACCAGCGGTACTCTGCCCTGATGCCAGTGCTACCACGGAAGTAGCCTGGTGGGAGCCTGGTTGTGGGAGGGAGAGACCGACTGTCTCCCCTCTGGATACACCGCTCTGTGGCTGGGGAACAGGACCGACTGTCCCTACCCCTTGTGCTGTAAGTGCAGAGACTACGGTCCCATCTACACTGTTGGGGGGTGTAACATCTCCCCTTGCTGGGTTAGGCTGCCGCTGGAGAGAGGGTGTAACAAGCGCTCTCTCTGAAATGTAAACTGCCGCTGGGGAGAGGGGGTATCAGGCTCCTCTCCCTGACACTCTCTCTGCTGGTGGAGAGGGGGACCAGCTGTCTCCCCTTTCATTATTTTGTCCTGTGGTTGGGGTGCGAGACTGACAGTCTCTGCTCCCTGCAGGACACTCTGCCGCTGGGGAGGAAGGACGGCACCTTCAGCTCCCTGGGGTACACACTGCCGCTGGGGAGGAAGGACTGCACCTTCAGCTCCCTGGGGTACACACTGCCGCTGGGGAGGAAGGACGCACCTTCAGCTCCCTGGGGTACACACTGCCGCTGGGGAGGAAGGACGGCACCTTCAGCTCCCTGGGGTACACACTGCCGCCGGGGAGGGCGGACGATACCTTTGGCGCAATCTGCCACGACCTGCAGGTACTCTGCTACATGTCTCCTCACGCGCTGCACGGACTCCTCCAAGGGGGTGTAGGATCCATAGAGAGCCAGCCATGATTTAAACTCTCTGTCAAACTCCTCCTGAGTGTAGCTGGGCGCCATGTTTGCTCTGCCTAAGTTGGTTCCTTTGTAGATAGGGTCGCTGTACGGGTACTAGCGTTGCCCTCAATTTGTGATCGAGGAATTGATGTTGTCTTGTAGCTGTCCTTCTGGGCTGTGGGAATGATCCCGCCGCTTGCCACCAATTGTAACGGACCGTTTCGCTCATCAGAGGATAAAAACCGTTTAGGCGATAATCCCCTTTCCCATAGACCAGCAGCTACTGCAAGCACCAAACTCCCGAACTGCAAACTGTACGAATTCACCACCTCCCGAACTGGAAACACACGAACACTGGAATCAGCCGAACAGGAAAAGCATACAATCCGCTTACACTCCTGGCAGTCAGCATACAATCCAATTCCCCCCAAAAACGAGACGACACATCGGTTTGAGGGTCAAGCAGAATTCCCTTGTACTGTCACATACAGTCTCTTTTATTCCCAATCCACAAACAGTACAGCCCACAGGGCGTTACAAAACAATTAATCAATCCGTACAATACACCCAGACACTCCCACACAAAATCCTCCCCTCTGCAGGTGATATGATTACTGAACACAATGGGTAATCTCATTATCACCGGCAGAGGAATACAGTTTGTACACAATATTTATAACTTCTAAAATATACATGTCACAAACATAAAACATACATTTTCATAATCAATCCATTCAGGGAAACAACATATTAAAAAATGGCACAAATCAGACCAGGGGTTCAAAAGTTAAGGGAAAGTCCTTTGTGACTAAATGAAGCATGGCTTTCTGGCCCAAACCAGTTTCAGAGTCTTCTATGCTGGAGAGTAATTCAATTATCTCCCAGGACAGACACAAGACTCCATTAAGCACATAGTTGCAAAAAGACACAAAACACTTTAAAATACATAAAGTCACCTTTTACACATAACACACAGACATTTCACATATCCCCAGATAGCTGGGATCTGAGCACACATTATTAGATGAATGGCACTCAGATCACACAAATAAGCCTTTCTGCAGGGGAAATAAACGGTTTAACCTGCAGGGCCATAGTCCAAAGGGAGAAGGCGAGCAACCAGGCTTCTCCAGTTCACAGTGGCGAGGTTGGTTTAGCCACAGAAGTGTTAAAGCTTTAACTACATAGCTGCTGTCACTGATTATATTCACTGGGTCATATGCTGTTATTTCAATAGCTTTCCTTACAGCCTCTAACTCAGCTCTCTGAGCAGACATATGGCCTGGCAATTTATATCTTTGCATTTCTTTTGTTTTATCATCCTAAATGGCATAACCTCTCGTTCCATCCACATACAAACAAGGAGCCCCTTGTATTGCTTGTTTCTCAAAAGGAGATTTGGATTCAATTTCCAATTCTCAAAAGGAGATTTGGATTCAATTTGTTTCTCAAAAGGAGATTTGGATTCAATTTCCAATTCCTTCTGACAATCATGTGGTGTTCCATTTATTTCTATCAACTCAGGAATAACATATCTTTTACTGCTTTCTACTCTGAGTGGTTTATCTTGTAACTTCAATATCCAATGAGCTACCCTCTGGCTATGTACTCCTAAATCTGGACAATTTTGTAACAGTTTTAAAGGCGTGTGGGGGGTTTGTAAAATTAGCTGTCCAAATCCTACAATGTGTTGTGTTGCTTCTAAAGCCCAACATACAGCCAAGAGCTGTTTTACACAGGAAAACATTCCCCTTTCCACTTGTGACATGATTTTAGAAAAATATCCCAGTATTTGTAAGTAGCCATGTTGCCTTTGCATCAAAACTGCTATTAATGAAGAGACACCTGCGTAACATTAAACAATATATGGTACTGTTTCAATGGGAGCAGCTAACACAGGTGCTTGTGTAATAGCATCTTTTAACAGGTTCCAACTCTTTTCAGCTTCCTCTGTCCAGAGTAGCTTATCTGTATTAGCACTATCTTTTAGCATATTGTACAGGGGTTTTGCTATTCCTGCCATATCATAGATGAATTCTCTGCTAAAATTTACCAAACCTAAAAATTTCCTTAGGTCAGACACTGTCATTGGCCTTGGCAATTGCTGTAATGCTTTAACCCTTGCTGTTCGTGGTATTTTACCTGCTGGATCTATATTTACTCCTAAGAAAGCCACACTTTCTTTCAAGATCTGCACTTTGAATGTGTTCAGTTTTAACCCATTATCTGCCAGTGCTTGACAAATATCACACAGTATCTGCTCATGCTCTTCCCTTGTTACTGTTTGAACCAACAGCTCATCAACATATTGCAAAATCTTGCTCCCATACCCCAGGGGTTCCAATACTTGAGCCAGTGCTTTATGAAAATAAGCTGGCGAGGAGAGGAAGCCCTGTGGCAGCACCTGGAACAAATATTGTTGTTTTTTAAAGGTAAAAGCAAAACGATACTGACTATCTGGATGTACTGGTATTGAGAAGAACCCATTGGCTATATCCAGGACAGAAAAATACTTAGCATTGCCGTCTACTTGTGCCATGATATCTGGTGAGGAGGCCACTATATGGGCTGCTGGTGGGGTATACTTATTCACCACTCGCATGTCCACAATTAAACGATAAGAGCCATCTGGCTTGATTATTGGCCAAATGGGGAATTACATTTAGAATTACCCACTCTCAGCACTCCTTGATATACTAATGACTATCACTTGACTCACACCTTCTGATTCTTTTGGAATTTTATATTGTTTTACTGCAGGAGGGTCTGGTCCTTCAATAACAACTTGTAAATTCATTCTCCCACAATCTTGTTTAGACTTAGACCACACTATGGGGTATTTTTCTTTAAGATAGGTTACAAACTCATCATCTTGTTGTATAGAAGGTGACACTTCACCCTGTTTTACAGCCATGACATGACTACACCATCCTAAATCATTAGGTCTATAATGATTTATTGGTGTGGTAAGCAGAATTCACTTGTGGACTTGTGACTGCTTCCACCTTCATTTCAATGGCATTTAACATCCATCTACACTCTTCATATGGATTTGATATTTGAGGGGGGTTTGAAGATGTATTTTCGGTTTCTACAGCTGCCACTCTCTGTAGATTCTTATAGCCTGGCACAATGCCATTTTCTTTCCCTTTCACTGTGTAAGATTTTTCTTCATTTTTGGGACAATATCTCCAAACATGACCTTCTTGGTTGCATTTATAGCATATCATAGGACTATTCTGACTAACCCTATAATATCTATCTTGGGATGGGGCCAAATAATTTCTAGTACCCTGGTAATTTTGTGGTTTATTCATAGACCTCCCTCTAAAATTACCATTTGTATTATTTTCATATCTTCCTCTACCTTCTTCACGAGACATAGTTAATAGGGGCCAGACCTGCTGAAGTATCCCTAGAGAAAAGTGTCTGTGAAAGCAAAAATCTTAGCTGTTTCTGTGTTTTTCTTTTGCAACAATTGCAAAGATTTCATTATTTCCGTAGCAGCAAAATAAACTGTGGGTGAATCAAAAGCTCTTAATTTTATCTCATTTGGCAACCCTGCTATTCTAGAGACAAATTCAGTAACACTCTGCTTATGTTGTTCTTTAGACATAGATGGTTCTGTATCAGTAATCAAATTCCATGCCTTATTCCACAAATTAGCACAAACACGTATATCATCATTTTTCTCCATTTTAAATGAATCAAGAGTAGAAAATTGAAAATTCTCCACACCAGTTGCACACTGTACCACCATTAGCAATCTCTGTGTATTATTTGGAAACAATTCCTCCAACTCAACTCTGGGCTTTTCACTTGACTTCTCTTCCAACACATCAATGAGTTTTACTTTAACCCATTCACTTAATGAAGTTGGCAGCCAGATCAAAAGACCTCTTGTGGCTACCACATCATCAAATTGTCTTTTATTTATTTCACCTTCAAAAACACTCATTGTAAAAAGGTCCTCTCTTTTCATCATATTTAGGCAAATCCTTAATCAGTTTAGCCAATTTGAGAATATCCAACTGACCCTTTCCTTGGACATTACCCAATTTATTTTCTATGTCACTCCTTGTTCACTCCTGTTCATTATCACCACTCAATCTTTGCGCTATTATATTGTCACTTTCCTCTTTCAAAGTAAAATCCAAATCTTTCTGATTTGTAGTTTTCCACAAAATATCTGTAGCACTACCCAGATTAGTAATCTGTCTCTGCAAATTGTCAAAATTAGTAACATTTATGTCTAATTCTTTAGACATGTGAGACAGGGTTTTATGGGTTCTATCTAACAAATCAGTCTGGTTCCTAAGCATTTCTTTCATTATATTAATATCTTCATTTTCTTCATCCCTACTAAAACTTTTCAACAATTGCCAAGAATTTTCTATTTGAGCTTGTTTCAGTTAACGTGGATTCCAAGTCACTATCAAAAGAGAGCCTTGGGGGCAATCTCCCTTCTGTTAACAGCTTTTGTGGAGATTTCACAGTTTTGCTGGGGGGGGGGGCTAGGGAAATAACTAGTCCTTGTGACAACACATACATTTTTCAGTTGTTTTAACAAAACATCCCTTTTTTTTGTTGTACTACATACATAACAATTACTGGTCTTTTTAAATTGGCACCATTCATTCATTGCATCATTAGTTTCCAAAAAGCTCTTTGCCTGTAATGCAACTTTTTGACTTTCCTTTTTAAATACATTGCTGTGCTCTATCTCACTTAATCCGTCTATCAATTTCAATAAACAATCATCCCAAATACTTTCAGGGTTAACCCCTTTTACAGAAAGATCTCTATTAGATCTGGCAGCAATCCTTTGCAGCCACTCCATAATTAACTTAAACAGTTAAAACACTTTGTTTAACAAAACAATATATATGAGAGCACTTTTTACATATGATTTAAAACAAGACAAATACCCATTAAGTATTTTGGTTCCACAGATATGGCCACTTTCTGATAGAAGAATACTTTCTGGAGTATGTAGTTATTCTTGAGAATCCTCCGAAATGCAATCTTCGATGTGCACGTCGTCACAAATTACTTGATAAAGTGTGGATAAAAAGGACCCGGATTGTCCATCTCAATTATTTATCTTCAAATTCTTGCTTCAGTACTGAACATAAAAATCTGCCGCGTTCGAACGACTTCCTCACCCTGCCTTCCCTCAGTCTTCGCATCAGATCTGGGATGTTTAAACAAAGAACCTTTGGGATGCACTCCTGCTGTGTCAATCAGTCTCTTGTGTTTCTCCTGTTTCAAGCCTGGGTACTAAAGCTTTTCTTCAGAGAACACTTTCAACTTTTCTTCAGCGATTTTCTTGTCTTCTTGTAGTTTGTAGCAGAACACTTAAATATTAAGTCAGTAATAATTTAGACTTAAATCTAAGTTGCCCGCATTCTCCACCATTAAATGTAGGAAATTTGCATTCCGTGAGATGTTTTCCAGTTTTCTGAACAAATCGAATCAGAGTGTCTTGCAGTTAAAACCGTATATTTATTACAATATACACATCATCCGGTAACAACAAAAGTCTGTTTTAAAATCATATGGACCAATAGACAATGTATATTCACTTCTAGATCTTATCCAAGCTTGATGTTAAAAATATTGGTGGAATATTCTAGTTGCAAAGGTATTTTATATGTTTAAAATTCAATTACATAGGGCGTATACATAACGACATAAGGTTTGCCTGCTTTAAAATAATTGGTTATCTAAGAAAACAAGGTGGTAACTTAGTATTATTTGAAATCTGATTAAAGCCATACGTTATGATGTTTTGGTAAGTTACACACAAAGACCTTCTAGAGACTTCTAATTACATGATGGAATGAATGATTGCCTATAGAAATTCAGGAATTCAGGCTTACAAGGCTAGGTCTAAGGTTATTATAAACAGTATCCACAATTCTCCATCCATCATTCTTGACTTAAAACCATATGTGTGTAAATTACAGTATGTGTATAAATTACATTATGTTTGTAATGTATCTGGGTAGGGCCCCTCGATGTCTGGATATGCTTAGAATAACTTACAATATTTCTACATTCCTACAACACGTTGAATACATTTAAAGTTCATAAAAAATGTTTAACCATTCTCAATACCTCTCAACACTTTTTCCAGGCTAATATCTCTCTCTTTCACCATATACAACTTCTCATAAAAATTCTTCACTTCATTCAACAAACCATTCCTCTCACAAACTATAACCCTGTCCTCACTCAGAACTTCTTCCATCCTTTTTTTCCTTCCAAAAGCTTTCCTAAAAAAGAACCTTGTACACTTTTCATCATTATCCATCACATTCAACCTAGCAGCAAACACAATCTTCCTTCCTTTCTCTTCCAAACATTTATTTCTATTTTCTCTAGCCTCTCTCAACTCACTCTCAACCTCAAACCTGAATTCTCTCAACTTATATAAATATTCAATTCTCCTTCTCCAATTATCCAAATTTTCATCATCCCACCTAGCTTTTTCTTTTCCTTTTGTAATGAAAAATTTATCTTGTTCTTATCTTCATCCACTCCCACCATTCAAGCACATTAGAAAAATTATATTTACACTTTCGCCATGATTCATATTTTTTACAATACTCCTCTTTGGCAATTTGTTTTTTTTTTTAATTATTCTTTATTAAGAAATTTTGTTTTTAAATTACATAAGATCTCAGACAATACTTACATACAATCAAACAAAATACATCCGATTGATATAAATAAATCTTATTATATACAAAAAGTACTTTAATTACAATATGACAATCAATCGTGAGAAAAAAAAAAAAATCATGAATCAGGAAGTCATTGGTATAGAATGAATAAAAATCCGTAGCCAAATATTGGGAGATATATCAATGGAAATGGGCTCCATTATCATAATACATATTATCACTGGTATGAGTTACGCTACCCGAATATAATTAAAACATCCATAAACATGTCACCTTATAAATTATAAATTACCATAAAGTAGAGAACAATTTTTTAGCCAAGTTGAATACCAATCTCTTTTTTTAGATAACACTGACCAATTTTTGACCATATCATTTTCCATTGTTAATTGAAATTTAATTTGATTAAAGAGGTTTTTTGAAAGGGAATGGAAGATTTCCACTGTCTAGCTATAATAATTTTAGTAGCAATAAAGCAATGAATAGCCAAACAAATATGTCTTTTAGATTTAAAAGGCCAATTAAGGTGAAGTGCCGAAGCTGGGTTTCTATTTGTGTCTTTAAAAGTTACCTCATTCAAAGATATTTCAGAGAAGATATTATAGGCCCAGTGCCAAAGTTGTTTTACTACTGGGCAAAACCACCATATATGTATATAAGTACCCGAGTAGGTACCGCACCTCCAGCAAGTAGGATCTTGAGAAGTATACATTTTAGCTAGTCTTGTCGGAGTGTAGTACCATCTATAAAGTACCTTAAAATGGCACGCAGTCAAGTTTAGGCCATGGACCGATTTATTTACTAAAATTATAGAGGAAAACCAATCCTTTGGATAGATCACTAAGTTAAGTTCGTTTTCCCATGTTTTAACCAATTTATGAGGAAAAGGGTCAAAACCTTTAAAGAGCAAATTGGCTACCGAAATAATCTTAGGTACAGTTTGAAATGAAAATATAGATTGCAATTCTTTGGCCCAAGGGAAAAGAGATTGAATAACATGTTTCTGGATATAATGTTTAATACGAACGTATGTAAATATTTCTTTAGATGGTATATGGAGATTATTCACAATCTGTTGAAATGATAGGATATTATCTCCCTGCATAATGTCCGATAAGATTAATGTATCTTTGTTAGGCCAGTGTCTTAGTGTTAAATCAAACAGAAAAAGGTGTATAGGTCGCGCTAAGGGGACAAGGAAGTAAAATAAATGAAATAAATAAAAGTAATAAAAAAGTCCCAGATATAAATAAACCTGTGTAGTTCTAGGAGAGTATACCGTCCAAATGGATATCTGAGTCTTCTTATGTTGAGGATGTCTTAGAATGCTTGTCAATACGTAGATACATAAAAAAAGAGGAAGAAAAACTCCAATAGTGTAGAATGTCGATATAGTTTCCAGGTATAGGTCTATAAGTAAGTAAAAAACTCACCTTGGCGTGAGCAAAAAAACTTTGCTCAAGTGTTCTTAGCGTTCAGTGGCGTCAATCCCCCACTGGTAGGATATAGGTGATGGGGTCCTGGACAATTCCTCGGTATATAAAAAATGAGAGACGTATATAGTGCTCACTGATGTTTGTAAAAACAAATAAAATAAGTAAAATACTCACATGTACATGAGCAGGAAATACTGCTCAGTATGATGGCGCAGGTGGTACAATCCCCACCTTAGGATTCTTGGAAGTTGACGTACTTCAATCCAAATTGATGACCAGGTAATTCAAATTAAAAATATAGAATAAAAGGAATTAAAAGTATATAGGCAAAAAATAAGGGCCAATATTCCTTTATTAAAATATAATTTATCAATATATATAACAAACTTTGTAATAGCCAAAACGCGTTTCACCACACAGGGCTTTATCAAATGGCATTTAAAAGAGAGAAAAACCTGGTACACAAACTGCTTTTATAAGCTAAAAAATACAGATAGGCATTTGAATTTTGGCGCCAAAATGACGTCACACTTACAATATGCATAATTTAAAAACAATTCAAAAGTAAGAAATTGAAATGTAAAAGCATTATATAATGCAATATTAAGATAATTATCAGTTTCAAATAGTAAAACGAGCATTATTTATAATGTTGTACACTAGGAGAGATGATGTCAGTGAAAAAAATATAAATCGCAATTAGTATATATACAGAAGTTGAAATTGATGATATAAAAACCTTAAAAGAAGGGGTATGAAAATATCTGTGTGCTTAAAATAGAAAAACGAGCATTATTGAAAATAGTAATATATAATGAAACACGTGATCGCGGCTAGACGCGATCACGTGATCGGAACTGGGCATTGTGGGAAATGTATGCCAGAGAGTCGGGAGATCGGCGCAAAAGTATTTCGCCTGTCTCTCGACTAGATAGTGCAGTAGGGGCATATGGGAGCTAGATAATTAGCCCTGCATATAAATAGAGACCTAATAAGTGAGGGGAGAGGGGGAGAGAAGAAAAAAGGGGAAAGACAAAAGAGGGGCTTATAGCAGGAAGTATCCTGCATAATCAAAAGGAAAAAAGGAAAAGGGATAAAAATAATAATGATAAAAATATATATAAATAAAGAATATAAGTAAAAAAGAGAAAAATGAAAAAAATAAGGGAAATATGAAATAGGAATAATAATAAAGGTAATAAAGATAAAAATAATAAGTATAAATATACAAATAAAAATAAATATAAAATTAAAAATAAAATAAAAATAAAAATAATGGTGAATAAAAATAAAGATGAATAAAAATAAAGAGAGAAAATAAAAATAAGAATAAAAATAATAATAAAAATAAAAATAAATAATAGAAGAGATAAAAATAAATATAAAAATATAAACAGAGTTAAGGAAAGGAAAAAAAAAAAAAAAAAAAAAATTTATAAAAAGTTAAGGTCGAATTCAACATTTAATCCTTGAGGTGATAGGGTTTTTAATTGAAAAACCCAATTCATCTCTCTTTTCCCCAAAATATTTTTCATATCCCCTCCTCTCCATGGCATGGAAACTTTTTCTATCCCGGTAACTTTAAGAGCACTTAGGTCTTTATTGTGCAATAAAAAGTGCTTGGACACTGAATGGTTATCATATCCTTTTTTGATATTGCGGCAATGTTCTGCCAGTCTGATCTTTAAACACCTTGTTGTCATGCCAACATATTGAAAACCACATGGACATTCTAATAAATAGATAACATTTTTAGTATTGCATCCTATGAAGTCCTTAATCGGGTACATAGTTTTGGTGATGGTGGAGGAGAAATGAGTCGTTTTAGTATTGGTATTGGGATTTTTTTTCCTTAACTCTGTTTATATTTTTATATTTATTTTTATCTCTTCTATTATTAATTTCTATTTTTATTTTTATTATTTGTATTCTTATTTTTATTTTCTTTCTTTATTTTTATTCATCTTTATTTTTATTCACCATTATTTTTATTTTTATTTTATTTTTAATTTTATATTTATTTTTATTTGTATATTTATACTTATTATTTTTATCTTTATTACCTTTATTATTATTCCTATTTCATATTTCCCTTATTTTTTTCATTTTTCTCTTTTTTACTTATATTCTTTATTTATATATATTTTTATCATTATTATTTTTATCCCTTTTCCTTTTTTCCTTTTGATTATGCAGGATACTTCCTGCTATAAGCCCCTCTTTTGTCTTTCCCCTTTTTTCTTCTCTCCCCCTCTCCCCTCACCTATTAGGTCTCTATTTATATGCAGGGCTAATTATCTAGCTCCCATATGCCCCTACTGCACTATCTAGTCGAGAGACAGGCGAAATACTTTTGCGCCGATCTCCCGACTCTCTGGCATACATTTCCCACAATGCCCAGTTCTGATCACGTGATCGCGTCTAGCCGCGATCACGTGTTTCATTATATATTACTATTTTCAATAATGCTCGTTTTTCTATTTTAAGCACACAGATATTTTCATACCCCTTCTTTTAAGGTTTTTATATCATCAATTTCAACTTCTGTATATATACTAATTGCGATTTATATTTTTTTCACTGACATCATCTCTCCTAGTGTACAACATTATAAATAATGCTCGTTTTACTATTTGAAACTGATAATTATCTTAATATTGCATTATATAATGCTTTTACATTTCAATTTCTTACTTTTGAATTGTTTTTAAATTATGCATATTGTAAGTGTGACGTCATTTTGGCGCCAAAATTCAAATGCCTATCTGTATTTTTTAGCTTATAAAAGCAGTTTGTGTACCAGGTTTTTCTCTCTTTTAAATGCCATTTGATAAAGCCCTGTGTGGTGAAACGCGTTTTGGCTATTACAAAGTTTGTTATATATATTGATAAATTATATTTTAATAAAGGAATATTGGCCCTTATTTTTTGCCTATATACTTTTAATTCCTTTTATTCTATATTTTTAATTTGAATTACCTGGTCATCAATTTGGATTGAAGTACGTCAACTTCCAAGAATCCTAAGGTGGGGATTGTACCACCTGCGCCATCATACTGAGCAGTATTTCCTGCTCATGTACATGTGAGTATTTTACTTATTTTATTTGTTTTTACAAACATCAGTGAGCACTATATACGTCTCTCATTTTTTATATACCGAGGAATTGTCCAGGACCCCATCACCTATATCCTACCAGTGGGGGATTGACGCCACTGAACGCTAAGAACACTTGAGCAAAGTTTTTTTGCTCACGCCAAGGTGAGTTTTTTACTTACTTATAGACCTATACCTGGAAACTATATCGACATTCTACACTATTGGAGTTTTTCTTCCTCTTTTTTTATGTATCTACGTATTGACAAGCATTCTAAGACATCCTCAACATAAGAAGACTCAGATATTCATTTGGACTGTATACTCTCCTAGAACTACACAGGTTTATTTATATCTGGGACTTTTTTATTACTTTTATTTATTTCATTTATTTTACTTCCTTGTCCCCTTAGCGCGACCTATACACCTTTTTCTGTTTGTCCTATTCCATGTGAGGTTTTTTGAGGGACCTCATTCCTATAGGTTGCTGCTGTTACGTTTTGTTTTAGTTTCTTTTAGATTGTTTAGCGCTGAACCATTACCTTTTTGTTCTTAGTGTTAAATCCTCTACATTATTTTCTAATATATTTAATTTACATGTTCTAGGAATTAAATAACTTAAACCCAAAATTTTCCTTATTTCGACCCAAGTTTCCAAAGAGTGAGCCAATGATATTAAACAATTTGGCAAATCCCTTAAAAGCTTCCCAGGATCTGACCATATACAAGAATAAAGACTAGATGCATGTAAAGCTTCGGACTCCAAAATATACCAAGGTTCAGAAAAAAAGGATGATAAATATGTCGTATAATATTGGCATAGTAAAGATTAGTGATACTTCGAAAATTTAGCCCTCCATGAGACAAATTTTTTAGAAATATATTTTTGGCTTATTCTAGGCTTTTTTATTTTTCCAGATAAATTCATTGATGGCAGATTGTATCATAAATAGCCACACCTTTGGAATTTTAAGGGGAACCATTGAAAACAAATAGGACCATTTTGGAAAAATATAAGAATTTATAATATTAATCCTACCTGTCCATAATGTTTCTAAGTTCTTCCATTTTTTTTAAATTTTGATTCATATTTTTCAATAACTGCATAACGTTCCTCTCCATTATATGGTAGTCGTTAGCAGGGAAACTTAGACCCAAATAATTTATTTCTGAATCAGTCCAAATAAATTGGTATTTTTTCGATAGCCTATCAACCTGAATCGAAGATAGATTGATAGTTAAAGCTGTGGATTTTGAAACATTTAACTTAAAGTTAGAAATTTTAGAAAAATTAGCAATTTCTTCCATTAATGCTGCCAATGAGTCTTCTGGAGATGCAAGGGTGACCAAAGCATCATCGGCATATAATGCAATTTTAATGTCTTGGTATTTCGTAAAAACCCCCTTTATTGAGTGGTTGTTTCTAATATTAGCAGCAAGAGGTTCAAGAGATAAAATAAAGAGAAGCGGTGACAAGGGGCATCCCTGTCTTGTTCCATTTTTAAGGTCAAACCAGGACGAAGTAATATTGGGACCTACCGTTCTGGCCGAGGGAGCGGAATAGAATACCATAATTGTGGAGTATATCCAACCCCTAAAGCCATATGCCTTAAGAAGTTCTCTTAAATAGCCCCACCCGACCCTGTCGAACGCTTTCTCTGCGTCCAAAGACAGGACCAGGAGGGGCTCATTATGAACTTTAACTAAATCAATAATATCTATGAGCTTTCGGGTGTTATTTGATGCCCATCTTCCTGGGATAAACCCTATTTGATCTGGATGAATAAGTTTAGTAATGACAGTTTTCAGCCTTTCGGCAATAATGGCTGAGTATATTTACATATCAACATTAATTAATGCAATCTGTCTATAATTTCTTGGATCCGTACTATCTTTGCCCGGTTTTAAAATAGGGACAATATTTGATTGTAATAATTCCTTTGGTATGACCTCAATTTCTGCTGCTTGATTAAACATTTCAGTAAGGGGTTTTAGAAGATACGATTTCGTATATTTATAATATAGATTTGTAAAGCCGTCAGGGCCGGGAGTTTTATTTGTGGCTAATCTATCAATTTGAAATTGCACTTCTGGTGAGATTTTTTAATTCAGATTGGTCAGATCCTGGGAAGAGATTCTCGGTATTTGGGTATTCAATAGACAACTCTTAATATCCTTTAATTCTGGGGACAATCTTAAATTGTACAAATCTTGATAAAACTGATTAAACTTTTGTCCAATCTCCGATGGAGAGGAATATACAGTTTGATCTACTACCAATTTTTCTACTCTATTTTTAGCATATTGATTACGAAGCCTCCTGGTTAGGCTTTTACTCGCTCTGTTGCCCGAAATATAATAATTTAATTTTAGTTTATTTATATTTAACTTGATTTTTTCCTCTTCTTTTAGATTAATTTGAATTTGTAGATCTTTTAGATGAGAAGATTGTATTTTATTCAATTTAGAGTATGAGTAAAATTCAATATATAAAGCAGGCAATTTTGTACCTTTATTTTTCTTAAGGAAATGGTCTATTTTAATTATATAGCCCCTTATTACAGATTTATGAGAACACCAGTTTATTAATGGAGAAGTATCTTGTGGATTATTTTCTACCCAAAAATATTCTAATAATTTGGTCAAATCCTCCCTATGCTTGGAATCCTTTAGAATTGCATCATTCAATCTCCTAGTATTACGAGAGAAAGGAGGATAATTGCCAAGATCAAATAAGACAAAACTATGGTCTGACCATGTATTTTCCTTAAGATCAATATGATTAAAGAGCAGAATAGTAGCATTTGTTAAACAAAAGTCAATCCAAGAGTAAGTACCATAGACACCAGATAAATGGGAATAATCTTTTTGGAGGGGGTGAAGTAATCTCCAAATATCATATAAATTGTATTGGCTACAAATGTTATTTAATTTTTTAGCTTGCTTAGTAGGTCCCGTATTATTAATCGCGGAAGATACCGTAGTTCTATCCAAAAATGGATCACTAACACAGTTAAAATCGCCCGCGATAATCAAATATCCCTTGTTAATTTTATCAACTTTGTCCATTATCAAAGAGAACTTAGTCATTGGATCAACATTAGGTAAGTAAACATTGACCAATGTAAAGATTTTATCTTCAATCTTACATACCAAAATAATAAACCTTGCTTCTGGGTCTAGTTCAGTATGTAGGATGTCTACCTTCATATCTTTTTTTTGAATATAATTGCCACACCCCTTTTTTTGTTTTTAATTAATGAAGCATGAATCGCTGTTACAAACTTATCTCCACCCCATGTTTGTTTGGTATCTTTAAGCCAATGCGTTTCTTGTAGAAAAGCAACCTGTATATTTTGTTCTATTAAAGAATCATACAGTCTATGCCTTTTCTTATTTGTATTTAGCCCCTGTACATTCAAGGATAAAAACTTCAACATAAGAATACCTCAAAACAATATTCTTGACTTCCTGAAGAGAAAAAAAAATCCAAGACAACATGTACTACCTAACGTTGGGCTATAAATAAGTCCAACATCATCAATTATCCAACTATTAGGTAAAAACCTAATACTATAATAATCATTGGCCACCATATAGGGACAATGAAAATGGAGTAGCAAAACTACACGAGAGTGGGAACCCCAATCCATGCCAGAGTTGATAACCTACCGCAAAAAAGAAAAAAAAAAGTTTTTAACCTCCCTCTATCATATTGTAGATCTACCTTGTAAAGGGAAAAGAGGGAGAGAGAGAGAAAAAAAAATACTTTTAGGTTAAGTTTATAAATACCTTCATTAGTCTATTTTTGCCTTAAATCTTGTGTATATAATATTTCTATTAAGTGCCAACTATTTTATATTTAACTTATAAACAGATTAGTGAATTTATAGTATATAAAACATCAGCCATAGCAGGTAAACAGAGGTTTTTAAAGTGTAGTTACTTATCAGTGTTTTTATCTTAATATATAAATAATAAAATAAATAAAAAAAAAAAAAAACTTGTAAAATTTATAAATACCTTCATTACTCTATCATTACCTTAAACAAAGTGCATATAGTGTACTTCTATTAAGTGCCAATCATTAATGATTAATATATTACATTTGTAAGGAATTAATAGACTTGTGGTGTATAATAACACCAAAAGTAACAAGTGCATATTGCTTTTTCAAGTGTTAATTTCCTCATGTGAGTTTTAACAAAAAAAAAAAAAAATCTTCATTACATTATCAATACCTTAAACATAGTGCATATATTCTAATTCCATTAAGTGCCAACCTTTAGTAGGTAATATATTAATCTTGTGAAAATAATAAATTCATAGTGTCTAAAAACACCGCAAGAGGTAAATACATATTTCTTTTTCAGATATTAATTTCTTCCCAAGAAATTTAGTTTGATTTATATAAAATAACAATATATTATCTTATACATGAGCACATCCCTCATACTACATGGGAGAAATGTTTAAACTCTTGTCTCTCCCCCCTCCCTCCAACTCAAACTTTCATATTAACTTTCTACTGTAAATAATTATACAACTACTACAATAATTTGTTATTTTTAAGCCAATCTATCAGACTCACACTAGTCTCAAATACTTTTTACCTTCGTATGAGAGACTAAGTTTTAAAGGAAAAAGCCACTTATATTTTATATTGTGATTTCTTAGGGATCTTGTGGCAATACTGAATGTTTTTCTTTTTGTTCTGGTTTCAAATAAGTCTTGAAATACTTTGACTTTCTGGAAGGGACCCTCGAGGATTTGATTAGTTCTTGCAAGTTTCAAAATGGTGTCTTTGAAATCAGAGGAATAGAAACATGCAATAATATCTCGGAGAATCATTTTGGATCACTTGTGGTTTAAATGTCCTATGGCATCTTTCTATTATCAGGGCTGAAGATTTAAAGGGGACACCCAGTATAGATAAATATTCCATCAAGATCTGTTTTACGTCTTCTTGTGTACCTTTTTCTGGAATATCTCTAAAACGTAAATTTTTCCGCCTAGATCGATCTTCTAAATCGGATATTTTATTTTGTAAATTTGGAATATCTTGATGTGCCTTATCGCACTCTTCTGTTAGATGTTTAAGTTGAAAATCAAGTTGATTTAGATCTTCAAATCTTTCCATTTTTGTAACAAGTGCTTTTATTTCAGTTTTAATATCCGATTTAATTTGTGCGGCGGTTGAGGCCAGTTCCGCTTTGATCTCATCTAAATTAGCCTTAAGAGTGGTATGTAACATAGAAATGGTAATATAATCTTTATCAGGATTTCTTATATCATCTGTCTCCAGATTTTCTGAACTTAGATCTGTTTCATTTAATTTCTGTTTAATAGTCTTATGTTGCTGGGGGGAGAAATAAGTTGTTAGTGATTTATCCTGGGATTTATCCTGAATGGAGTCTTTTTTTTCTTTCCTTGAGGAGGATTTAGTTTCATGAAGTTTTTTCGAAGCCATGTTATAGTAATTTCACCAGTATGGAAGTGTCAGGTCGCAAACAATTAGTCTTTATAAGTGTCTTAGTTTTGATTCTCTCTAATTCGTTCTTTTTCTCTTTTTTCCTCCTTTCCTTTTCCTTTCTTTCCCCTGTTCTTCTTCCCTTTTTTTTCTTTTTCCTTTCTTTTGTTTCCTTTTTTTTTTTTACTGTTCCTTTCTTCCTTCCTTTTCTTTTGCTATTACTTCTTTCCGTTTAGATTTTTCTTTTTCCCCTTATTTTACGCTTTGCTTTCCTTCTGCTTCCACTGTCTGTTTAAAATTCACTTTCTTTTTTTTTTTTTAGTTTTATTCAGGTTTTTTAAAATTTTTCTCCTTTCTCTTCCACCTTTGTTCCTCCTTTTCTCATGTCCTTCCCTTCTTATTCCTCTTTTTCATTTATCTTCTTCCCCAATCTCTTTATCTTTTTCTCTGGGTCCTACTTTATCTTTCCCCTTCGTTTTTCTGCTTTTCTCTTTTTCTCCTTTCCTTCTGCCTTCCCTTTAGTCTTGCTCTTGGTTCTTTCTATTCAATATGTCATAGTTAAATATTCTATTTGTTGTAAATCAACTCGTTTTCTTTTCTCTTTTTTCCTTTAAACAAATTTAAACGCCCATATTGTGTCTGAGCCTCTGATATCTCTTTAGTTTTGCTTGTCTTTACTTCTATCTTTTGGCTTCCTTTATTTCGTTATCTGGTTCAGCTCCCTTCCTTCTCCCCTCGCTCTCTTTTTCTTTTCTTTCTCTTTTATCTTAATTCAAGTTCTGTACTTCTTCCGTCTTCTGATTTCTTTATAATTTCAGTGTATATATATCAGTATCCACAATTTTTCATTTGCATATATAGAAGAAATATGTTTGGAATTTTCCTGAACATGGACCATATATATTTTAAGTAACTGCCAAATTTGCCATGCAAGATTATACTTACTGCCAGATATGAGCAGTCAGTGTGGAGATTCGGATTGCAATAAATTGCTGGCGTTTATATCGGCATACATGTGGTTCTCTCCAAACAGCACCTCAAGGACTTGCTGGCTTGCTCCGGATTTTTTTTTTTCCGGAGTAGAACACTCGGCGCGCTGTGGGTACAGACTCTCGAACAAAATAGGAGGTATTTCACCACTATTATTGTGTAGTCGGTCCGATTGTCGTTCAGGTAGGAGAGATATTATTTCAATAAGTCTTCGGTTATGCGGGAGAGAGGGAGGCATTCACAAGTGAGAGAGGCATTCAGGAGCGGCTGCCGCGAGTACCTCTGCAATGCATGGCGGGTTCCCCTCCTACTCCGTCATCACGGTGAGCGTACGTCCGCACGTCCCCACGTCATAACGCCACACTCCTCTTTTGCAATTTCATCCATTATCATACTCATTCAACTTCCAATAACCTTTACTAAAGTCCATACTCACTGTCACTCTCACCTCACACTTCAAAAGGACATGATCCGAGAATGGAACCCTTTGAGTGCGTAGAGACTCTGCTTGCACACCTTGTGAAATAAAACAAAAATCAATACGTGACCTAACCATTCCCTTATCACTCCAAAAAGTACATCTATCATCATCATCTATAACCCCCATCGCATCTGTAAATCCCAAATCTACAATCAAGTGTTTTAGTAATTTCCCAGTGCTATCTAAATTGTGCTCATTACCTACCCCCTCTCTATCTTCTCTCATAGTTATACAATTAAAATCCCCACATAAAAAAGTGATTAACCTCCCTGGCAAATTTAAACCTAAACACATACATTCTTTCCCTCTTATCAGCAGGTGCATAAACATTTATTACCCTACACATAGTGCCCCTATATGAAAAAAAAAATTATTACAACCCTCCCTAAAACAATCTCCAAAACTTTAATTATATTATACTCCCACCCTTTAAACAAAACTGCCACACCTAAGTTATTACCCCTACCACCAGAAAAAACAGCAGGTCCCAAGTCCCAGGTAGCTATCCGCGGAGCTTCTGTTAGGCCGCATTCCTGCAAGCAAATATTAAAGGATAATATTTTCAAAAAATCAAATTACTGCCCTTCTTGCTGCGGCCTTAATGCTCCTCACATTAAGAGAACATATTGAAATTAGAGTGAAACCTTTTTCAGATTAAACATCATCTCAAGTTTCCTCATCCAATTCCACACTTGTTCTAGGGACTTGTGAAAATCCCGAAATATCTTTTAATCTGGACACTGCACGGGCATCAAAAACAGGAGAGATGGAACCAGAGACATCAGATTCCACCACTCCACTCCCTTCAGGTGAAGATTCCATCAATATTTTAGGAAACTCCCTAGAAAGTTTTCGGCTTTTCCTCTTCTTTTTAGTAACTGGAACCTCCTTTGTCTCTTCCTCAGAGTCTTCAGAACCCACCTGCAAGGATGAACCTTTTGGGTTCTACAGACTCTCCATACTCCATGGCTTCTACAGCAACAGCAGCTTCCACCTCCACTCTACTTGCCGTTTTTTTGCCAAATGCTCAGCCATAATTTTGGCATGAATCTCTTCATATTCCTCCCTGAACCTTAACTGGGTCCCAAAGGTAGGAATAAACGCAATTTTCATCTGGGCAGCCTGCTTCTTCCCAGACACCTTATCACCACTTACAGTCCCACCAGCACCAAAATCCACTCCAAAAAGATCTTTCTGTACAGTTGGGCACGTTCGAGCCATGTGACTTTCAGCACCACACAAATCACACTTCCTTCTTTCTTTACATTCAGCGGTGGTGTGCCCTTCACCAAAATAGTTCCTACATACCAAACCCTTCACACAATCCTCACTCAAGTGTCCAAACTGGAAACAATTACGGCAAAATTTAGGTTGACCTGGATAAAAAAGGTAGCCTCTATTGCCTCCGATAGAGAAATTTTGGGGTGGATGACGAAGACCACTGGATTCGGCAGTATCTGTTTTTAAGGTAACAAAAAACTTTTGCTTACCATTTAAAAACCCCAAAACAATTCACAAGTTTCACTGGTTTGGCAACTGTTGAACAATACTTGCTCAGAAAAGCAGTAATCTCTTCATCAGAGACGAAGGAATTATACATATGAACCACTAATGGAATCTTGGATACAGGTACATACGGCAAGAAAGAAATACCTTCCAAGAGAACATCAGACTCCTTCTGCCTCCTTCTCTCCATAATAGTTGTTACCTGTTCTTGCTCCATTAGCATAACATCATAAACCCCTCTTGTAGGAAAATCCTGTATGCAGAATAGCCACTCACGAGGTACTTTTAACAGACCTTCCAGGATCTCCTTCTGCACAGTATACAGCCCGACCCTCTTCCTCTTCTCCTCTGAAATAAACAGCCGAACTGTCTTAGGATAGGCTGGCGTACCACACGCCATCCTCAGGGATCACTCCTCGTTTCTGCTGAAGGCGCAGGTCGCCCCCCAATAGCAGCATCCAGTCTATGTCCTCACAGAGAAGACATAGCCGGAAGGCCGAGGGGCTTGCATTGCCAAACAAGCAGAACCTTTCGGCAAGACCAGCGTAAACTGATCTTAGCCAAAAGGCAGAGAAGCGATAACCGGAATGGGCGCCCAGCTACTCACCTGCCATTTGCCTGGGCTTCTTCAGCTTGCGGTGAGCCTTGGGCACAGTGCCACCCACCTCTTCCTCATCTAGGTGTAAGCTGGCTACAAATAGCAACAGAGACACAGTCAGTCACAGAGCACACAACCTCTGAGCCCTGGAAACACAGCTCCCCTTCTTAACCTTGTCCATTCCTCTATATGCTCCCCTCCAGACATACCTTGCACCTCTCTCTCTCTCCAGCTGCTACCACTGATGAGCCTGACGAGACTGCTGGATCACCTGGTCTGTTCCTCTTCAGCTGCAAGTAGGGTAGATAGAGCAAGCAATTAAGCACCTGCTGGTTGCTCACTCACTCAATGATTCAATTAATTAAACCCTTAATTGGTTACTTGGATGTTGCTCCGATTTCCCTCCAAAACATTAGTACTGTAATTACAAAGACCAGCATGCTGCAGCAGATTTGCATAATACCGCCCACTTTTCAACATTGAGAATGCAGCCAGCCAGCCAGCAGAGTCCACCTGGATAGAAATACTCTGGCTTCCCAATGGATATACTTGGCACATTTATTTAGTCAATGAAGTGATTACACAGATTTATATGACAACAATGAATACATTGGATCAGGTTAACAGAATTGAATGGTGCACACACAGCACATGATAGATAATAACAAATCGGACAAGCTATCCAAATGAAATAACAGTTAACAAACATTGCTACAAGTGTCCATAATTCAAGGAATGTTTTTGGTCCGTCCGGGCTTTATTCAGGCATGCCGCAGAATTCTTTGTTTAACCCTTTACTTTAACACACTAATCTTCATTGTTATCCTAAAAAAACATAAGTTTAATAACCATAGAAAAAATATCACAAATTTAAAACCCCCTCCCTTCCTTAAACTGTACACACAAATTATAATTTATTGTAACATTATCATATGTACTACAAAATACCCACTACCTACATCATTTCTACGTACACCATGTCTTCCATTTTGTTATCTTTCACACTCCCTCAGCATCCAACTCTCCTTTCCTCCATACATCCCTTAAATAATATAAATACATTTTTCCTCTAACCATTCTTACACATGCCTCCACTGACACTTCCTTCCTAAAAACCAAAAAATTCCTTGCATCCCACATTGTTTCTTTAATACATGCCATAATAATCCACAACACACATTCTTTTTTTCTCAATCTGACACATCCCAAACATTAACACTTCAAAAGAAAATACAGGAATCCCAGTCAAACCTACTACCAACTTTAATAATTTTTCCAAAACACATGCACAACATTCTCTACATCCACATCTTTCTCTCTGACAAATTTCAGGTCTACCGTACTGTACTTCCCTTGTAGCCAAACAATTATGCACAGCCATCCACACATCTTTCTGTCTATTTAAAATTTCTATACCATCCAATCTCTTCCACACATCTTTACTCATTTAATCAATCTATCCCACAGTCTCTCTCATTTAAAATTTTAAACTTTTTTCCTTTCATTCCACTCCTTCCATGCCACATTTTGCAATTCATACTTACTAATACATACATCAATCTTTTTATAAAACCACGGTATGTTAAAACACACCGGTTTCATCCTATCAATCACATGCAACCCATATCTCCTCAAACTCATACCTGCTGCATATTTCAACATACACGCTACTACACTTTCATTTTTACAAATCATCACACACATCCTAACATCTGGCACATCCATTCCTCCATTCACTCTTTTCTTAACAACTTTCACTCTACTCCATCTCTCCATTCTTCTACTCGAAAAAAATAAAAAACTATCCGAACCAACTTCCTCAAACTTCTGCTATCTGGGGGGAAAACAAAACTCAAATAGAACATTATAGGGATTAATACTGCTTTAATTATCAAAACCTAAATGACATTCCTTTTACTCCACAAACCAAACTTCTGATTTACTCGACTCACTTTCTTTTCCTTTCAAATCATCCCCAAAATTCACTCCCAACACTTCAATATTACTTTCTCCTACCGGCCACCCACTTAATTCCAATTCTCTCCAAATACCAAACGCCTTACATTTACGTTTATTCTAGTTGACTTTAAAACCACTAACAATTTTAGCCTTCTCAATCCAGCTTGCGTTCTACACAACACAGTAACATCATCCATATAGCCAATCACTTTCATACATCTATCCCTACTTCCTGGAATTTCCACCCCCTCACACTCTTATCAGTCATACTACTATGTAACAAAGGTTCTATCACTCAAATAAAATTATAGGTGACAAGGGGCAACCCTGCCTAACCCCAGATCTTTAAAACTTTTAGTCATCCATCCATTCACCTGTACGATACTCTCAATACCCCTATACCTACATCTTATCTAAGTCAACACTTTCTCTGGCAATCCCATTTTCTCTAAAACTTTAAACAAACTCATGTGCTACTCTATCGTATGCTTTCTCAATCGTTGCAATCGCTACCTCCATTTTTTTCCAACACAAAACCATAAAACATCATGCACTCATCAAACTTTCTGCAATTTGTCTACCAGACATTGCACACACTTGCTCCTCTCCCACCATACCTTCAATCACCCTCTTGATTCTGTTTGCAACCAACTTCGCAATAATTTTATAGCCAACATTCAATAATGTAATTGGCCTTCAATTACACAAATCATGCCTCGCCTTTCTTAAAAATCAACACAATCACTCCTTTCTTCAGTGATTCAGACATAACACTCAAAACAAAACTACACACTTGAAAATAAATCTGCAACAATCTCCCAAAACATTATATAAAATTCTGCAGGCAACCCATCACCGGGAGTTTTATTCAATTTAATATTAAGTCTCCTATAATTCAATCTTTGTCATATCCCTCATCAACCAACTATCTCCTACACTCACTCCATTCTCAATGCATTCCAAAGCTTCAGTTTTCAAACTTGCATCTCTCTCTTTCTGTATATAAATCCTTGTAAAAATTTCCAACTGTAACGGATTACCTGGCACCCCGAAGGATGCTCCTAGCGCTTCCTGAGGGCTCCAAGCACTCCAGCCGACACCATAACCACCGTGGCCTCCTTCAGAGAGCAGGACAGGAACAAGCTCTTAAAATAGCTTATTAGTGATTTAGCAAGGAATTATGACAAGCATAGCAATCCCTTGTAGCAGATTCCCCCATAAGAGACGGCACTCCAAATTGAGGGTGAAGTAGAACTGACTGTACTGGCACATACAGCCTCTTTTATTCACATTCTACAAATGTAGTACTGCCCACAGGGTTTTGAAATGCAACCAATCAATCAGTACAATACACACAGACACTCCCACACAAAATCCTCCCCTCTGCCTGTGATATGATTACTGAAAACACTTATTATAATTATCACAGGCAGAGAAATACAGTATTAGAAAACATATTACAGGGACCCCAAAACATGCAATAATATCCTCTGAACCGGGGTATCTGGGTGAACCACATATCCACAATTCACCCAGATCCGTTCAGTAGTTTGGAAGATACAGTTTAATGCCGATTCTGCAAAACATATACAGGCTATATGAAAAATAATTACTGTTAAATGTGTCAACTGTTGTATAGTTTAAAACTACTGCACGATGTCTTTGTGCACCAAATACACCAAAACAGTGTCTGAGGTAAAATGTCGGCCGTCCATTGTTCTCACCATGTGTTTCATCTGTTGTTCTCACCATGTGCCTATGATACATGAAATGGTGGCCACTCAGTAACTCTACAGTATGTCCCCAGACGGTTCTTTAAGGGCCAGCAGTAGCATAATAAAATAAAGTATGCCCACATCAGTTCCTAGAAGGGCAATACATCCCAACGTTAGTGCTGTAATTGCAAAGACCAGCATGCATAATACCGTCCACTTTTCCACATTGATAATGCATGCTACTAGCTAGCCAACAGAGTTCACCTGGATAGAAATACTGTGGCTTCACAATGAATGTACTTGACACATTTATTCAATGAAGTGGTTACACAGATTTCCATGATAACAATGAATACATGGGATCAGGTGAACAGAATTGACTCGTGCACAGCACATAATAGATAACAATCAGGCAAGCTATCCAAATTAAATAAGTTAACAAACATTCCTACAAGTTACCATAATTAGAGATGAGCGGACACCTGGATGTTCGGGTTTGGCCAAACTTCGGCAAAAAGTTTGAGTTCGTACTCAAACTTGACCCCGAAGCCAAACCCCATTGAAGTCAATGGGGACCTGAAGTTTTGGGCACTAAAATGGCTCTAAAAAAAGTCCTGGAAAGGGCAGCAAAAGGAAGTAAAATGGGGGTAAGAGTAGGACAAGTGCCCTGGAAACAATTGGGGTAGCCCTCAAAATATTGGGACATAAAAAAAAAACCAAAAACAAAGAATAAGTGCACTTGATTATAACAATGGCTGGGTGAGGCCGGTATAAATGTCTATTCTGTACAGACAAGTCTGAGAGCCATTCCTGGTTCATTTTAATAAAATTGAGCTTGTCCACGTGGGCTGTGGACAGGCGGCTGCACTTGTCTGTGATAATGCCCCTGCCGTGCTAAACACGCGTTCAGACAATACACTGGCTGCAGAGCAGGCCAGCACCTCCAAGGCATAAAGGGCAAGCTCAGGTCATGTGCCCAATTTGGAGACCCAGAAGTTGAATGGGGCAGACCCATCAGTCAGTACGTGTAGGCGTGTGCACACGTACTGTTCCACAAAGTTGTTGAAATGCTGCCTCCTGCTAAGATGTTATATCAGCTGGTGGTGCTGGTTGTTGTGGTGTGCTGACAAAGCATATCCACATTTCGGCCATGCTAACCCTGCCTTCTGAGGTGCTGGTGGTGCCCCAGCTGCGTTGGCGACCTCTTCCTCCTCTGCACTCACCTTGTGCTTCCACTGAGCCCCCGGTGTCAGTTGGGAAGGCCCTCAGCAGCGCGTCTACCAGCGTGCACTTGTAGTTGCGCATCTTCCGATCATGCTCCAGTAAGGGAATTAAGGGCGGCACATTGCCCTTGTAATGGGGATCCAGCAGGGTGGCCACCCAGTAATCAGCACAAGTTAGAATGTGGGCAACTCGGCAGTCTTTACACAGGCACTTTGGTGACTCTAGATAACCTCGGCCCGATCGCACGTTACCGTGACGGTGACGACGCATTCGGATGTCTGCCCTATCAACGTTTCATGGTACTTTCTGCGCCTACCATGGTGACCCCGGGTAATGGGAAATCAGGGTTCAATTTTGGAGAGGGAGCCTGAGAAACTGCTACCACATCCAAGGAAGGCAGTAGGCGCGCAAATTACCCACTCCCGACGCGGGGAGGTAGTGACGAAAAATAATACAGGACTCTTGAGGCCCTGTAATTGGAATGAGTACACTTTAAATCCTTTAACGAGGATCTATTGGAGGGCAAGTCTGGTGCAGAGCGACTGACTCGTGCATGCTGCAGCTGAAACCCCACTATCCCTGCTGCTCGCACAGTCTCTCCAGCATGTGCAAGGTGGAGTTCCACCTTGTGGGCACATTGCATATGAGGTGGTGAGCGGGATGGCCGAAGTTACGCTGCAGCGCAGACAGACTAGCAGCAGCAGGGTGAGAATGCCGAAAGCGCGCACAGACAGCCTGCACTTTCTGCAGCAGCTCTGAAATATCTGGATAGTTTTTCAGGAATTTCTGCACCATCAAATTCAGCACATGTGCCAGGCGAGGGATGGGTGTCAAACCGGCTACGCCCAGAGCTGCTATGAGATTTTGCCACATTCGCACACCACCAGGCCGGGCTTGAGGCTTCGTGGCAACAACCACTCATCGGTCTGTTGTTCCATGCCCGTCCACAGCTGCTGTGCGGTGTGGGGTTTTTCCCCCCAAACATACGAGTTTTAAAACAGCCTGGTTATGCTGAAGTTGGTGGTGAAGGTTGACCAGATGAGGAGGTGCAATAGGAGGCAGAGGCAACAGGAGGCAAAGAGAAATGGCCTGCAATCCTCGATGGCGGAAGGACATGCGCCAAACTGCTATCTGCCTCCGGCTCAGCCGCCACTACTTTTGCCCAGTGTGCAGTTAGGGATATATAGTGTTACTGCCCGTGCTTATTGGTCCACGTATCAGTGGTTATGTGGACCTTGCCACAGATGGCGTTGCGCAGTGCACACCTGATTTTGTTCGCCAATTGGTTGTGCAGGGAAGGGATGGCTCGCCTGGAAAAGTAGTGGCGGCTGGGAAACACGTACTGTGGGTCAGCCACCGCCATCAGGTTTTTGAAACTATCAGTCTCCACCAGACTGACAGCATTTCAAAGGCCAGGAATTTTGAAATGCTGGCATGTTGGCATTCATGGACAGGGATCTCAGGTGGGTAGGGGGGTACTTCCTCTTTCTCGCCTGTGATTGTTTATTGGACTGCAAGAAATGCACCGCATGCCACAAATGTACTATTTAGCACAAACAAAATAGAATTTTTCAAACTGAGATGTAACCACAGTATTTGACGGTTCTATTTGACTCTCAGATATGAAGTGCACACCCCAAATTTACTTTTTAGCACCAAAGAAATTTGAATTTTTCAAAGTATGATATAACTACGGTATTTGACGGTTCTATCTGACTCTGATATGAAGTGCACGCCACAAATGTACTTTTTAGCACCAAAACAATTAGAATTTGTCAAACTGCAATGTCACAGCAGTATTTAAAAATGCCTAGATGTTGCCCACTGAGCTACCAGAACAGGATTAAAGTAATGTGCCCGGCACACATGCAGTTGCAAGTGCCAACCTAACAGACTGCTTATTTCTCTGTGGCACTGGGCTCAGGGCAGGGTACAAAAATGTAGTATAGCACCCACAAAAATAATCGCTGTAGTTTGCAGATTCAACACCAGAATTATTTCCTTATCTGTCCCTCACAGCTGCAGCATGCTCTCGCTACACTAATTCGAGCTCATGTGACTCCAGCTTATATATAGGCTGCACACAAGCTGCATTGGCTAATCACAGCCATGGCATTAGTAGGCATGGCTGTGATGGCTAAGGGCATACAAGTCAAATGCTTGCTGATTGGCTGCCCTGCCACCTTTCAAAATGTACCATTAAATCGCCCAACACTGAACGCTAACCCAAACTGTCACTGAAATGTCCTGGCTCGGGTTCGGGGTCCAAAAATTGTAATGTTCGGTACAAACCCAAACTTTACAGTTCAGGTTCGCTCATCTCAAACCATAATTAAAGGAATGCTGTTTGTCAAGGATTCATTCAGGCAGAGATGCACTTACGACAGAGAAAGCAGGAAAGGAGAACAAGTTTGCCTTCGTTTGCAGGTTTCCTGCATTTCTTTGCCACCCACCAAGTGAGAGTCCAGTGGCTTGCTTTTTCTTTTTCTTTTTCAATTCTATTTTTTTAACCAGCATAAGAGAGGTGCACCGGTCCTGGAGGTACTGCAATACCAGGTCAATGCTTGGAGTGGACAGAGCAAGCTCTTCTTCCATCTCCCTGTCCCAAAAATCCATTTAATATATGTTCCCCAGATAGGGGACGTATCAGATATTAAACTGATAAGAACAGATTTTTTTTTTTTTTTTTTAATCACTCAGCCACAGAGCATTTCCTCCAGATGACATTCAAGGAATCTCTCAAGTAACATCCTCATGATTCTTTTCAATTAAAATTTTATAATATTTACATCACAGCAATAACACAGCAAACCCCACCACCTTCCCCCCAAACCACAGCAAAATACCCACCACCCCACAAGCGGCACAGCAAATTACTTACCCCAACCTCATAGTACACATTCATCCATCCATTCATACTTACCCCCAACATAACATTATACATTTCTTTTTCTTTTCTCAAAATTTACACAATTTTTCATACAAATATTAACCACACAACCCACCACCCTACCTTACCAATACCCACCATATTTCTTTCATTACCCTTCCACCCACCAAAGAGATTATCTTTTCCACCTAAAGAAAAAATACAAAATATTTATATTATTTACATAAAAGAAAAGTCAACCCTATTTTTTTTATCATTAATAGAAACAAAACCCATCACCAAACCCAGTGTTTACGTGCACCATTTCTTCCACTTTTTCGTCTTCCATACACCTTCAGAATCCATTTCACCATGTTTCCGAACATCCCTCAAATAATACAAATATATCTTCCCTCTTACCATTCGTACACATGCATCCACTGTAATACATTCATGTCTAAAAACTAACAAATTACGAACATCCCACAACGTCTTTTATACAAGCCATAATAGTCCACAACAATCTTTCTTTTTGCTTCTCTATTGAACACATACCAAATAACACATCAAACGAAAATACAGAAATCCCAGTCAAACCTATTAACAATTTCAACAATCTTTTCAATACTTCTCACAAAACAACAATTCCAAAAAACATGCACCACATTCTCTCTAGCACCACACCCTTCCCTCGGACACATCTCTGTTCTCACTTATCTTCTTCCATACTGTCTCTCTCGTAGTCAGACAATTTTATGTATATTATTTATAAAAAAACGGAGTATTAAAACACAAAGGTTTCATTTGATCAAATTCATGCAGACCATACCTCCTCAAACACATCCCAGCTCCATATTTCAACATACATGCTATCAAACAGTCCTTTTTACAAATCTTAACACACATTCTTACATAAGGCACCATTAAAAAATTTTCAACATCCGGAACATTCATACCCCCATTCTCTCGTATTTTCACCACTTTCTCTCTACTCAATCTTTCCATGCGGCTACTCCAAAAAAATAAAGATTATCCTAATCAATCTCCTCAAACTCCTATCATCCGGGGGGAAAACAAAACTCAAATACAATATAATAGGGATCAAGACAGCTTTTATTATTTATTATTATTATTGCTATTTATAAAGCGCACACAGATTCCGCAGCGCTGTACAATTAGTTGAGAAACGTACAATATACACAAACAAATACAAGAGGTAAGAGAGCCCTGCCCGTAAGCTGATATCTAGCCATTGGAGCTCTTTTATACAAAGTGCTTAGCTAGATGGCCCGTGAGTTTACAATCTAAAAGGATACCAGGGGGATTTGAGACAAGAGGTAGCAGGGGAAGTTTGGAGGTGATGGCTGAAAGAGTTAACAGAGAAGCAGCTATTGTTAAGATGTTAGGGGAATGAAGAGGTAATTGGGTGAGAATCTCAAACTGCTGGAGGAGCATGCTATATATTTAAGGGGAGCCTGGGTGGGTGGGAAGTGGGGAGAAAAAAATGCAGTCTTCACTGAGTTGATTGTGAAGTGAGGCCTGAGGAATAGAGATAGAACAGTCATATGAAGGTATTTACGACTGGGGAGGGGAAAAGGAGAGTGTGAGAGGGGGAGGGGGGGGGCAGAGTAGACATGTGTTATAGACTATTGAAAAGTTTAGCAATCAAATTCTATCACCCAAAATATTAATAACTGTCTACATGAAATATTGGTCACAAACATTAAATGACAGTGGTACACACTGCATGCACATAACATTACAGTGGCAAACTACAGGTATCAATTGTAACAACTCTATAGTAACACATGAGAATTTTGTAGCAATCCAGTAATACAGGAGGTGGAGTATCTTCCAAGCTTCAGTCAGTACCTGAGAGTGATGGGTGTTTCTGCAGGATGGTAAATGCAGTCTTCACTGAGTTGATTGTGAAGTGAGGCCTGAGAGTGATGGGTGTTTCTGCAGGATGGTAAATGCAGTCTTCACTGAGTTGATTGTGAAGTGAGGCCTGATTATCAATACTTTACCTACAAAAGACAAATTCCTATCATTCCACATTTCAATCTTTTGATTCACTCTATTCACTACTTTCTTCCAACTTTCTTTCCCTTTCAGATCCTCAAACTTTACTCCCAAGACCTCAATCTCATATTCAGCAATCGGCCATCCACATAACTCCAATTCTCTCCATGCACCAAACGCCTTACACTTACATTTATCCCAATTAACTCGAAATCCACTTGCCATACAAAAAAATTCCACTATCAATTTCACCCTCCTCAATCCCGCTTGTGATCTACATATAACCGTGACATCATCCATATATCCAATTACTTTCATACACCTTCCACTGCTCCCAGTAATCTCAACTCCTTTCACAATCTTCTCATTCATTAAATTACGCAACAAAGGTTCAATAACACAGATAAAAATAATAGGGGATAAAGGACAACCCTGTCTAACCCCATAACACACTTTAAAGCTTTCAGTAAACCACTTGCACAACACTTTCAATCTCTCTATACATACATTTTATCCAATTTATCATTTTCCCAGGCAATCCCATTCTCTCTAAAACACGAAACAAATTCATGCGCTACCATATCATACGCTTTCTCAAAATCAATCGTTGCAATCGCTACCTCTATCTTTCTTTCTTTACAAAACCATAACACGTCTCTCACACCAATCAGACTTTCCGCAATTTGTCTGCCAGGCACTGCACAAACTTGCTCCTCACCTACCATACTTTCAATCACTCTTTTAATTCTATTAGCAATCATCTTTGCAACAATCTTATAGTCAACATTCAGCAACGTAATAGGCCACCAATTACCCACATCATACTTATCACCTTTCTTAAAAATCAAAACAATCACGCCCTTCATCGAATCAGACATCACACCTTTTTCCAACACATATTTACAAACATCAAAAAAATCATCCCCAATAATCTCCCAACACATTCTATAAAATTCCACAGGCAAACCATCACTCCCAGGCATTTTATTCAATTTAAATTCAGTAACCGTGTCATACAACTCCTTCTTATTTAATTCCCTCACTAACCAGCTAACATCCTCCTTACTCACACCATTCTTAAGTTTATCAAACATCTCCTTTTCCAAACACTCATCACGCCTTTTGTCTTGATATAAATTTTCATAAAATTGTTTAACCTCATTCAAGATCATATTTTTATCATACAACACCACACCATGTTCATTTAATACTCCTTCCATTCCTTTTCTACAATCATACGCTTTCTTTAAAAAATCTCGTACACTTCTCATCATTCTCCAAAACATTCAATTTCGCTGCAAAACACAATCTTTCTACCCTTTTCCTCCAACCATTTATGCCTAATTTCTCTTGCTTCTTCCAGTTCAATTTCTACATCCCAACCTAATTCTTTCAATTTACACAAGTAGTCAATTCTTTTCCTCCAATCTTCCCAAACTTCTCTCTCCATACGAGCTTTCTTCCAACTTTTCCTCATAAAAAAATACTTGTTTTTTCCTTCACCCATTCCCACCATCCTAATACACTATCAAATTTTACTTTGCATTTACTCCAACATTCATACTGCTTACCATACTCCAATCTCACTCCTTCGTCCATTAGCGTACTCACATTTAACTTCCAACTACTTCTCCCATATTCCATTTTCACATTCATTCTTACCTCACATTCCAAAAGCACATGATCCGAAAAAGCCACCCTTTGTGTGCGAAAAGACTCTAGCTTCACCCCCTGTGAAACTAAACAGAAATCAATGCGAGATCTTACAGTGCCCTTATCGCTATAAAAAGTAAACTTATCATAATTCCCAATAACCTCCACCGCATCCATTAAACCAAAATCCTTAACTAAATTATTCAAAAACCGCCCCGTACTATCTAACTTATACCCATCACCAACGCCCATCCTATCCTCCCTTCTTAGTATACAGTTAAAATCCCCACACAAAATAGTTAATTCCCTCCCTGGTAAATTCATCCCTAAACATTCAAACACATACATTCTCTTTTATCCACTGGTGCATAAACATTTAATATCCTACATAAAATACCTCTAAACAAAAAATAAATCCGTAAAACTCTCCCTGATACCAATTCTAACACCTTCAAAATATCATATTCCCAACCCCTAAATAATATAGCTACACCAATATGTTTCCCAACACCAAAAGAATAAAAAGATAAACCCAAATCCCATTTTGTACCAGTTGACTTATCCTGCAGATGACATTCTTGTAGACATGATATGAAAGTTAATTTTACAAATGAAATCAAAAATCGCCGCTCTCCTGACATTTGATTTTAGACTCCTTACATTGAGAGGCAACTTTAAACATGAATCAGAGGTATTTAACCCTCATCACTTCATGTCCCTTCATCTGACTCATTTGTCTCAAGATCCCGAGAGAAACCAGAGATGTCAAACAGTCTTGACACGGCCTGAACGTCAAAGACAGGATAAACAGGTCCTGATGTTTCCGACTCTGATCTCTCCCCAGGCTCTGGAGAGGATTCCATTAAAATACTTGCGAATTCTCTAGACAAAACATCTTTACTTTTTCTCTTTAATCTTTTCAACTGCGGGACGTCTTTTGCTTCCAAATCACTCGCTACACCAGCTGAAATTGGACTAGTTTCCTGTTCTATAGCAGAATTCGACGCACTACATTCCATCACTTCAGCTGCACTCTGGGCTTCTTCTTTCTCTGCTCTCTTTTTTAAATCCTCACACATAATTTTAGCATGTCGTTCTTCATGTTCTGCTAAAGAACGTAATTGCGTTCCAATACGATGGGATGAATGCTATCCTAGGTGCTTTAATAGTCTTCTTACCTGCATCCTCCAGTACTGCTTCCTTCTGTTCCGGGTCTGCTGCATCCACTGCCCGGGGAGTACCTACCAGCAAATTTAGGCAGAACTTGGCCATATGTTCTTTTGAGCCGCATAGATCACACTTCCGCTTTTCTGAGCACTCAAAGGCTGTATGCCCTTCCCCAAAACAGTTTCTACAGCACATGCCCTTTTTACAATCTTTATTTACATGCCCGAACTGAAAACCGTTTCTACAGTACATCGGTTGACCAGGATAGAATAGATATCCCCGATTACCCCCAAGAGAAAAATGTTGTGGGGGGTGTCTCTCACCACTCACCTCCGATGCGTCTGGACGAAGAACAAAAATAATTTGTTTCTGTTGTAGATTCCAAATTGATTGACCCGTTTAACAGGTTTGGATACCTGCACACAATACCTGCTTAAAAAAACTGAAATTTCATCGTCGCTAATAAACGGATTGTACATGTGGACCACAAGCGGAACCCGAGAGACAGGTATATATGGCAAAAATGTCATACCTGACAACAAAGCATTACCTTCATTCTCTTTCAACCTTTCCATCACCGTAGTTACGTAATTCTGATCAGAGAATGTAATGTCATACATACCCCGGGTCTGGAAGTCTTGTACACTAAATAACCATTCCCGAGGTACCTTCAGCAGACCATCCAAAATCTCCTTCAGTACGGTGTAAAGACCAACTTCACTCCTTCTCTCCTCTGCCACCAACAGCCTCACTGTCTTCGGATACGAGGGGCCACCTCTCTCCATCATCGATCGCTTCCCGTTCCCAGAGTCAGCGCGGATCGCCCCCCAATAGCAGCATCCAGACCGTATCCTCACTGGGAGAACACAGCCCGGAAGGCCGAGGGGCTAGCGTTGCCGATCCTCTGGGGCCTCCTGACTAGACAAGAATAAACTTTATCTTAGCCAAAAGGCAGAGAAGCGATAACCAGAATGGGCGCCCAGCTACTCACCTGCCATTCGCATGGGCTTCTTCAGCTTGCGGTGAGCCTTGGGCACAGCACCACCTCTTCCTCGTCCTAGGTGTAAGCTGGCTACAGATAGCAACAGAGACACAGTCAGTCACAGAGCACACAACCTCTGAGCCCTGGAAACACAGCTCCCCTTCTTAACCTTGTCCATTCCTCTATATGCTCCCCTACAGACATACCTTGCACCTCTCTCTCCAGCTGCTACCACTGATGAGCCTGACGAGGCTGCTGGATCACCTGGTCTGTTCCTCTTCAGCTGCAAGTAGGGTAGATAGAGCAAGCAATTAAGCACCTGCTGGTTGCTCACTCACTCAATGATTCAATTAATTAAACCCTTAATTGGTTACTTGGATGTTGCTCCAATTTCCCTCCAAAATATTAGTGCTGTAATTTCAAAGACCAGCATGCTGCAGGCTGCAGCAGATTTGCATAATACCGCCCACTTTTCAACATTGATAATGCAGCCAGCCAGCCAGCCGAGTCCACCTGGATAGAAATACTCTGGCTTCCCAATGGATATACTTGGCACATTTATTTATTCTATGAAGTGATTACACAGATTTATATGACAACAATGAATACATTGGATCAGGTGAACAGAATTGAATGGTGCACACAAAGCACATGATAGATAATAACAAATCGGACACGCTATCCAAATGAAATAAGTTACCAAACATTGCTACAAGTGTCAATAATTGCAAGGAATGTTTTTGGTCGGTCGGTCTGGGCTTCATTCAGGCATGCCGCAGACAGGGGGAGGCAGAGATCGCACTTACGGCAGAGAAAGAAAGCAGGAAAGGAGAACAAGTTTGCCTTCATTTGCAGGTTTCCTGCATTTCTTTGCCACCCACCAAGTGAGAGTCCAGTGGCTTGCTTTTTCTTTTTCGATTCTATTTTTTGAACCAGCATAAGAGAGGTGCACCGGTCCTGGAGGTACTGCAATACCAGGTCAATGCTTGGAGTGGACAGAGCAAGCTCTTCTTTCATCTCCCTGTCCCAAAAATCCATTTAATATATGGTCCCCAGATAGGGGACGTATCAGATATTAAACTGATAAGAACAGATTTGTTTGATTTTTTTTTTTTTCTTAACCACTCAGTCACAGAGCATTTCCTCCAGATGAAATTCAAGGAACCTCACAAGTAACATCCTCATGATTCTTTGCAATAAAATTAATAAATCATACAATTATACACAGCAAACCCCACCACCTTTCTCCAAAAACCACAGCAAACCTCCCACCATTTCAACTCTACACAGCAAATTACTTACCCCATCAATATTTAACACATTCATTCATACTTACCCCCCAAATTTTTTTTTTAAATATATTTTATACAATATATACACATATTGCCACACAACCCGCCACCCAACCTTACCAATACCCACCACTTTTCCTTCTTAAACCCACAACCCACCATTTAAGATTTTCTTCTTAACCTAAACAGAAATACAAAATTTACATTTTATTTACATAGAATCAAAAATCATCTCTTCCTACCATTTATTTTTTTTTCTTTCCCTTTTTATTAAATCAAAAAATTTTAATGCAATATACCCACCACCAATATCAGTCTACGCACACCATTTTTTCGTTTTCCATACCCCCTCCGCATCCAACTCCCCATGTTTTCTTACATCCTTCAAAAAGTACAACAACATTTTACCTCTAATCATTCTTATACATGCATCCACTGTCAAACATTCTTTTTTAAATACTAACAAATTCCTCACATCCCATACAGTTTCTTTTATACATGCCATCATAATCCATAACACTCTTTCTTTCACTTTATCCAAATTACACATACCAAACAACAACACATCAAAAGAGAAAACAGGAACACCAGTCAAACCAACAACCAATTTTAGCAATCTCTTCATCACCTCTTACAAATTCACAATTCCAAAATACACGCACTACTCTCTCTACTTCCACAACCTTCTCTTGGACACACTTCAGACCTAGCTAACCGTCTTCCATACTGAAACTCTCTAGTAGTCAAACAATTCTGAACCGCCATCCACGCAATATCTCTCGGTCTATTCAAAATTTCAATTCTATCCAGTTTTTTCCATACCCCTATACTCTGTTGTTCAGTCAAACCAGCAATACCTATTACATTCTCTTTATCATCCAATATATTAAAAACATGTTTTCTTTTACACCAATCTTCACTAGATACACTCTGCAATTCATACTTACATATACACACTTCAATCTTTTTATAAAACCACGGAACTTTGAAACAGGTCGGTTTCTTCCGATCAATAACATGCAACTCATACTTTTGCAAACTCATCCCAGCAGCATATTTCAACATGCAAGCAACTAAACTTTCTTTCTTACAAATTTTCACACATATTCTAACATAATGTATTAACAAAAATCTTTCAATATCAGGAACATTCATACCCCCATTCACTCGTTTTCTCATCACTTTTACCCTACTCAATCTCTCCATTCTACTACTCCAAAAAAAAAAAAAAAAATTTCTATTTATCTTTCTCAAAACTTTTTCACTAGGGGGAAACACAAAACATAAATATAACATAATAGGAATTAAAATAGATTTAATTATCAAAACTTTCCCTTCAAAAGACATTCTATCATTCCACAACCCAACTTTTTGATTTACACAATTCATCACTTTCTTCCAACTTTCTTTTCCTTTTAAATCATCAAACTTTACACCCAATACCTCAATTTCACCCTCCTCCACCGGCCATCCACATAACTCCAACTCTCTCCAATACCCAAATGCCTTACATGCACATTTATTCCAATTGACTCTAAAACCACTCACCATACAAAAAATTTCAACTAACAATTTTACTCTTCTCAAACTTGCTTGCGTCTTACATATAACCGTAACATCATCCATATAACCAATAACTTTCATACACTTTGCATAACTCCCCAGAATTTCTATACCTTTCACAACTTTATCATTCATTATATTTCTTAATAAAGGTTCAATCACACATATAAAAATTATAGGTGACAAAGGACACCCCTGTCTCACTCCAGAACATACTTTAAAACTTTCTGTCATCCATCCATTCACTTGTACAACACTCACAATTCCCTTATATAGACATTTTATCCAATCCACTAATTTCAAAGGCAATCCCATTCTCATCAATATCTCAAACATAAAATAATGCGCAACTCTGTCATAAGCTTTTTCGAAATCAATCGTCGCAATTGCTACCTCTTGGTTTCTCACCTTACAGAACCATAAAACATCTCTTATACCTATCAAACACTCAGCAATTTGTCTCCCTGGCACAGTACACACTTGCTCCTCACCTACCATCCCTTCAATCACTCTTTTCAATCTATTTGCCATCAATTTTGCCACAATTTTATAATCAACGCTTAACAATGTTATAGGTCTCCAATTTCTTAAACTTTTCACCTTTCTTAAAAATTAACACAATCACCCCCTTCTTCATAGATTCAGACATAACACCTTCACTCAACACATATTTGCATACTTGTAAAAATTCATCCACAATCACATCCCAACACAATCTATAAAATTCAATCGGCAAACCATCACATCCCGGCGTTTTATTCAACTTAAAATTTAAAATAGTTTCATGTAATTCAACCTCATTCACATCCCTCACTAACCACTCACAATCATCCTCTTTTACGCTTTTTACAATGCCATTCAACACCTCATTAACATTACACCCATTTCTCTTTTTCTCTTTATATAATTCTTCATAAAAACCTTTTACTTCATTTAGCATATCCTTTCTATTTTCAATCACCACCCCTTCATTATTAAATATGCCTTCCATACCTTTCCTACTTTCATAAGCTTTTTTAAAAAAGAATCTAGAACATTTTTCATCTTTCTCCAACACATTCAATCTAGCAGCAAACACGATTTTCTTACCTATCTCTTCCAAGCATTTGTTCCTGTTTTCTCTTGCACATTCCAATTCTTAATCAACCATCCAACCAAACTCTGTTTACACAAATACTCAATCCTCTTTCTCCAATTATCTAAACTTTCTCTATCCATCCTAGCTTTTTTCCATCCATACCTAATAAAAAGTGTTTTGGTTTTTACTTTCACCCATTCCCACCATTCAAGAATACAGTCAAACTTATTTTTACATGTTTTCCAATATTGATACTTCAATTTATATTCTTCTTTCACTTCTTCCTCCATTAACATACTCACATTCATCTTCCAAAAACTTTTTCCAAACTCCAATTATACTTCCAGTCTCATCTCGCATTCTAAAACATGATCCGAAAAATCAACCTTTCGTGTGCGTAGAACTTCTGCTATCACCCTCTGTGAAAAAAAACTAAAATCAATTTGTGACTTAACGTTCCCTTTGTCGCTAAAAAAACGTAAAAACCATCTCATTGCCCATAACTCCAATTGCATCCTTTAACCCAAAATCAACAACCAAATTACTTAACACACGACTCTATTTATCTAACTTATATCCCTCTCCCAACCCCACTCTATCCTCCTTTCTTATAATACAGTTGAAATCACCTAACAAAAATGTCAATTCCCTCCCAGGCACTACCAATTTTAAACACTCAAATACACTTATCCTCTCATTCCTATCTACAGGTGCATACACATTTACTACCCTACATACAGTACCCCTATACAAGAAATAAACCATTAATACCCTCCCTGACACCACTTCCAAAACTTTTAAAATCTGAAATTCCCACCCCCTAAATAACACCGCCACCCCAACATTCTTACCCACACCACATGAATAAATCGAAGGACCTAAATCCCATTTAGTGATAGTCGGCTTTTCATCAAGATTGCATTCTTGTAAACATATTAAGTTGAAAGATAATTTACATAAGAAATCAAAAATCACTGCTCGTCTTGATGTCGACTTTAAGCTTTGTACATTCAGCGAAGCTATGCCAAACGTAGATCAGAGGAAAATTACCTCATCATATCAGGTCTCACTAACTGACTCCAACATATCTTCTAGGTCTTGTGAAAACCCCGAAATGTCTATGAGCCTTGAAACAGCCTGTGTGTCAAAGACTGGGGAATAGGGGCCCGAGGCACCTGACTCCACCCGGTCTTCCACATCCGAAGAAGACTCATCCAAGGCTTTCGGGAATTCTCTAGACAACAACTCTTCCTTACTTTTCCTATTTCGCCTTTTTGGTTCTGGAACCTTATCCGATTTTTCTTCATCTGAAACCATTGGCCCAGAAGGGCCCGCCTCTATTAAATCAGTTTCAGAAGAATCTTTGAATTCCATAGCTTCTGTTACAAGAGCCTTTTCCTCCATTTTCTTTTTAACCCTTAATTTCTCCCGATCTTCTGCCATTATTTTGGCATGTTTCTCCTCCACTTCTTTTGAAAGGATTTTCGTACCATAAGTAGGAATAAATGGTATACGAATTTTATCAGGAATTCTTACCTTTATCTCCAGTTTGTGATTGGCCAGCCTCTGTTTCAACCACCCCCCGAGGGGTTTCACGGAAACGTTTCGGACAGAACCTTGCCAGATGACTGCTTTCCCCACATAAATCACATTTCCTGCGTTCTGCACATTTCACTGCTGTATGTCCCTCAGCGTAGCAGTTCCTGCAACACACTCCTTTTTGACATTCATCACTAAGGTGACCAAATTGGAAACAGTTTCTACAAAAACGTGGTTGCCCAGGGTAAAACAAGTAACCCCTGTTTCCCCCAATGGAGAAATTCTGTGGGGGATGTTTCAACCCACTTAACTCTGCGACATCCGGACGGAAAACAAACTTTATGTTTTCCATTGTAGACTCCGAACATATTTACCAGTTTCGCAGGCTTAGAGACAAAAGAACAATACCTATTAAGAAAGGACACAATCTTTTCATCGGACACAAAAGGATTGTACATATGGATACAAAGGGGTACATGAGAAACAGGAACAAAAGGATATTCCTTCCAATAACACATCACCTTCCTTCTGTCGTTTTCCCTCCATAACCGTTGTTACCTGGTCTTGTTCATTAAACGTAATATCAAAAATTCCACGGCTTGGAAAATCCTGTATGCAGAACAGCCAGTCTCTCGGAACGCTCAATAAACCTTCCAAAATCTCACGCTGCACAGTATGCAACCCAATAGATCGCTGCTTTTCTTCTGCAATATACAGCCGAACTGTCTTGGGAAAGGAAGGCGCCACTCGCTCCATCTTGTAACCTGGATCACTTCTCGTTTCCAGTGAAGGCGCAGGTCGCCCCCAATAGCAGCATCCAAACTATGTCCTCACAGAGAAGACATAGTCGGAAGGCCGAGGGGCTTGCGTTGCCAAACACTAGAACCTTCTGGCAAGACAAGACTAAACTTGATCTTAGCCAAAAGGCCGAGAAGCGATAACCGGAATGGGCGCCCAGCTACTCACCTGCCATTCGCCTTGGCTTCTTCAGCTTGCGGTGAGCCTTGGGCACAGTACCACCTCTTCCTCGTCCTAGGTGTAAGCTGGCTACAAATAGCAACAGAGACACAGTCAGTCACAGAGCACACAACCTCTGAGCCCTGGAAACACAGCTCCCCTTCTTAACCTTGTCCATTCCTCTACATGCTCCCCTCCAGACATACCTTGCACCTCTCTCTCCAGCTGCTACCACTGATGAGCCTAACGAGGCTGCTGGATCACCTGGTCTGTTCCTCTTCAGCTGCAAGTAGGGTAGATAGAGCAAGCAATTAAGCACCTGCTGGTTTGCTCACTCACTCAATGATTCAATTAATTAAACCCTTAATTGGTTACTTGGATGTTGCTCCGATTTCCCTCCAAAATATTAGTGCTGTAATTTCAAAGACCAGCATGCTGCAGGCTGCCATAAACAGATTGGCATAACTAGGGGCAAACCTGGTACCCATAGCTGTTCCTCTTTTTTGGAGGTAAAAGGAATCTAAAAACCAAAAGTAATTGTTTTTTAAAATAATATTAATACCCTCTAAAATAAAATCTATTTGTTCTTCCGGAATTCTATCTTCCTTTATTAAAATATTTTTGATGGCTTCACATCCAATGTTATGGGGTATAATTGTGTATAATGATTGGACATCACAAGTAACCAGGATAAAATTGGGGTCCCATTTAAAATCATTAAAAAAGTTTAAAAGAGACATAGAGTCTTGAAGATAAGATTTCATTTTTTTAACGGCAGGTTGTAAGAGAGTGTCTATATATTGGGATAGGTTGCATAAAAGCGAACCAATCCCTGACACTATTGGTCTGCCAGGGGGATTAGTGACATTTTTGTGTATTTTTGGCAGAAAATATATTACCGGGATTTTCGGAAATTTTTTGTTTAAAAAGTTATACTCTTGTTTAGTTAAGATGGATTGAGATACACCTTTATTTAAAAAAGTTAAAAAGAGATTTTGAATGGTCTTTGTTGGATCTGATGGAAGTTTCTCATAGACATCGGGGTCGTTTAATTGTCTATGCGCTTCCTCTATGTACATGGCACTAGATAGGATGACTAGACCACCTCCTTTATCGGCTGGTTTTATCACAATATCATTGTCATCTTGTAACTCTCTAAGTGCTTTTTTTTCGTTGTTTGTTAAATTTTGTGTGTCATATTTATTAGTCTTTAACTTATTTAGATCGTTTGTAACTAGTTTCTCAAAAACAGATAAAGGAGCAGTTTTCATAAAAGCTGGATAAAATTTAGATTTGTCTTTAAAATGTGTGTTAATAATATGTTTTCTCTGGGAGGGGGAGGGGGGAAGAATTGCACTATTATCAGTGGGATTATTGGAGATAAAATTTTCTTCTGTTTTTTCTTTAAAATAGCGTTTCAGAGTTGCTTTTCGGACAAACTTGTTAATGTCAATAAAAGCCTCGAAGGATTTGAAAGGGTTAGTTGGGGCAAACTTGAGACCTTTGTTTAAAACCGACAATTGTGTTATGGTAAGAGTTTTTTGGGAAAGATTAAAAATCCCACTGTTTAGATTTTTAGGGGAACTTATTTTCTTTCTAGTTTTTCTCTCTTGCTCCCGTCTTCCACTTCTTCCTCTAGGCTTAAGGTTCTTTTTTGGGATCGTGACGGGTGAGGTGTTTGGTTCAGAGTGCTTGGGTGAGTGCGAATTTCTAAAAAATGATCCTCATTTTCAAATTCGGAATCGATTGATAGCAATTGGTACCTATTGGAGTGATAAGGGATACTGGGTGATTTAGGTTGCTCAATTTGATCGTTAATATATCTGGATCTTTGATGTTTTGGTGAAAAATTTCTCTTATATGAATTGGTGGTATATTTCTTGGGTGGTGGAGAATGTGTATATTTTGGTTTGTAATGAGGTGGTATTTGTGATTGCTGGTATTTTGGTCTGACTGAAGGTCCAACTTGGGATCCGGAATAGAAATTAGTTGATTGCTTGTGTGATGGTTGGGGTTTGTCAGGTGACTGTGTGAATTTCTTATTAGTGTAATTTTGATATTTATTATAATTTTGGTGATGATAATCTTGTTGGCAAGTGTTGATAGTGTTTCTTCTTGTTTGGGGAAATGTGTCAGTCCTTGTGTGATGTCTATTGGTTAGAGAATAATCCTTATAGTTTTGTGTAGTATATCTCCTGTTAAGGTGATAAGTGCGTACTTGTTTGTTTGAGTAATCTGTCTTGTCCCTAATGTATTTCTTTATCTTAATATGTTTCGTGTCTGTCTCAACTTTTTCAATCTTACTCTGAATTAATATGCAGTTTTGGTTATAGGCTTGTGTTTCGGTGAAGGGTAATAGTTTTTCTTTTAGATTTAGGGTATAAAAAAATGCTCATTACCTTGGAGAGGAGGAGATATAAAAAATATTCTAGGCAAAATTGAGATGGAGTGGGTCTATAAACTACAGACTTTAACACCTAATGGACTTAATGCAGATTTTGATCTGCACAATTTTTTATAACAATATCCACTTTTATTGTTACCTTTTTTATGGAATTCTTATCTCTTTAATTTATTTTCAGTGCATTTATATTGCAGAGATTATATATTACATAATACATTTATATATCTGTATTTGTATTTTTAGTATGTGTATTTTTAGCATTTGTAGTTTTATTATTACTCTGATTGTTAAATGTATTCTGCTTAATACTTCTATTGGAATCCTCTATATGCTGCAATACTGTTTAAAATCGAATCCCTTATGTTTTTTGCCCTTAGGAGCTCGGTGACCGGCAGGACTCCATTTCCCATGGAGCATTGCGCTCCCATGCTGGCCACCGAGCCCTCTGTTTACATCTCTAAGCGATCCGCCTATTCAGATGGTCCGCGCATGCGCGGCACGTCCCGATCACGTGATCGGGACCAACTTAAAATAAAACTTTATAAAAGCTTCGTTTTTACAAAATTAGTATTAACCAAGCCTAATCAGGCTTAGATCTTTGTATTTATATAGTTTTTTACTTATTTCTTATTGTAATTTTCGTTCGGTTTTAATTCTTGAATATGATTGGTGCACTAAATTTTGGCGCCAAATTCAATTTCTGTATGAACTTATAAATTCTGTTTTCTGCCAGGTGTATTGTTCTTTTACCATTTTGAAAAAACCTCATAGGTGAAACGCGTAAATGGTTTTAAAAAGTGTATTTTAAATCAATAAAAGTTAATTTTGGTTAGCCTTTTATACGAGGACCAATCTTATACTTATTTTTATTGTATTTTATACATTTCAACTACTCCTGGCACTTTTTTATACTATATCTTTTTATTTTTATCTTTTATTAATTTTTATTTTTAAAACACCATAACCCTGAAGTGTATCCTGTCCAAAGAAATCCTCAGGTGGGGATAATTCCACCAGCGCTGTGGTAATAGAGCAGTATTTGTCTGCTCTATTCTTGTAAGTATAATTTATTTTCTTAAAATATTTTTACTGTTCATACTGAGAGCACTATCTACTGTTTTATATATTTCGTGGATACCCATTATTCCAAACTGGAGAGGCGGACCTATCTCCCCAAGCACCATAGAACTACGCACATCTGAGTAGGTCCCAGCCTACATCAAGGAAATCCAAAGTCGTGACAGACGGACCCATCACTAAAGTGTATCCGATAGTGGGGATTAAACCACTAAGTGCCTCTTCTCCTAGAGCTGGTTCAAGCTCCAACAAATGTGATTGGAATACTTTTCTCTTGATTTATACATCACATCTAGACGTACTATATTTCACCATTGGAAGCTCTCTATCTGTTTTTATTTCCACATATATGGACTATCTGCCGCCACACGGACGGATCAACACCTGAGGACTATTACCCTATCATCACATATCAGTGAGACTGTTTTTATCCATTTTTAGACGAACTTGGTCTATTGATTATATCCTATTTTTTATTTTTTTATTTTTTTTATTATTATTTATTATTTTTTAGCGCAGCCCTTTCCCCCCTTTTTTGTATTTTACTGTCTCTACAAGGGTTTCTTGAGGGATTCCCTTATAGGGTTGCTGCTCCTCCGGTTTAGCGCAGACTCTTCTCCCCCCTTTGCTTCCCAATGGATATACTTGCCACATTTATTTATTCAATGAAGTGATTACACCGATTTATATGACAACAATGAATACATTGGATCAGGTGAACAGAATTGAATGGTGCACACACACACACAGCACGTGATAGATAATAACAAATCGGACAAGCTATCCAAATGAAATAACAGTTAACAAACATTGCTACAAGTGTCCATAATTGCAAGGAATGTTTTTGGTCGCTCGGTCGGTCCGGGCTTCATTCAGGCATGCCGCAGACAGGGGGAGGCAGAGATCGCACTTACGGCAGAGAAAGAAAGCAGGAAAGGAGAACAAGTTTGCCTTCATTTGCAGGTTTCCTGCATTTCTTTGCCACCCACCATGTGAGAGTCCAGAGGCTTGCTTTTTCTTTTTCAATTCTATTTTTGTAACCAGCATAAGAGAGGTGCACCGGTCCTGGAGGTACTGCAATACCAGGTCAATGCGTGGAGTGGACAGAGCAAGCTCTTCTTCCATCTCCCTGTCCCAAAAATCCATTTAATATATGGTCCCCAGATAGGGGACGTATCAGATATTAAACTGATAAGAACAGATTTTTTATTGAATAAAAAGTCTTTATTTCAAAATAAACAGTTTACAGGTTAAACATATCTGCGACGCAGCGCAGTGTCAAACATTCTTATAAACTTTATACCTTGCTGGCAGTCCGCATTGGGCATTTTGGTCAGAGACTTTTATTAGTGCGCAAGTACCGACTGCCAACCATACATACATAAATGCACCCATACATTCCCAGTAAAATAAATAAATAATTGGGGAGGGGGGCTTATCTTCACTTTAACAGTTGGGGTTATGTTGATTGGGCTCAAGTCTCGAGGAAAAGAGGGGGGGGTTGGGCTGAGGGGTCTTAATCTCAGTCCTCCTCTCTTTCACCGAGGTTGTCTATGGTGTCATAGTCTCTGAGCATGCTGTGAATCAGTCTGCGGCAGTCTCGGATAGTGACTTGTTCCCTCCTCAACACCAAGCGATTCCTGGCGAACCATAGGGCATCCTTCATGCAGCACAGTAGGCGCCATGCATCCTCAATTGCCCCTACTGTGTGTGTTCCGGGGAATAGTCCGTACAGAACAGATGCTGTCTTTCGACTGAGTCTGAGTTCTCTTTCCAGGGCACGCAGCAAAGCCTGTGCAAATTCGCACTGCCAGAAGAGGTGTAGAGAAGTTTCCTCCTCTACAATGCACTGCGGACAATGTCTGTATCTGCACAGCCCCCTCGCATGCATGAATGTCCTTAGGGGGAGGCCTCCCTGGATGGCCATCCATGCCAAGTCTTTGTGTCTATTGGTCAGCCTGCCGGATGCCACATTTTTCCATACAGTCTCTGTTGTGGCGGCTGGCAGCCCTGGAACAGACTCTGTAATGTCTTGTGCTCTGATGAGTTTGTAGATCGCCTTAGGGGTCCACAGTTCCGGTTTGACTCCTTCCAGATGATGTTCCTTCACAAACTTTCTCACATCAAGGTAATACCAAGGAGTGTTCCAGTTGTAAGGGATGGAGCTGTCCCACTTGTCCCAGCCCAGCCCTCTCCAGATGGGTAGGAGGAAAAAGCGGGACATGGAGTTACCAGCAGAGCGGTTTGAATTGTCTCTTAGGGTCCTTTGAACTCCGTTTGCATACAAAGAAGGCTCGAAGCCAGGCAGGTATATCCGGCACTCCCTTGCCTCCCTTGTGGGGTTCTTTGTACATCACGGTGCGCTTCACTCTGTCCATCTTGGATCCCCAGATGAAGTAAAAAAACTGCTCTTGTGATGGCTCTGCAAACAGCCATCAAAGGGGGCCACGCCTGGGCCGTGTACTGCAGAACAGGGAGGATCTCGTTCCGCAGCACCAGTTTTTTTCCTTCGATGGTAAGGTCTCTGAGGCTCCACAATCCATACTTCTGGTTCACTTTTGCCAGTCTTTCGTCCCAGCTTTTTAAGGCAGCACCCTCTCCTCCAAACCAGACCCCTAGGATCTTAATGAGGCTGGTTTTGATGGGGAAGGGGAGAGGGTGTGAGGGTACATCCCACTGCCCAAACAGCATTGTCTCTGACTTCCCACAGTTGATCTTTGCTCCTGAAGCTCTGCTGAAGTCGTCGCAGGTGGACTTGAGCGCTCTCACTGCATGGTGGTTGGCGCAGAAGATGGTGACGTCGTCCATGTAGATCGAGCACTTGATCTCTTTTCCTCTGGTTCCCGGTGTGGTGATCCCTCTGATCTCCAGGTTCTGCCTGATGGACTCGGCAAAGAGCTCTATACAACAGACAAAGAGGAGAGGTGAGAGAGGGCAGCCTTGCCTGACCCCTAATCTGACTAGGAAGCGTTCAGTTTTCCAGCCATTCACCAACACAATACTGCAGATATCACGATACGTTAGGTTTACATAGGAGCAGAACACTTCCCCCAGCCCAAACCTGCGCAGTGCCCTGTTCATGAACTCGTGAGAGACACGATCAAAGGATTTCTCCTGGTCTGGTCCAGGCACACGAGTGCGGCCCGGACCCGGCGGTCCTTGATGTAAGGGATCGTGTCTCTGACGAGTGCCAGGCTGTCGGAGATCCGGCGCCCTGGGATGCCACAGGTCTGGTCAGGGTCAATGATCTGTGCTATGACCTCCTTCAGTCTGGTTGCTAAGACCTTGGCCAGGATCTTGTAGTCCACATTAAGGAGAGAGATGGGCCTCCAGTTTTTAAAGGTCGCATCTCTCCCCCTTCTGTTTATACAAAATTGTGATCATACCCTCCCTGAGAGTGGGTGGTAGGCAGCCCGCCTCTGCCATCTCCTCATACAGGGCCAGCAGGTCCGGTCCAATGAGGTCCCACAGTGTTACGTATAACTCAGCTGGGAGACAGTCACTGCCCGTGGTCCTGTTTGGTCTAAAGGATCTGACTGCAACGTGCAGCTCTCCCAGGGTCAGGGGGGCGTCTAGCACGGCTTTCCCTGCTGGATCTACCGTCCTTGTGATACCCGAGAGGAATCTCTCGGCGGCATCATTGCATATGTGCTTTGGGGAGTAGAGGTCCTTATAGTAGTCCGTTACTACCTTCGTGACCCTCTCTTTCCCCTGTTGCATATCACCTTTACCATCTCGCAACTCCGACAAGGGTGTGTGGCCGGAGTGGAGTTTCCTGAAGAAGAAAGAGTTGCATTTCTCCCCCTTCTCAAGATTCTCCACCTTGGAACAAAAGATGATTTGTCTGGCTTCTTCCTCAAAGTGTCTTTTCAGACCCTCCTTGGTTTCCTCCAGCTCCTCACCCACGTCCCATCCACAGAGTTGAAGGTCCTGCAGAGACTGCAACTTCTGTTGCAGTCTCTGGAAGTACCTCTTCCTGGCAGCCGCTAAGCTTCTGCCTTTTGCCTGCCAGAAAATGCGGAGCCTGACATTGGTCTGTTCCCACCATTCTGCCATGGTATGGAATTAACTCTTGTCAATCTGCCATCCCAGGTACGCAGTCTGCAGCAGAGTACAGTTTAGCTTCCAGGCACCTGGACCAGGGGGAAAACCCTTTCCCAGTGTACCCTTGAGCTCCACCGCCCTGTGATCAGAGAAAAAGCAGGGAACGGTGGCAGAGCGCGCATGCTTAACTGTTCGGGATGTGAACACAAAGTCTGTCCTTCAGTGCTAAGACCCATCTGGGCGGCTCCATGTATAATTTACAGAGCCATTCCCCATTGAGCCCACAGCGTCCCTCATGGATGCCTCAGTGATCATCTCCCTAAGCAGTTTGGAGGTTACATCTAGCTTGGCTGCGCTCTGGGAACTGCGACCTCCTTCCTCTATCGGACAGTTGAAGTCACCTCCCATCAAGACTGTTCTGGTAGTTGCGAGTTGGGCCCGCAGGGTTTGGAGTAGTTCCAAACGCCGTCTCTTCTCCGGCGAGGCGTACAAGGAGATGAACCTCACCGGTTCCCCTGCCCAGGAGCCGTCCATGACTAATAGTCGACCACAGACAAGCTCCCGGACAGAGTCCACCGAGAGGCATCCTCCCCGGATTAGGACAGCGGTACCTGCTGACTTGCACCCGTTCCCACCAGACCAGAAGGATGGTCCGTGCGTCCAGTCCCTGGCCTGGTGGCGGTAGGACTTTGAGAAAGGGATGGAACATTCCTGCAACATAAACACCTCACACTTGAGAGAGGCTAGATATCCTAGCACAGCATGTCTGTGTAACTTATCCTTGATGCTCCTAACATTAATGGTGAGAATAGAAATAGACGCCATAATTAATGTAAAGGAGAAAAGACCGTCACCCACAGACATGGCTGCTCAGTTACCGTCGCCATCCCCCTGTTGGGGGAAGCTACTTCCTTCTCCTCCTCCTTGGTCCTTAATGTCCAGTGGTGGTGGTGGAGGTGGTGGGCGCGTCTCCCACTGAACTGGCTCCGCAAGGAGGAGTTGTTGGCAGTCGAGGGTTTCCGTGTACTGCAGCTCTGGGATTGATGATGTACCACACTCGAAGGCTTCTCGGATGAGCTCGTCTGCTTCTGCATTGGTTACCTCTGCAGGGGAGGGGGAGGCTGCTGTTTGCGCCTTTTTCTTTTGCTGACCCTTGGGTGGACTTGTGTCCCCCAGTCCTGCTTCTTCATTGCAAATTTTCCGTTTCCGCTGACAGGAGTCCCGCAGTTGTTCCTCGAGGGGTTTACCTGTAGCGGGGAGGAGAGCGGGGAAGGGGTCTTGGAGGGGGGGGTCCTTCTTTTTGCCTGGCTTCTGTTTCAGTTGGAGGGTCTCAGCTGGGCCTGTCGCTGATAGCCCCTTACTTGCTACTGCCGCGTAGCTCCTGGTCCTTTTTGGGCAGTCCTTGTACATGTGTGAGGTGTCCCCACACAGGTTGCAGGTTGTTCTCCTGGGACAGTTTTTGGTGTCGTGGCCTGCCACCTTGCATACCCTGCAGGCGGATGCCTTGCAATCCTTTCCCTGGTGCCCGGGCTGGTTGCATTTCCGGCAGTTCCTGGGTTGGTCTTGGTAGAACAGCATGCCAGATGAGCTACCTAGGGAGAAGCATTGCGGCAGATGTAAGTTCCCAGGAGAGGATGGATCCTGTTTCAGGCGGACAATCAGGAACCATCTTCCTGTCCAGAAGCCATGCTTGTCTTTGATCTGGGCTGGGTCGCTCATCACCGTGCAAAATCTGCTTAGAAACGTTGCGATGTCCTTGCCAGGGGTGTGGGGGTTCTTCATGGATACCGTCACCCTTCTCTCCTCTCTCTTTATTGGGCAGCTTCCTATAAATCGAGCGAAAGGAGAGTCGGGTTTGGCCGCAAGGAATTGTTCCCAGTACCTCTTGCAGATTGCCATCGTTATGAACGTGACGTGGAACAGACCTGCTGCGAGGGATTGTACACTCAGGGTCTCCGCTGCGGTGAATCCTTGGTCCAATATCATCTGTTTGCTGAAGGTTTCTGGGTTCAAGTCGGGAATCCTCCCGTCTACTTCCTTCACTTTCAAGGCTACTGTGGTTTTCATCCATGGCTCCAGGATGGGTGCTTCTCCATGGTTTGCCCCGGTTCCCTTGCTCTTACCAGTGGAGGCGAGGGGAGCGGTCCCGGAGTTCTGGGGTTTAGACCCAGTGCCTTGTGGTGTAGCAGTCTTGGCTCCCGTGGCTGCCATTCTTGGTGCTCTCTGGGCGGTGTTGGGTTAAGCAGAAATTGTGGTTGAGCTGTTCAGCACTGAGGTTTACTCCTCCGCAGGAGCTGCTTCTAGTTTACCTCAGCTTTTCCTCCGCAGGAAGCTCGACTGCCACTCTTTCTCCGCCCCTTCAGGAGATTAGCGTTGCCTAGGCTTCCTTCTCCGCAGAAGGCCCTACTGCCTTGGCTACCCGCTGTGAAGTGGTACACGCCGCCTTACTTTGGAATCCTCCTCCGCAGGAGATCTTAATTCCGCCGCTTGGCGTTTTCCTCCACAGGAGATTTGCGCTGTCTAGCCAAGGCTTCCTTCTCCTCAGAAGGCCCTACTGCCTGGGCTACCCGCTCCGCCGTGGGTTGCGCTTCCTAGCTTTGGATATCTCCTCCGCAGGAGATCCTAGTTCCGCTGCTTGGCCTTCTCCTCTGTCGGAAGTTGCGCTGCCTTGGGTCCCTTCTCCCTAGAAGGCCCTACCACCTTGGCTTCCCGCTGTGCAGTGGGTTGCGCTGCCTCGCCCCGGATTCTTCCTCCGCAGGAAGCTCTACTTCCGTTGCTCGGCTTTCTCCTCCGCAGCCGCCCAGTCTATGCCACCCTCTGGATTCGCTGCCGGCTCAAGCCTCAAGAGTGTTAGGAGTCCTTCTCCAGCATAGAATCCACTCTGTGTTGGGGAACTCCAGCAGTTTCACCAAGGTTACCGGGGGCAAATCATTGTTGCTTTGGTTTCCTTCTCTGCAGAAGGCCCTACTACCTAAACCTCAGCAACCCGTGATTGCATGTGTATAGCACCACTGTTCGGATACTGTATCTGGTCCACACCAAGAGGCCACTCTGGTTCGATCTTCCCCCAATAGCAGCAGGTAGCTTAAGCCAGTTAAGGCGATGCTACAGGGCCAAGGGAAGATACTCCAAAGCACCTAAAGGCAAAGCACAGAACAGATTTTTTTTTTTATTAACCACTCAGTCAGAGCATTTCCTCCAGAAGACATTCAAGGAATCTCTCAGGTAACATCCTCATGGTCTTTTCCAATAAAATTTTAATGATCATAACACAGCAATAACACATCAATTCCCATCACCACCCCAAAACCACAGCAAACCACCCACCACAAAGACCACTGCAAACAAGGAATACTATCACAATCATCCATCCATTCATACTTACCCCCATTTTTATTTACATCAAAGGTACACAGAACACACTAGATTTTGACAATTATAAACCAAAACACCCACCGCCCACACATTACGTCAACCCGCCATAAAGACTTTGATTACTGTTAGAAAAAAGAAAAACATTGATTTCATAGTAAATTCCAATTAACCTCTGCACCATCATAAGATTTCTACATTCACAAAAACAATACCACATATTTATACCAATTCCCCTACCACCTGCCTCCTTTCTACGTACACCATCTTTTCCACTTTTTTGTCTTCCACACCCCTTCCGCATCAAGCTCTCCATTCTTTCTTACATCCCTTAAATAATACAAGAACACCTTCCCTCTAATCATTTTTACACATGCATCCATAGACAAACATTCATTCTTAAAAATCATTAAATTTCTAGCATCCCACACAACTTCCTTTATACATGCCATCAAGATCCACAATACTTTTTCTTTCTCTTTTTCCAACTTACACAACCCAAAAACCAACACTTCATACGAAAACACAGGGATCCCAGTCAAACCTACCACTAACTTCAAACATTTTTTCATAACTTCTCTCACAAAATCACAATTCCAAAACACATGCACTATATTCTCTCTCGCCCCACAACCTTGTCTCGGACACATTTCAGATCTTGCAAGCCTTCTCCCATACTGAAATTCTCTCGTCGCCAAACAATTATGTATCACCATCCATGCAATATCTCTGTCTATTTAACATCTCAATTCCATTCATTCTTTTCCAAACTTCTCTACTCAAATTTTCATTCAACCCATCGATAACTATCACCTCCTCCCTATCATTTAATATTTTGAACACTTTCTTCTTCTCACACCATTCATCAATCGAAACATTCTGCAATTTGTACTTTTTAATACAAACAACCACTTTTTTTATAAAACCACGGCACATCCAAACAAACAGATTTCGTCCTCTCCAAAACAAACAATCCAAACCTTCTCAAACTCATCCCCGCCGCATACTTCAACATACATGCTACCAAGCTTCCCTTCTTTCTAATTTTAACACACATAATGGATCAATAAAAATCTTTCTACATTTGGAACATCCATACCTCCATTTATTCTTTTCTTAACCATTTTCTCTCTCCCCAATCTCTCCATTCTACTACCCCAAAAAAATAAAAAGACAATTCTGCACAATTTTCTCAAATTCTTATCTGATGGTAAAAACACAAAACTCAAATACAAAATAATTGGCAACAACACTGCTTTAATTATTAACACTTTACCCCCAAACGACAACACTCTATCATTCCACAACCCAATCTTCTGATTCACTCGACAAACCACTTTCTTCCAACTTTCTTTCCCATTTAAATCATCCCCAAACTTCACACCTAAAACTTCAATGTCATTTTCTACAGTCGGCCACCCACATAATTCCAACTCTCTCCAATTCCCAAACTCCTTACAAGCACATTTACCCCAGTTAACTCTGAATCCACCAGCCAAACAAAATCTCTACCAACAATTTCACCCTACTCAAACTAGCCTGTGTCTTACAAATCACCGTAACGTCATCCATATAGCCAATCACTTTCATACACCTTGCACTGCTACCCGGAATTTCAATCCCTTTCACAACTTTTTCATAATACTTCTCAACAAAGGTTCAATTACACAGATAAAAAGTATCGGGGACAAGGGACATCCCTGTCTCACACCCGAGCACACTTTAAAACTGTCAGTCAGCCATCCATTAACTTGCACCACACTCAATATCATCATACATACATTTAATCCATTCCATCAATTTCATTGGTAAACCCATCCTTTCCAAAATCCTAAACATGAAATCATGCGCCACCCTATCATACGCCTTCTCAAAGTCTATTGTTGCAATTGCTACCTCTTGTTTTCTCTCCTTACAATGCCAAATAACATCTCTCAATCCTATCAAACTCTGATATTTGTCTCCCAGGCACAGCACACACTTGCTCCTCACCCACCATTCCCTCAATCACTCTTTTAATCCTATTTGCAATCACTTTGGCTATAATTTTGTAGTCCACATTCAACAATGTAATCGGTCTCCAATTCTTTAAATCACACCTATCACCTTTCTTAAAAATCAATACAATTACTCCCTTTCTCATCGATTTAGTCATACCACCTCCATTCAAAACTACATTACAAACTTCAACAAAATCATCCGCCAACACCTCCCAACACATCCTGTCAAACTCAATCGGCAAACCGTCACACCCAGGCGTCTTATTCAATTTGAATTGAAAAATAGTTTCAAACAGTTCATTTTTATTCATATCTCTTTCCAACCAACTCACATCCTCTTCATTCACACCATTCTCAATACCACCCAATACGTCCTTTTCCAATACCACATCTCTAACGTTCTCCTTATACAATTCTTCATAAAAAAGTTTAACTTCATTCAACAAAGCAGTCTTGTCATTCACCACACACCCATCCTCTTTCCTTATTCCTTCTATACCCCTTCTACCATCATACACTTTTTAAAAAAGAACCTTGAACACTTCTCATCATTCTCCAATACATTCAACTTTGCAGCAAACACTATCTTTCTACCTCTTTCTTCCAAACATCTACGTCTATTTTCTCTAGCATCCTCCAACTCATTTACCACTTCCCAACCCAACTCTCTGTTTACATAAATAATCAATCCTTTTTCTCCATTCATCCCAACATTCTCTTTCCTGTCTCGCTTTTTCCCACCCTTTTTTTGTAAAAAACATACAAGTCTTTTTTCATCCATTCCCACCAATCCAACACACTATCAAAATTACTTTTACATTCCCTCCAATAATTATATAATTTCATATATTCATCTTTCAAACCCTCATTCTTCAAAATACTTACATTCAACTTCCAGAATCCCTTACCATGTACCATTTGTACTTCCATTCTCACCTCACATTCCAACAACACATGATCGGAAAAAGGAACTTTTTAGTGTACGTAGAAATTTGCCCTGCGCACCCTGTAAAATAAAACAATAATCAATACCGGACCTCACAGTGCCCTTATCACTAAAAAAAGTAAACTTATCACAATCCCCCAAAACATCTATCGCATCAACAAACCTAAAATCCCATGTCATTTAAAAATCTCCCCGTTTTATCCAGTTTATACCCATCACCTAAACCCATTCTATCTTCCATTCTAATAATGCAATTAAAATCCCCACACAAAAAGGTCAATTCCTTCCCAAGCAACATAAGCTTTAAACATTCAAACACATCCATTCTGTCTTTTTTATCTACCGGTGCATACATATTAATAATCCTACACACAGTGCCCCTATACATAAAATAAACCATTAACACCCTCCCAGAAACAATTTCAACTACTCTCAAAATATCACACTCCCACCCTCTAAATAGAACCACTACCCCAATATTTTTACCTACACCACAAGAATAAATTGATGGACCCAAATCCCATTTTGTGCTTAAAGGTTTATCACCCAAATTACATTCTTGTAGAACAATTAAATCAAAGATTAATTTAGACAAAAAATCAAAAATAAAGGCTCTCCTCACAGCAGATTTTATGCTTCTCACATTTAGAGAAGCAACACGGAAACAATTAGTCAGAAGTACAAAACCTCATCATCTCACGTCCCTTCATCGGAACAAAAATTGCTCTCCTGCTCCTGAGAAAAGCCTGAAATGTCAAACAACCTGGAAACCGCTGCTGTATCAAAAATAGGGGATTAAGGCCCTGAAGTCTCCGATTCAGAGCGTTCCCCAACCTCAGGAGAAGAAATTACCAAAAGCTTCTGGAACTCTCCAGATTCCTTCATCTTTTTTCTTTTTGCTACAGGTACCTTCTCATACTCACTGGTAACCCCCGAAGTGGAAGCACCAGCCTCTTTTGAAACCACCACCGGCACCTCTTCACACTCCATCACCTCAGCCACGACTTCTACTTTTGCACCCTCCTGCTTGGCTGCTTTCAAAGCATCTTCCTTCATAATTTTTGCATGCCTTTCCACATGCTCTTCAACAGAGCGTAATTGCGTACCAAATGAAGGAATAAAAGGCACCCTTACTTTTGCAGCAATTTTCACACCGGGTTTACCTTGCACGTCTGTACCTACTGCATGCTCTGCCACAGGAGGATCTAAACGTAGATTTGGGCACCACCTTGCTAAATGGCTGACTGACCCACACAAGTCACATTTACGTCTTTCAGCACATTCAAATGCCGTATGACCCTCCCCAAAACAATTTCTACAGCATACGCCCTTACTACAATTATCGCTCAGATGCCTGAACTGAAAACAGTTCCTGCAATATAAGGGCTGTCCAGGGTAAAACAAATACCCCCTATTTCCCCCAAGAGAGAAATTTTGCGGGGGGTGTTTCACTCCACTCACCTCTGTAGAATCAGTCTTCAGGACAACAAAGAACTTTCGTTTTCCATTGTAGACTCCATATGTATTAAGCAACTTAACCGGCTTTGAAACCGATGAACAGTACCTGCTTAGGAACACAATTCATCATCACTCACAAAAGGATTGTACATGTGAATACAAAGCGGGATCCGAGCCACAGGGACATAAGGCACAAAGGTAATAACCATCAGAAGACTATCACCTTCCTTCTGCTTCTTCTGCTCCATGATAGTAACATCAAACATACCTCGGGTCTGAAAATCCTTCACACAAAATAGCCATTCCCGAGGTACTTTCAGCAGCCCTTCCAAGATCTCTCTCTGGACCGCATACAAACCAACATCCTTCCGTCTCTCTTCCGCCACCAAAATCCTCAAAGTCTTGGGGTAAGAGGGGCCACCTCGCTCCATCGCAGATCACTTCCCGTTTCCCGTGGTGGTTCAGGTCACCCCCCAATAGCAGCAGCCGGACTGTGTCCACCAAGGCAGACACAGCCGGAAGGCCGAGGGGCTTGCGTCACCAACCAACAGGAACCTCCTGGCAAGACCAGTGTAAACTGATCTTAGCCAAAAGGCCGAGAAGCGATAACCGGAATAGGCGCCCAGCTACTCACCTGCCATTTGCATGGGCTTCTTCAGCTTGTGGTGAGCCTTGGGCACAGTACCACCTCTTCCTCATCTAGGTGTAAGCTGGCTACAAATAGCAATAGAGACACAGTCAGTCACAGAGCACACAACCTCTAAGCCCTGGAAACACAGCTCCCCTTCTTAACCTTGTCCATTCCTCTATATGCTCCCCTCCAGACATACCTTGCACCTCTCTCTCTCTCTCCAGCTGCTACCGCTGATGAGCCTAACGAGGCTGCTGGATCACCTGGTCTGTTCCTCTTTAGCTGCAAGTAGGGTAGATAGAGCAAGCAATTAAGCACCTGCTGGTTGCTCGCTGACTCAATGATTCAATTAATTAATTAACCCTTAATTGGTTACTTAGACGTTGCTCAGATTTCCCTCCAAAAGTTAGTGCTGTAATTTCAAAGACCAGCATGCTGCAGGCTGCAGCAGATTTGCATAATACCGCCCACTTTTCAGCATTGATAATGCAGCCAGCCAACAGAGTCCACCTGGATAGAAATACTCTGGCTTCCCAATGGATGTACTTGGCCCATTTATTTATTCAATGAAGTGATTACACAGATTTATATGACAACAATGAATACATTGGATCAGGTGAACAGAATAGAATGGTGCACACACAGCACATGATAGATAATAAATCGGACAAGCTATCCAAATGACATAACAGTTAACAAACATTGCTACAAGTGTCCATAATTGCAAGGAATGTTTTTGGTCGGTCGGTCGGGGCTTCATTCAGGCATGCCGCAGACAGGGGGAGGCAGAGATCGCACTTACGACAGAGAAAGCAGGAAAGGAGAACAAGTTTGCCTTCGTTTGCAGCTTTCCTGCATTTCTTTGCCACCCACCAAGTGAGAGTCCAGTGGCTTGCTTTTTCTTTTTCTTTATCGATTCTAGTTTTTTGAACCAGCATAAGAGAGGTGCACCGGTCCTGGAGGTACTGCAATACCAGGTCAATGCGTGGAGTGGACAGAGCAAGCTCTTCTTCCATCTCCCTGTTCCAAAAATCCATTTAATATATGGTCCCCAGATAGGGGACGGATCAGATATTAAACTGATAAGAACAGATTTTTTTTTTCTCTTTTTTTTTTGACCACTCACAGAGCCTTTCCTCTAGTTGAAATTCAAGGAACCTCTCAATATCATCATGATCTGTGCAATAAAATAAATAAAAATTAAACATCACTTCAAATCCACCGCAAACCAAAAATCCCACCACCAACCCAAAAACCACAGCAAACCACCCACCAAAAACCATCACAGCACATCCTTAAATAAACAATTCCTAACCACAGTCATCCATCCATTCATACTTACCCCTTAAGGACCAAACTTCTGGAATGAAAGGGAATCATGACATGTCACACATGTCATGTGTCCTTAAGGAGTTAAACACACTGTATATATACACATAGTATTAACACAAAAACCACACAACCCACCAACCTACATTACCAATTCCCACCGCTTTTCTTGCATAAAACCTGAATAAAAACCAATATACACATTAATGCAATTATTTAATTATTGTTCTAACCAGAAGACCCCATTAAAAAAAAATTCTACCCTTAAATTTACACACACCTTTGAATACTTAAACCTTGCCCACCACCTACAATGTTTCTACTTACACCACTTCCATTTTTTTCATTTTCCATACACCCTCTGCATCTAACTCTCCGGTTTTTTTCTCACATCTCTCAAATAATACAGAAACATCTTCCCTCTAACCATTCTTACACAATCATTCACTGACAAACTTTCCTTCTTAAATACCAACATATTTCTTATACCCCACATGTTACACACCATTATAATCCATAACACTCTCTTTATTTCTCTGACATACCAGACATCAATACATAAAAAGAAAACAGATATCCCAGTCAGTCCCACTACCAATTTCAACAACTTTTGCAACTTCTCAAAACAACAATTCCAAAACACGTGCACTACATTCTCTCTTCCCCCACAACCTTCTCTTGGACACATTTCCGACCTTGCTAAACTTCTTCCATACTGCACCTCTCTCGTTGCCAAACAATTATGCACAGCTATCCATGCCACGTCTCTTTATTAAAAATTAGTTTCATCCAATCTTTTCCATACACCTTTACTCATTTGTTCATTCAGACCATCTATTCCAATCACACTCTTTTTCATCCAATAATTTAAAAACTTCTCTTTTCACACCACTCTTCCCAAGATACATTATGCAATTCCTACTTTTCAACACCTACATTGATCCTTTTATAAAACCACGGGGTACTAAAACACACAGGTTTCGTTTGATCCATCACATGCAACCCATATCTTCTTAAACTCATACCCACTGCATACCTCAACATACATCCTATTACACTCTTTTTTAGAAATCCTAACACACATCCTAACATAATGAATCATTAAAAACTTTTCCACATCTGGCACATTCATACCTCCATTTACTCTCTTTTTAACAACTTTTTCCCTACACAATCTCTCCATTCTACTACTCCAAAAAAATAAAATTATTCTAATCTATTTCCTTATACTTTTATTATCAGGGGGAAAAACAAAACTCAAATATAACATAATAGGAATCAACACAGCCATAATTATCAACACTTCTCCTTCAAAAGACAGTATCCTTTCACTCCACAAATCTTTTGATTCACCCGACCAATTACTTTCTTCCAACTTTCTTTCCCTTTCAACTCTTCCTCAAACATTACACCTAAAACTTCAATACCATTTTCTACCACTGGCCAACCACATAACTCCAATTCTCTCCATTTACCAAACGCCATACATTTGCATTTATACCAATTTACCTTAAATCCACTAACCATACAAAAAAAAAAAAATAATCTAATAATTGAACTCTTCTCAAACTCACTTGTGCTCTACATACAACAGTCACATCATCCATGTAGCATCTATCACTGCTTCCAGGAATCTCAACCCCTCTCACAACTTTATCATTCACTATACTATTCAATAAAGGCTCTATTACACAAATAATAAGTATTGGAGACACTAACCCCAGAATGTACTCAAAAACTTTCAGTCATCCATCCATTAACTTGAACAACACTCATCTCTATACATACTTCTTATCCAACTCAACAATTTCCAAGGCAATCCCATTCTTTCTAACACTTTAAACATAAACTCATGCGCCACTCTATCATATGCTTTCTCAAAATCAATCATTGCAATTGCTACCTCAATCTTCCTTTCCTTACAAAACCATAAAACATCTCGTACGCCTATCAAACTTTCCGCAATCTGTCTACCAGGCACTGCACAAACTTGCTCCTCACCTACCATTCCTTCAATCACTCTTTTTATCCTATTTGCTACCAATTTTGCCATTACCTTATAATCCGCATTCAACAATGTGATTGGCCTCCAATTACCCAAATCATATTTGTCACCTTTCTTAACAATCTAAACAATTATTCCTTTTTTCATTGATTCAGACATCACACCTGCACTTCCCAAAATGTTCTATAAAATTCTACAGGCAATCCATCAAACCCCGGCGTTTTAGTCAATTTAAAATCATAAACAGTTTTATACACTTCCACCTTATTTACATCTCTTGTTAGCCACTTACCATCCTCTACACTCACTCCATTCTCAATACATTCTAACACTTCATTTTCCAAACTAATTTTTCTTTTTCTGTATATAAATCCTTATAGAAACTTGCAACTTCACTCAAAACCAAACTTTTTTTCATTTACTACTACCCCCTTCTCTACTCATAATACCTTCCATACCCTTTGTACATTCATATGCTTTTTAAAAAAGAACCTAGTACACTTTTCATCACTCTAACACATTCAGTTTTGCAGCAAAAACAATCTTTCTACCTCTTTCTTCAAAACATTTATTTCTAGTTTCTCTCGCATTCTTCAATTCATCCTCCACTTCCCATCCCAATTCTCTCAATTTACATAAATAATCAATCCTCTTTCTCCAATCATCCAGACATTCTCTCTCTGCTCTAGCTTTCTCCCATCCTTTCTTTGTAAAACATTTTTTTTTCCACTTTACCCATTCACATTTTATCCACAGTGGCGTCGCTGGGGGGGGGGGGCAGAGGGGGCCATGGTCCCCCCACATCATGCTGTGCCCCCTCTTGGGCCCCCCCAAATGCTGGCAACTTCCTGGCCATATGCTGTGCTTAAAGTTATATTCCCTCGGGCTGTAACAGTCTGTGACAGCCCGAGGGAATGCAGTACTGAGGTGCTGGGTGTTGTTTGTGGCCGGAGGTATAGGCCCCGCCCCCAAACAAAGCCCCGCCTCCCATTGAGCAGCAGACCTTGCTGCTGGAAAGGATGGAAGATGGATGTCTGACCCCCAGCACCAGCCTCCAGTGACAGGTAGGTTTGGGGTGTGTGTGTGTGTATGGACTCAGCAGTCTGTGTGTGTGTGTGTATGGACTCAGCAGGTGTGTGTGTGTGTGTGTGTGTGTGTGTGTGTGTGTATGGACTCAGCAGTCTGTGTGTATGGACTCAGCAGTGTGTGTGTGTGTGTGTGTGTGTGTATGGACTCAGCAGTGTGTGTGTGTGTGTGTGTATGGACTCAGCAGTGTGTGTGTGTGTGTGTGTATGGACTCAGCAGTGTGTGTGTGTATGGACTCAGCAGTGTGTGTGTGTATGGACTCAGCAGTGTGTGTGTGTATGGCAGTGTGTGTGTGTATGGACTCAGCAGTGTGTGTGTGTATGGACTCAGCAGTGTGTGTGTGTATGGACTCAGCTGTGTGTGTATGACTCAGCAGTCTGTGTGTGTATGGACTCAGCAGTCTGTGTGTGTGTGTATGGACTCAGCAGTCTGTGTGTGTGTGTATGTGTGTGTGTGTGTATGGACTCAGCAGTCTGTGTGTGTGTGTGTGTGTGTGTGTGTGTGTGTGTATGGACTCAGCAGTCTGTGTGTGTGTGTATGGACTCAGCTGTGTGTGTGTGTGTGTATGGACTCAGCAGTCTGTGTGTGTGTGTATGGACTCAGCAGTCTGTGTGTGTGTGTATGGACTCAACAGTCTGTGTGTGTGTGTGTATGGACTCAGCAGTCTGTGTGTGTGTGTGTGTATGGACTCAGCAGTCTGTGTGTGTGTGTGTGTGTGTATGGACTCAGCAGTCTGTGTGTGTGTGTGTGTATGGACTCAGCAGTCTGTGTGTGTGTGTGTGTGTATGGACTCAGCAGTCTGTGTGTGTGTGTGTGTATGGACTCAGTAGTGTGTGTGTGTGTGTATGGTGTGTGTGTGTGTGTATGGACTCAGCAGTCTGTGTGTGTGTATGGACTATATCAAGGGAAAATGTTTTTAATAATCCTTGGTGGAAAATAATGAATTCTCCACCAAGGATTATGAAAAACATTGTGTTGGGGGTGGGTGCTTAACATGCGGCAGGGGCGGGGTCAAACTGCGGCGAGGGTGGGGTTAAATGTGCCCCCCTACTTTTGTCCCTGGCCCTCCATGTGCCCCCCCTAAAAATGAATCCTAGAGACACCACTGTTTATCCAGAGTTCATACATCTTAAAATATTCTTTCTTCACGTCCTCATCCATTAACATACTCACTTTCAATTTCCAAAATCCTTTCCCAAATTCCATTCCTGCTTCCAATCTCACCTCACATTCCAACAGCACGTGATCAGAAAAATTCACTCTGTCCGTAGAAACTCAACCTTAACACCCTGTGAAATAAAACAGAAGTCAATCTTGGATTTAACCGTACCTTAACACTATAAAATGTAAACTTATCATTTTCCCCTATATACCCCACCACATCTACCAAACCATAATCCTTTACCAAATTTTTTAACTTTTCCCCTGTTTTATCCAATTTGTACCCATCACCCACACCCTCCCTATCTTTACACAAAATGCTACTAAAATCCCCACACAATACCGTAACCTCCCTCCCAGGCAAAACCAATCCTATACATTCAAACACTTCCATTCTTTCATTTTTATCAACAGGTGCGTAAACATTTATTCTGCCCACTGTACCAGTATATTCAAAATACACTATTAACACCTTGCCTGACACCACCTTCATAGATTTCAAAATACTAAACTCCCACCCTTTAAACAAAATTGCTACACCAGTGTTTTTTGCTATTCCTAAAGAATACACAGATGGTCCCTTATCCCAATGAAATTATACAGGATTGTCCATCAGACAGCATTCCTGCAAACAAAGAATATAAAGTTATTTTGCCTAAAAAAAAAAAATCTAAAAATAACCGCCCTTATTGTAGCCGCCTTTATGCTTCTAGTATTCAAGGAAATAACACGGAACATTGATCAGGGGTTATTAAACCACATCATCTCATGTTCCTTCACCATGTTCTAAGCTACTGTCAGGGTTCACTCGAAAACCAGTATCCTCCAACTCTGATACCGTCTGAGTATCCATTACTGGGGAATAAGACCCGGATACATCTGACTCAGACCAGTCTCCACCTACATGGGAAGAAGCCATCAAAATCTTCGGAAAGTCTACAGGATCCAACTCCTTACCTTTCCTCTTTTGTCTCTTTGCCGCTGGAACTTTTTTTTTTTTTTTTTTGGCTCAATTGCTCCTACTTCCATTACATTTGACGAACCTGCCATTTCTGCTTCCATAACTTCTGGTTCTGTAATCCTTACCTCTGTCTCTGGAACCACATCAGCTTTTTTTCAATAATTATGCGGCCTTTCTTCATGCTCTTGCTGAGTTCAGTTGTGTTCCGAAAGTTGGAATAAAAGACAACCTTGTCTTCTGAACGGTTTTTCATTCCACAGGAGCTTCAATATTTTCCGCCTATTCGGGCTCCACTGCAGTCCCTGTCCGAGGGGGACCCTGCTGCAAATTCGGGCAAAGCTTAGCCATGTGACGCTCCGAACCACAAAGATCACATTTCCACTTTTTGGTACACTCTGCAGCAGTATGTCCCTCCCCGAAGCAGTTCCTGCAGCATCCTGGTAGCAGTTTCGACAAAACTTTGGCTGTCCAGGGTAGAACAGGTATCCCCTGTTCCCCCCGATTGAGAAATTTCTAGGAAGGTGTTTCAACCTTCACTTACCTCTGAGGTATCTTGACGTAGCATAACAAACAATTTTCGCTTACCGTTATACACACCATAAGCATTAATCAGTTTCACTGGCTTAGACACTGAAGAGCAATACCTACTCAAGAAAATTATTATTTCCTCATCTGTCACAAATGGGTTGTACATATGTACACAGAAAGGAATACTTGAAACTGGCACAAATGGTACAAACTTAATGCCTTCCAATAATTTCTCACCTTCCTTTACCTGCATCCATTCCATCACCGTAGTAACGTGATATTGTTCAATAAAAGTAATATCGAAAATACCTCTCGTTTGAAAATCCTGGACGCAGAACATCCACTCTCTCGGCACTTTCAATAAATTCTCTAAGATCTATTTCTCTAACATACATAAACCAACTGATATCCTCTTCTCAGCCACAACATAAATACATATGGTTTTAGGAAAAGATGGACCTCCTCTCTCCATCATGGATCACTTCTCATTTCTCGTGGTGGATCAGGTCACCCCCCAATAGCAGCAGCCGGACTGCGTCCTCCAAAAGGAAGACACAGCCGGAAGGCCGAGGGGTTTGCGTCACCAACCACAAAAACATTCTGGCAAGACAAGATTAAACTTGATCTTAGCCAAAAAGCCGAAAACCGATAACTGGAATGGGCGCCCAGCTACTCACCTGCCATTCGCCTTGGCTTCTTCAGCTTGCAGTGAGCCTTGGGGACAGTACCACCTCTTCCTCATCTAGGTGTAAGCTGGCTACAAATAGCAACAGAGACACAGTCAGTCACAGAGCACACAACCTCTGAGCCCTGGAAACACAGCTCCCCTTCTTAACCTTGTCCATTCCTCTATATGCTCCCCTCCAGACATACCTTGCACCTCTCCCTCTCCAGCTGCTACCGCTGATGAGCCTAACGAGGCTGCTGGATCACCTGGTCTGTTCCTCTTCAGCTGCAAGTAGGGTAGATAGAGCAAGCAATTAAGCACCTGCTGGTTTGCTCACTCACTCAATGATTCAATTAATTAAACCCTTAATTGGTTACTTGGATGTTGCTCCGATTTCCCTCCAAAACATTAGTGCTGTAATTTCAAAGACCAGCATGCTGCAGCAGATTTGCATAATACCGCCCACTTTTCAACACTGATAATGCAGCCAGCCAGCCAGCCGAGTCCACCTGGATAGAAATACTCTGTCTTCCCAATGGATATACTTGGCACATTTATTTATTCTATGAAGTGATTACACAGATTTATATGACCACAATGAATACATTGGATCAGGTGAACAGAATTGAATGGTGCACACACAGCACATGATAGATAGTAACAAATCGGACAAGCTATCCAAATGAAATAACAGTTAACAAACATTGCTACAAGTGTCCATAATTGCAAGGAATGTTTTTGGTCGGTCGGTCGGGGCTTCATTCAGGCATGCCGCAGACAGGGGGAGGCAGAGATCGCACTTACGACAGAGAAAGCAGGAAAGGAGAACAAGTTTGCCTTCGTTTGCAGGTTTCCTGCATTTCTTTGCCACCCACCCCACCAAGTGAGAGTCCAGAGGCTTGCTTTTTCTTTTTCTTTTTCAATTCTATTTTTTGAACCAGCATAAGAGAGGTGCACCGGTCCTGGAGGTACTGCAATACCAGGTCAATGTGTGGAGTGGACAGAGCAAGCTCTTCCATCTCCCTGTCCCAAAAATCCATTTAATATATGGTCCCCAGATAGGGGACGTATCAGATATTAAACTGATAAGAACAGATTTTTTTTTTTTTTTTTTTTTTGAATCACTCAGTCACAGAGTATTTCCTCCAGATGACATTCAAGGAACCTCTCAAGTAACATCCTCATGATTCTTTTATAGTAAAATGCTTGTGAACACATCAAAATTTCACAAAAACCAAACCCCTTCACCTTCCCCCAAACCACAGCAAACCACCCATCAAAGAAAATCACTGCAAACTATAACTCTTAACTCATTCATTCATCCATGCATACTTACCCCAGCGACCATTTTTTTTTCTCCTTTTTTTCTTTTTTCTTTTTCAATATTTACACAAAAATAACAAAAAATAACCACACAACCCATCACCCAATATTTTCAATACCCACCATATTTCTTTCATATAACCCTACAAAAATATAAATAGTTATTTAGAGTGTTTTTACTTTTCGAAAACCATCTTTAACAAATCCCCACCATTCTATACATAAATATGTTTTTCCTTTACAAAATCGAATTACTTATAAAAATATTCGTTAAATCCCATACCACTCAAACTACCCACCACCCAACTTACTATGCACACCATTTCTTCCATTTTTTGGTCTTCCATATCCCTTCCGCATCAATGTCACCTTTTTTCCTCACGTCCATTAAATAATATAAGTACAGTCTTCCTCTAACCATTCTCACACATCCATCCAGTGATATAAGTTCACCTTTATAAATTAACAAATTTCTTACATCCCATATCACTTCCTTTATACACCCAACCAATAACCATAATACTCTCTTTTTCTTTTTCAATCTTACATATCCCAAACAACAGCACTTCAAAAGAAAAAAAACTTGTATACCAGACAAACCTACTACCAACTTTAATAATTTTCTCATTACTTCTCTCACAAAATCACAATTCCACATCACATGTACAACATTCTCTCTACTACCACATCCTATTCTTCGACACACATTCGATCGTGCTATACTTCTTTCATGCTGAAATTCTCTTGTCGGCAATACATTATGTATTGCCATCCATGCAACATCTCTTTGTCTATTCAAACATTCACCTTCATTCATTCTCTTCCATACTTCTTTACTTTGCACACTTGTCAGTCCACCAATTTCAATCATAACTTCTCTATCTTTTAAAATTTTAAAAACTTTCTTTTTTTCCAACCAATCATCCTGAGATACATTCTCTAATTCATATTTACTAACACACACCTCAATCTTCTTATAAAACCAGGGAGTATAAAAACACACAGGCTTAGTTCTATCTATATCATACCAATCAAATTTTCTTAAAGTCATACTTGCTTGGTATTTCACCATACATGCAATCATACTATCTTTCTGGCTTAATTTCACACACAATCTTACATATTGTATCAATAAAAACTGTTCAAGATCCGGTACACCCATTCCACCATTCTCTCTTTTTCACTACTTTCTCTCTATTCAATCTTTCCATTCTGCTAGCCGTACAAAAAATATCTACCAATAATTTAATTCTTCTTAACCCTGCTTGAGTACTGCACACCACTGTCACATCGTCCATATACCCAATCACTTTCAATCTCCTCGCACCACTACCTGGGATTTCTACACCTTTCACAATCTTATCTTTACTTATGCTCAGGAGTAGCGGCTCAATCATACAAATAAAAAGAATGGGGACAAAGGACATCCCTGTCTCACCCCACAATGTAAACAAAAAGCCTCAGTCATCCATCCATTCACTTGTACCACACTTTCAATATTCACATACAAGCACTTAATCCAATTTAATAGTTTAAATGGTACACCCATTCTCTCCAAAATTTTAAACATAAAATCATAAGCTACCCTGTCGTACGCCTTCTCAAAGTCAATCGTAGCCACCGCTACTCCTTGCTTTCTTTCAATACAATCATATAAAACATCTCTCACCCCTATCAAACTCTCAGCAATCTGTCTCCCAGGTACTGCACAAATTTGTTCTTCTCCAATCATATCACCAATCACCCACCTCATTCTGTTTGCTATCAATTTCGCTAAAATTTTATAATCCGAGGTAAGGTAATTGGCCTCCAATTTTTAAGTTCCAATTTATTTCCCTTTTTAAAAATTAAAACAATCACACCTTTTTTCATTGATTCAGTCATCTCACCCTTACGCAGAACACATTTACACACTTCTAAAAAAATCATTCTCAATCATCTCCCAACACATCCTATAAAACTCCATTGGCAAACAATCACTTCCTGGTGTCTTATTTAACTTAAAATTTTTTATTGTATCCCATAACTCTTTTTTATCTATTTCTTTATCTAATTCACTTTTGTCAACTTCCTGAATACCCCTATCAATTTTTCCTAAAAATTCCTTTTCCAAACTTACATCTCTCTCTTTACATGAATACAAACATTCGTAAAATGATCTCACTTCTTGTAACATTAAAACCCCATCATTTATAACCATTCCTTCTTCATTTAAAACACCATCCATACTTTTTTTATTGTTAAATACTTTTTTTTTTAAAAACTCGTACACTTCTCATCCTGTTCTAAAACATTCAACTTTGCCGCAAATACTACCTTTCTTCCTCTTTCTTCCAACCATTTTTTCCTATTTTCCCTTGCTTCTTCTAAATCAGTCTTTACATCATAACCCAAATCACGCAATTTACATAAATAATCCACTCTTTTCCTCCATTCATCAAAACATTCTCTTTCCTTCTTAGCTTTTTCATACCCACACTTTATAAAGAAGCTTTTTGTATTCATGTTTACCCATTCCCACCATTCCATAATACAAGCAAATTTATTCTTACATTCACGCCATTTTTTATACATTTTGAAATAACTTTCTCTCACCTCATCATCCATTAACATATTCACATTTAATTTCCAAACACCTTTTCCAAACTTCATTTTCGTATCCACTCTCACCTTACAATCAATTCTCGATTTCACTCTGCCTTTATCACTAAAAAAAAAAAAAACCTCACTACCCATTGTGACCTCCACCATATCTTTATACCCAAAATCTCACAATGTTTTTTAAACTACGTCCGTACTATCTAATTTATAATTGTCCCCACCCTAACTTCCTTTCTTATAATACAATTAAAATCCCCAATTAAAAATGTGAATTCCCTCCCAGGTAAATACATTCTCAAACATTCAAACATCTCCATTCTTTCTCCCCTATTTACCGGTGCATAAACATTAAATACTCTAAATAAAGTGCCCCTTAATAAAAAATAAACAATCAAAAGTCTCCCTGACACTACCTCTAACACTTTAACTATTTCAAAGTCCCACCCCCTAAACAATACCGCCACCCCCAAATTATTACCATTACTGCTTGAAAATATTGTTGGCCCCTGATCCCATTTAGCCACTTGTGGATTAAAACTAAGACCGCATTCCTGTAAACAAATAAGAGTAAAGGTTAAATTCTTCAAAAAGTCAAATACCATTGCTCTTCTATTTGCAGTCTTTATGCTTCTCACATTCAAAGAAAAAACAGACACCATTTCAGAGGATAAAACCTCATCACCAATCACGTTACATCTTCATATTTCTCTCCCCTCTCTGGGTCTTGAGAAAACCCAGAGATGTCAATCAGTCTAAAGACTGCCTGAGCGTCAAAAAGTGGGGAAGCCGGACCTGAAGCCTCAGAGTCTGACATCACTCCGACTTCAGGTGAGGACTCCAATAATACTTTAGGGAACTCACGAGACAGTTCCTGGCTCTGTCTCTTCATTCTTTTTGTAGCAGGAACACTTTTCCCAGCGTCCTCTTCCTCTGACTCAACCGTAGTGGAAGGTCCTGCTACAACTTTCTCCACTTCCACACACTCAGCACATTCCATTAACTCAGCAGCCACCTTAGTCTCTACATTCTCTCTTGCATTCTTTTTTGCCTCATCCTCAGCCATAATCCTTGCATGCCTCTCTTGGTGTTCTTCTATTGATCTTAATTGAGTTCCATATGAAGGAATAAATGGTAACCTTGTCTTGGTTACCGGACTCTTACCTACTTCCTTCTCACTTGGGTTCACACAAGGAGGCACCAATTGAACTGTCGGGCATGTGCGAGCCATATGCCTGTCTGAACCACAAAGGTCACACATACGGCACTCCGCACACTCAGCTGCTGTGTGACCTTCGCCAAAGCAATTACGGCAGCACATGCCCTTCTCACACTCCTCACTCGTATGTCCAAATTGAAAACAGTTTCTACAGTACATGGGTTGTCCAGGGTAGAACAAATATCCTCTATTCCCCCCTATAGAGAAGTTTTGTGGGGGATGTTTCAACCCACTGACTTCGCCAGGGTCAACTTTTAACACAACAAAGAATTTGCGCTTACCATTATATGTGCCAAACCTGTTCACTAACTTCACAGGTTTTGACACCACTGAGCAATAACGGTATAAGAAAGCAGCAATCTCCTCATCTGGAACAAACGGGTTGAACATATGGACCACCATGGGAATTCTGGATACAGGGACATACGGAAGATAAGATACACCTTCAAGCAGAGCTTCCCCCACTTTCTGATGCCTTCTCTCCATTATGGTAGTCACCTGCTCCTGCTCTTTCAGTGTAATGTCATATACACCTCTTCCAGGAAAATCCTGCACACAAAAAAGCCATTCTCTCGGTACCTTCAATAGCTCCTCCATGATCTCTTTCTGCACCGTGTAGAGACTCACAGCTTTCCGCTTCTCCTCGGCTACAACCACACGAATGGTTCGCTGGTAGGACGGCGCACCACGCTCCATCCTGGGATCGCTACCCGTTTCCAGTGTCAGCTCAGATCGCCCCCCAATAGCAGCAACCGGACCACGTCTCCACAGAGAAGACGCAGCCGGAAGGCCGAGGAGCTAGCGTCGCCAATCCACTGGAACCTCCTGGCAAGATAAGAGTACACTTGATCTTAGCCAAAAGGCCGAGAAGCGATAACCGGAATGGGCGCCCAGCTACTCACCTGCCATTCGCCTGGGCTTCTTCAGCTTGCGGTGAGCCTTGGGCACAGTGCCACCCACCTCTTCCTCATCTAGGTGTAAGCTGGCTACAAATAGCAACAGAGACACAGTCAGTCACAAAGCACACAACCTCTGAGCCCTGGAAACACAGCTCCCCTTCTTAACCTTGTCCATTCCTCTATATGCTCCCCTCCAGACATACCTTGCACCTCTCCCTCTCCAGCTGCTACCACTGATGAGCCTAACGAGGCTGCTGGATCACCTGGTCTGTTCCTCTTCAGCTGCAAGTAGGGTAGATAGAGCAAGCAATTAAGCACCTGCTGGTTGCTCAATCATTCAATTAATTAAATTAATTGGTTACTTAGATGTTGTGACGAGAGCAATCTCGCCACATTGCATTGGAGAAGCCTGGTTGCCCGCCTGTTGCCTTTGGATTATGGCCCCATGTTAAAAGGCTTGATTTTCCCCTGCAAAAACAAGAAAGCCGGGTCATTAGGTGCTTGCCCTGTTTGAGCCGTGATACCCCAGATAGCTATGCCATGGAGCCCATTCGTATAACGAAAGACTATGGGAAAGACCTTAGCTCCATGTCAATTGAACTGTAGGTGTGTGCTCTGAGTGCCATTCAGTAATAATGTGCGCTCAGACCTAAGCTATTTGGGCATATGTTGCATGTCTGTATTTTATGTCATAAATGTAACCTTGTGTATTTTATTGTATTTTACTGTCTTTTTGCGGCCATGTGTTCAATGGAGTTTTGCCTCTGTCTTTGGAGATAATTGGATTACTTCTAATTATCTCCAGGATAGAAGACTCTGTGGAACTGGTTTTGGGCAGAAAAGCCATGCTTTCTGTCGTCACAAAGGACTACGATCTATCTTTTGAACCACTGGACCAATTTGTATGATTCTGACGTATGTTTGTATTTGGAGTATGCTGATTCTGAATGTAAGTTTTATGTGAATGTGATGCATATTTTTCAAGTTATGAATAATGTGGAAAAATTGTATTTCTCTGCTGGTGCTAAATTACATCACCCATTGTGTAAGGTAATTGAATAACATGCAGAGGGGAGGAATTTGTGTGGGAGTGTCTGAGTGTATTGTATGTGTTTATTGGTTGTGTTCCAAAACCCTGTGGGTGGTACTAATGTGTAAGAATGTGTACATAAGCACAATAAAACCACAGCTCTTTCTGTTCACTGCTTGACCCTCAACACGGAGCTTTGAATCGTTCTTGGGGGGATTTATTGTATGCTGTTCCAGTTTGACTGCTAGGAGTGTAAACCTATTTATATGGTTTTTCCTATTCGGCTGTTTACAGCATTCATATGGTTTCCTGTTCGGCGGATTGGTGTTCTGCAGTATCTGTGCATCTGGAAGGGGAAGATCTACTAAACAGTTTTTACCCCTTTTTTGCAAAACGGTCCGTTACAATTGGTGGCAAGCGGCGGGATCGTTCCCACAGACTACAGGACAGCTACAGGCGACACCATTCCGTGGATTTACAATTTGAGGACAACGCATGTCTGAGTACAGCGACCCTGACAGCAACAGAATGGAACCAGCAGTATCATACGAGGAGGAGGACCTGGATGGCCGGGATGCATTAAGGAAAGACATCTGGTACCAAGCCCTGGATAATGTACAATACCAGCGGGGCGAGAGTCTCCCCAGTGAAGAGCAGCGGTTGCAGAAGCAAGTAGCCCTGCGGATGACTTTCCTGGGAGAGCAGCCCCTGGATGAATGGGTGAAGGAATTGGAGCACCGGGTATGGCAGGAGATTTGGCTGGAAGATGCCTACCAGGCGCTCTGGTGGTATGGGGCACAGTACCTGCCCTGGACAGCCGAGCATGACAAGCCAGAGGGAGAGGAGTTTGATGGTCCTGGCTTGTTGTGGGAGGCCTTTTCAGAGCCTGAATTTGGGAGCCCTACACAAGCCCGGTTCAGTGATCTCTTGGAGTGGAGGGAGAGCAGGTATGACTGGGATGACACTCACGACATTGAGCAAGACCTGGCTCACCTAGCAACCCTGGAGTGGGAACTGGAGCAGGACTACCGAGATCTCTTCCACTCCATTGAGAAGGCTCAGCAGTGCAGCAAGGTGACAGATCCAGTTCCAGAACCATTCAGCTGGGAAGACGTTGTTGAGATTTACTGGGAGGAACCCCAGGTGGAGATGGGACCGAGGTCTCTCCACCGGTATTGCAGGGAATTGGGAGCCTGAGCTCCATTCCCCAGCGGGAGATATTGCAGGGAATTGGGAGCCCGAGCTCCATTCCCCAGTGGCAGGCTGAGTTACAGGGGGCAGAGACAAGTGGTCCTGTCCCCCAGCGGTAGTGTACCTTGCAGGGAGAGGAGAGCAGCGTCCTCCCTCCCCAGCGGCAGGGTGAGCTACAGGGATGCTGGGCAGTCGGCTCAGATCCCCAGCGGCAGTGTGAATTACAGGGAATTGGGAGCCCGGTCTCCATTCTCCAGCGGGAGATACAGCAGGGAATTGGGAGCCCAGTCTCCACTCCCCAGCGGCAGTGTGTCCTACCGGGAATAGAGAGCCCAGTCTCCTTTCCCCAGCAGCAGGGCTCTGTATTGGGAGGAGAGACAGTCGGTCTCCCTCCCCCGCGGCTGGAAGTATATGTGAGAGAGGAGCTTGTTACCCCCTCTACCCAGCAGCAGCTTAAAGTACCCAGGGGAGACAGTAAGCCCCACAACTGTGCAGATGGGACCGTGGTCTCTGCACGTCCAGCACAGAGGGTAGGGACGGTCGGTTCTGCCCCCCAGCAACAGGGCTGTTTAGCCAAAGGGGAGACAGTCGGTCTCCAGCAGCAGGGCTGTATATCTAAAGGGGAGACAGTCGGTCTCCCCCTCCAACAACCAGGCTACTCCTCCAGTAGCGCTGGCAACAGAGCAGAGTACCGCTGGTCTCTGCCCACTCAGCAACCCACCAAGTCAGCATACCCATACCCAGCACAGCCGTGGTGAGACACCTGGACATGGACAAGCTTCTCCTCTACCCAGGTGTAGTATCCATTTATTGTGGGTGGGCTGTGCTGTTGATTGTGTTTTGTGGGTGGGCTGCTGGACTAACAAGGGCACTGACCGGCAGGAGGTCAGATACCCTGTTAGTCTGTTTGGAAAAGGGGAGAGATGTGACGAGAGCAATCTCGCCACATTGCATTTGAGAAGCCTGGTTGCTCGCCTGTTGCCTTTGGATTATGGCCCCATGTTAAAAGGCTTGATTTTCCCCTACAAAAACAAGAAAGAAGGGTCATTTGGTGCTTGCCCTGTTTGAGCAGTGATACCCCAGATAGCTATGCCATGGAGCCCATTCATATAATGAAAGACTATGGGAAAGACTTTAGCTCCATGGCAATTGAACTGTATGTGTGTGCTCTGAGCGCCATTCAGTAATGTGCGCTCAGACCTAAGCTATCTGGGCATATGTTGCATGTCTGTATTTTATGTCATAAATATAACCTTGTGTATTTTATTGTATTTTACTGTCTTTTTGCTGCCATGTGTTCAATGGTGTTTTGCCTCTGTCTTTGGAGATAATTGGATTACTTCTAATTACCTCCAGGATAGAAGACTCTGTGGAACTGGTTTTGGGCAGAAAAGCCATGCTTCCTGTGGTCACAAAGGACTACGATCTATCTTTTGAACCACTGGACCAATTTGTATGATTTTGACATATGTTTGTATTTGGAGTATGTTGATTCGGAAAATGTAAGGCATACTTTTCAAGTTATGAATAATGTGGAAAAATTGTATTTCTCTGCTTGTGCTTAATTACATTACCCATTGTGTAAGGTAATTGAATCACATGCAGAGGGGAGGCATTTGTGTGGGAGTGTCTGAGTGTATTGGTTGTGTTCCAAAACCGATCGCCTAAGCGGTTTTTACCCCTTGTGTGCTGAAACGGTCCGTTACAGCCATCACTTTTGCAATTATTTTATAATCCATATTTAATAATGTACTCGGCCTCCAATTTCTCAAAACATGCTTCTCACCTTTTAATATTAAAACAATCACTCCTTTCCTCATTGATTCCGTCATTCTTCCTTCACCCAAAATAAACTGGCATACCTCTAAAAATAAAAATAAAAAATAGTCTTAAATCACAGTCCAGCACATCCTATAAAATTCAGCAGGCAATCCATCACTCCTAGGCGTTTTATTTAATTTAAAATTATAAATAGTATCATGCAACTCTTTTTAACCACATCTCTCACCAAAAAACAAACATCCATCTCATTTATTCTTTTTTTCAACATACTTCATTACATCACCTTCCAAACTTACATCTCGTTTTTTCCATATACAACTCATTTTAAAACTCATACACTTTATTCAACATTAATCCCTTTTCACTCACAATAACACCCTCCCCAGTCAATATACCTTCTATTCCTTTTTTACATTCATATGCTTTTAAAAAAAAAAAAAAGAATCTAGTACATTTTTCATCCAATTCTAACACAATCTTCCTACCTCTCTTCTAAACGCTTCCTCTTAAATTCTCTTGCTTCTTCCAGTTCATCCTCTACCTCCCATCCCAGTTTTCTCAATTTACACAAATTGTCAATACGCTCTCTCCATATATCCCAACATTCTTTCTCTTCACGCTTTTTCCCATCTTTTCCTTATGAAAAACAATTTAATGTTCATTTATAACCATTCCCACCAAACACTATTTTCAAACTTATTCTTACATTCCCTCCATCTACCATAACATATGCAATATTCATCTCTCTCCTGTTCATCCATCAGCATTCGTACATTCAACTTCCAAATAACTCTTCCAAATTCCAATTTCACATTAGTTTTCCCTTTACATACCAACATCACATGATCCGAAAATGGAAATCATGATGAATGCAAAGATTCAGCATTAAAACCCTGTGAAGTAAAGCAGAAATCAGTAAGTGACTTAATATTCCCCTTATCACTAAAAAAAAAGTAAATACTTCCTCCTCACCCATAACCCCCACAGCATCTGTGAACCCAAAATCCTTAATTAAATTTAATAACACCCGTCCTGAGCTATCTAACGGATACCAATCACCTGAACCTATTCTATCTTTCTTTCCAATGATACAATTAAGTCACCTACTAAAAAAGTACCCTCCCTGGCATCACCATCCCCAAACATGCAAACACAGTCACTCTCTTTTCACTGCAGGTGCATAAACATTAATAACTCTAAATACTGTACTCCAAAATAAAAAGTAAACAACCAAAACCCTCCCCGTGATAAATTCCAGAACCTTAACCACCTCAAATTCCCATCCCTTAAATAAAATTGCTACTCCAATATTACTACCATCACCACATGAATAAACAGACGGGCCATATTCCCATTTGGTCCCCAATGGTCTTTCTGCCAAGTTACATTCTTGCAAGCAAATAACGGCAAGAACTGGTCTGCTCAAAAAAAATCAAATATTAGGGCTCTTCTTGGAGCGGCCTTAATATTCCTAACATTCAAGGAGACAACTGAAAACATCAGAAGATAGATACTTCATCATTTTCACATCTTCTCATCTGATACTCCTTCCCCCAGACTCCTGGCAGGGACTAAGGACAAACCCATGCCTCATAGCGAACCGTGTGTCAAAACACGGTGACATCGAATCCGAAACTTCCGATTTCGACTTCTCCTCTGAATCATACATTGATTCCATCAGCGGTTTTGGAAAGTCCCTTGAGAGGGGATTGTGTGCCTTTCTTTATCTTCTCGGACACAGGGGGACTATCACCACAGTCTTCACCAGGATCCGCCAGGGGTGAGGGGCCCGCCACCACAACCTCAGCTGCAAGACCTTCTTCCAGCTCCATAGCTTCTGCCACAGCCATCTTCTGCAGTTTTTTTTTCCCCCTCTTTCAGCCACTATCTTAACATGCCTTTCCTCAATTTCTTCTTTGGACCTGAGCTGTGTCCCAAAGGTCGGGATAAAAGGGATCCTAGGTTTCAACAGGACCTTTTTTGAAGCCTCACTGCATGCTGTCTCCACCTCACCCACTCCCTCCTTGGGATCTGTCCGGGGAGGGTCCTGCCACAGCTTTGGACAAGACCTCGCCATATGATTCTTTTCCTTTCTGCGCATTCAGCAGCAGTGTGATCCTCCCCAAAATAGTTCCTACAGCATTTGCCCTTGACACATTCGTCGCTAAGATGGCCAAACTGGAAGCAATTCTTACAGTACTTCGGCTGCCCTGGATAGTATAAGTAACCTCTATTACCTCCTATTGAAAAGTTCTGGGGTGGGTGTTTAATCCCACTCTACTCCGACGGATCTGGCCTTAGTGTCACCAAAAACTTCCTTTTCCCGTTGAAAACTCCAAACATATTCACCAGTTTAAAGGGTTTACCCACCACCGAACAGTATCTACTTGAAAACACTGATTTCCTCATCCATGACGAAAGGGTTGTACATGTGGACAACAATTGGGATTTTAACCACAGGAACCTACAGGGTAAAGGTAATCCAATGCAACAATACATCACCTTCTTTGTGCTTCAAACACTCCATCACCGTGGTCACCTGCTCTTGTTCCATGAATGATACATCAAAGACACCTCTCGAGGGAAAGTCCTGCACACAAAAAAAGCCAGGTTCTTGGAATCTGCAACAATCCTTCTAATATGTCTTTCTGGATCATGTGAAGACAAACAGTCTTTCTCCTTTCTCCATTCACAAGAATCCGGATCGATTTGGGAAATGAGGGCGCTCCTCTCTCCATCGTGGAATCCCTTCTTGTTCCCGGTGAAAGCACGTGTCTCCCCCCAATAGCAGCATCCGAGCCACGCCTCCACAAGGAAGATGCAGAGGGGCTTGCGTTGCATACACCAGGACCTTCTGACCAGACCAGCTTTCACACTTGATCTTAACCAAAAGGCAGAAAAACTATAACCAGAATGGGTGCCCAGCTACTCGCCTGGACTTCTTCAGCTTGGGGTGTGCCTTGGGCACAGTACCACCTCTTCCTCATCTAGGTGTAAGCTGGCTTTCAAATAGCAACAGAGACACAGGCACAGAGCACACAACCTCGAAGCCCTTGAAACACAGCGCCCCTTCTTAACCTTGTCCATTCCTCTATATGCTCCCCTCCAGACATACCTTGCACCTCTCTCTCCAGCTGCTACCACTGATGAGCCTAACAAGGCTGCTGGATTCTCCCTCTCCTCTCCTCTCCTCTCCCCCCCCCGGTCTGTTCCTCTTCAGCTGCAAGTAGGGTAGATAGAGCAAGCAATTAAGCACCCGCTGGTTGCTCACTCACTCAATGATTCAATTAAACCCTTAATTGGTTACTTAGATGTGGCTCAACTTTCCCTCCAAAACGTTATTGCTGTAATTTCAAAGACCAGCATGCTGCAGATTTGCATAATACCGCCCACTTTAACATTGATCATATACGCAGCCAGCCGAGTCCACCTGGATAGAAATCCTCTGGCTTCACAATGGATATACTGGACACATTTATTAAATGAAGTGATTACACAGATTTACATGATAACAATGAATACATTGGATCAGGTGAACAGAATTGAATCGTGCATACACAGCACATGATAGATAATAACAATCGGACAAGCTATCCAAAAGAAATAAGTTAACAAACATTGCAACAAGTAACCATAATTCAAAGAATGCTTTTTGTCTGGGCTGCATTCAGGCATGCCACAGACAGGGGAAGGCAGAGATGCACTTAGAGATACCTGCATTTCATTCCCACCAAATGAGTCTAGTGGCTTGTCTTTAGAACTTTTTTCAATCTATCTATTTTTTAACCAGCATAAGAGGTGCACTGGTCCTGGAGGTACTGCAATACCAGGTCAATGCGTGGAGTGGACAGAGCAAGCTCTTCTTTCATCTCCCTGTCCCAAAAATCCATTTAATATATGGTCCCCAGATAAGGGACGTATCAGATATTAAACTGATAAGAACAGATTTTTTTTTTTTTTTTAACCACTCAGTCACAGAGCATTTCCTCCAGATGACATTCAAGGAACCTCTCAGGTAACATCCTCATGATTCTTTTCAGTAAAATTAAATAATAGTTACAACACAGCAATAACACATCAAACCCCCACCACAGCACACCCTCCACCAAAACCTCACTGCAAACTATTAATCCTACCCCATTCATTCATCCATACTTACCCCCATATTTTTTTTTCTCTTTCTCTTCCATTAATAATATATCAGAACACAAACTGTATTTGCAATCCACAAACCAATAACGCCCTCCACCCACGCTTTACCTCAACCCATCATAAAGAATTTGATTTCAAAACAATATCTTCGATATTTATCCTATAAAGAAAACCATAAGTTTTAATATGCAAAAAACATTTCACAATTTCTCAAAAACCCAAATATACACCCAATATATTATAATCTTTACATGAATTTTAGCAAGTGCACTACACAAAAACCCATCACCTACATAATTCCTGCGTACACCATTTCTTCCATTTTTTTGTCTTCCACACTCCCTCGGCATCCATTTCACCTTTCTTCCTTACATCCTCCAAATAATACAAATACATTTTACCTCTAATCATTCTTACACATGCTTTCACTGACAAAACTTCCTTCCTAAAAAAACAACAAATTCCTTACATCCCACATAGTTTCTTTTATACATGCCATAACACACGTTCTTTTTCTTTCTCAATTTTACACATCCCAAACAATAACACTTCAAAAGTAAACACTGAAATTCCAGTTAAGTCAACTACCAACTTTAATAATTTTTCCAAAACTTGTCTCACAAACACACAATTCCAAAACACATGCACAACATTCTCTCTACACCCACACCCTTCTCTCAGACAAATTTCAGTTCTACCTACACATCTACCATACTGCACTTCCCTTGTAGCCAAACAATTATGCACAGCCATTCATGCAATGTCCTTCTGTCTGTTTAAGATTTCTATACTAACCAATCTCTTCCACACATCTTTACTTATTTTCTCATTTAATCCATCTACCCCAATCAGTCTCTTTCCCATTTAAAATGTAAAAAAACTTTCTTCCTTTCATTCCACTCCTCCCATGACACATTTTGTAATTCATACATCAATCTTTTTCCAAGGTAAAACAAAACATACCAGTTTCCTCCTATCAACCACATGCAACCCATATCTCCTCAAACTCATACCTGCTGCATATTTCAACATACACGCTACTACACTTTCTTTTCTACAAATCCTCACACACATCCTGACATAATGCACTAATAAAAATCTCTCTATATCTGGTACATCCATTCCTCCATTCACTCTTTTCTTAACAACTTTCACTCTACTCAATCTCTCCATTCTACTACTCCAAAAAAATAAAAAAACAATCTGCACTAACTTCTTCAAACTTCTATTATCAGGGGGCAAAACAAAACTCAAGTATAACATTATAGGAATCAAGACTGCTTTAATTATCAACACCTTACCAGTAAACGACAAATTCCTTCCACTCCACAATCCAATCTTCTGATTCACTCGACTCACTATTTTATTCCAGCTTTCTTTTCCTCTTAAATCATCCTCAAAAAAACACTCCCAATACTTCAATACCATTTTCTACTACCGGCCACCCACATAATTCCAACTCTCTCCAACCACCAAAAGCTTTACATTTACATTTATTCCAGTTACCCTTCAAACCACTAACCATGCAAAAACATTCAACCAACAATTTTACCCTTCTTAATCCAGCTTGCGTTCTGCACAAACAGTAACATCATCCATATAGCCAATCACTTTCATACTTCTATCTCCACTTCCCGGAACTTCCACCCCTCTCACAATCTTATCATTCATAATACTACATAACAAAGGTTCTATCACACATAAAAAGTATAGGCGACAAGGGGCAACCCTGTCTAACCCCAGATCTTACTTTAAAGTTTTCACTCATCCATCCATTCACTTGTACCACGCTTTCAATACCTCTATACATACATCTTATCCAATTCAATACTTTCCCAGGCAATCCCATTTTCTCCAAAATTAAACAAAAACTCATGTGCTACCCTATCATACGCTTTCTCAAAGTCAATCGTTGCAATTGCTACTAACATCTTTCTCTCCTTACAAAACCATAAAGCATCACACACTCCTATTAAACTCTCTGCAATTTGTCTCCCCGGCACTGCACACACTTGCTCCTCACCTACCATACTTTCAATCACTCTCTTGATTCTATTTGCCACCAACTTCGCTATAATTTTATATTCAACATTCAATAATGTAATTGGTCTCCAATTACACAAATCATGCTTCTCACCTTTCTTAAAAATCTACACAATCACTCCTTTCTTCATTGATTCAGACAGACCTCCTACATTCAAAACAAAGTCACATACATCAAAAAAAATATATAATCTGCAACCAACTCCCAAAACGTTCTATAAAATTCTACAGATAACCCATCACTTCCAGGAGATTTATTCAATTTAAATTCTTTAACAGTCTCATACAATTCCATCTTTGTCACATCCCTCAACAGCCAACTACAATCATCTTCACTCACTCCATTCTTAATACCTGCCAAAGTTTCCGTTTCCAAACTTACATCTCTCACTTTCTCTGTATCCAAATCCTTGTAAAAATTTCCAACCTCAATTAACATCTCCTCTTTCTTCCTTACAATAACCCCATTTTCATTCATAATACCTTCCATTCCTTTCCTACCATCAAAAGCCTTTTTAAAAAAAATATCACAAACACTTTTCATCCTTCTCCAAAACATTCAATTTAGCTGCAAACACTATCTTCCTACCCTTTTCATCCAAACCTTTCTTCCTCATTTCTCTTGCTGCTTCTAATTCACTCTCAACCTCCCAGCCCAATTCTCTCAATTTACACAGGTAAATAGATTTGACTATTCCATTCATCCCAACATTTCCTCTCACTCCTAGCTTTTTCCATTCCTATTTTAACAAAATATATTTTTATATTCCTCTTCATCCAATCCCACCATTCTAAAATCGTATTAAAATTGTTTTTACATTTTTTCCAATACCCATACTTTCTACTAAATTCTTCACATACATCCTCATCCATTAACATACTCACATTCAATTTCCAGAAACCATTACCAAATTCTAATACACCATCCATTCTTACTTCGCATTCTAAAAGAGCATGGTCAGAGTATGGATTCTTTAGTGTACGCAGGAATTCTATGTTGGCGCCCTTTGAAATAAAACAAAAATCAATACGAGATTTTACTGTACCCTTATCACTAAAAAAAAGTAAACTTATCACTATCCCCTATTCCCTCCACCGCATCTACAAATCCAAAATCTTTAACTAAATTATTCAAAACCTTTCCAGTAACATCTAATTTATACCCCTCCCCCCACACCTATTCTATCTTCCCTACGAACAATACAATTAAAGTCTCCACACAAAAATATTTCCCTCCGTGGCAAAACCATACCTAAGCACTCAAACACCTTCATTCATTCATTCTTGTCTACCGGTGCATATACATTAACTTACACTTAATGCCCCTATACCCAAAGTAAATCAATAAAACCCTCCCAGACACAACTTCTACTACCCTTGTAATTTAAAACTCCCATCCCCTAAACAATACAGCCACCCCAAAAGAATAAACAGAAGGACCCAACCCCCACTCATTATTTACAGGTCTATCAGTTAAATTACATTCTTGTAAGCATATCAGATTGAATTTTAAGCTGCAAAGAAAGTCAAAAACTGCAGCTCTTCTGATAGCCTATTTAATACTCCTCACATTCAGTGAGCAATTTGAAACATTGATCAGAGGTTTCAACCTCATCACATCACGTCCCTTCCTCTGAGTCACTTTTCATCTCAGGGTCCCGAACAAACCCTAATACATCAAACAGCCTAGATACAGCTTGTAAATCAAAAACAGGGGATGAATAACCAGAAGTCTCAGACTCTGATCGATCCCCTTGTTCTGAAGATGAATCTACCAGTATTTTTGGGAACTCCCTCGACAGTTGCTCTTCTCCTTTCCTTTTCATCCTTTTTGACAAGGGCAAGTCACCACCCTCAACTTCGGTAGAAGTGCTTGCAGTAACACTATCTGTTTTCACTATATCCTCTAACACATCACCACATTCCATTTGTGCCACCTCACTTTTAGCTTCTTTCTCTTTTTTCTTTTCAGCAACTTCCATTATCTTAGCATGTCGTTCGGCATGCTCCTCTACAGAACGCAGTTGTGTGCCATAAGTAGGCATAAACCGTATTCTAGTCTTCGAAACTGCTTTCAGGCCTACATCTTTAACAACAGTTTCAGACCTTGTAGACTCCCCTTCTGCCCCTGACCATGGACCACCTAGAGACAGGCTTGTACAAAACCTGGCCATATGGCTCACAGATCCACATAGATCACACTTACGCCTCTCAGAACATTCAAAAGCTGTATGGCCCTCCCCATAACAATTTCTACAGCACAGCTCCTTAGAACAGTCAGCACTCACATGCCCAAATTGAAAACAATTCCTACAATAGCTGGGTTGTCCCGGGTAAAATAAATAGCCTCTATTACCTCCAAGGGAGAAATTTTGTGGGGGGTGTTTCAGGCCACTCACCTCTATCTCATCCTTTTTCAGCACCACAAAGAATTTTCTTTTCCCGTTATAAACCCCGAATTGATTTACCAATTTTACAGTACCTGCTCAAAAAAAACAAATCTCATCGCCAACAAACGGATTATACATGTGTACCACTAGAGGTAATCGGGACACAGGAACAAATGGAAAGAAATACCTCGAAGCAGTTTCTCACCTTCTTTCTCTTTTTTCCTTTCCATTACGGTAGTCACAAAATCTTGCTCCATGAAGGAAATATCATACATACCCCGAGTCTGGAAGTCCTGAACACAAAACAACCATTCCCGGGGTACTCGCAGCAAACCTTCCAGGATATCTTTTTGGATGACGTGCAAAACCCACCTCCGTCCGCCTCTCCTCAGCAACCAACAGCCGCACTGTTTTCGGATATGATGGTCCGCCACGCTCCATCGTCGATTACTCCTCGTTTTCCTCGTTCGTGGTGGCTCAGGTTGCCCCCCAATAGCAGCAGCCAGACTGTGTCCTCCAAGGAAGACACAGCTTGTGTCACCAACCACAGGAACCTTCTGGCAAGACAAGACTAAACTTGATCTTAGCCAAAAGGCCGAGAAGCGATAACCGGAATGGGCGCCCAGCTACTCACCTGCCATTCGCCTGGGCTTCTTCAGCTTGCGGTGAGCCTTGGGCACAGTACAACCCACCTCTTCCTCATCTAGGTGTAAGCTGGCTACAAATAGCAACAGAGACACAATCAGTCACAGAGCACACAACCTTTGAGCCCTGGAAACACAGCTCCCCTTCTTAACCTTGTCCATTCCTCTATATGCTCCCCTCCAGACATACCTTGCACCTCTCTCTCTCCAGCTGCTACCGCTGATGAGCCTAACGAGGCTGCTGGATCACCTGGTCTGGGTAATAACATCACAGTGTGATAAATAACCACCAAATACTGGTCTCACTCACATAAGTGGAGCCACTTAGAAGTTGGCTCAAACTTGGTACCTTGAACAAATAAGGAAACAGGGCTTCTGGCAGGAACTCCACTCTGCTATATCTGGTACCTCCAAATTCATCCAGGACGCAGGATATAGGGGGTTACAAATACTTTATTGCTTATAACAAATAAAATAAACAAAAAAATAAACAACATTGTAACATTCTGTAATTCATACTTCCTAATACATACTTCAATCTTTTTATAAAACTATAGGACATTAAAACACACTGGTTATGTCCAATCAATCACATGTACACCAAATTTTCTCAGACTTATCCCCGCCGCATACTTCAACATACATGCTACCACACTTTCTGACAAATTCTAATGCATATTCTCACATAAATGAATTAATAAAAATCTCAAGATCTAGGACATTTATACCACCATTCATCTGTTTCCTCATTATGTTTTCTCTACTAAAATGCTCCATTCTACTACTCCTAAAGAACAAAAATATAATTCTAACCAACTTTCTCCAATTCATTTCATTAGGAGGAAAAATAAAACTTAAATATAACATAATAGGGATTAAAATTGATTATTAAAATTTTTACCTTTAAAAGACAACACACTCACTCATAACTCGATTCACCTCTTTTTTTTCCCAACTTTCTTTTCCTTTCAAATCTACATCAGAAATTACACCTAAAACTTCAATTCCATTCTCTACCACCAGCCACCCACATAACTCCAACTCTCTCCAATACCCAAAAGCCTTACATTAACATTCATTCCAATTCACTCTAAATCCACTTGCCATACTAAAAATTTCTACTAACAGTTTCACGCTCCTCAATCCTGCCTGCGTTCTACATATTAACGTCACATCATCCATATAGCCAATCACTTTCATACTCTTTGCACTACTTCCCGGTATTTCAATACCTCTCACAAATGTATCATTAGTCACAAAGGTTCTATCACACAAAAAAGTATCAGGGACAGAGGGCATCCCTGTCTTACCCCACAACACACTTTAAAATAAAAGTCATCCAGTTGTTTACTTGAACAACACTCTCAATCCCATTATACAGGCATTTAATCAAATTTAACATCTTTAAAGGTAACCCCATTCTTTCTAAAATTGCAAACATAAAATCATGTGCCACTCTCATACACCTTTTCAAAAATCAATCACCACAATTGCTACTTCTTTCAAAACCATAACATCTCTTAAACCTATCAAATGTTGTGCTATCTGTCTTCTTGGTACTGCACAAATTTGCTCCTCACCCACATGTTTCAAAACTATTCGTATACACCTTCGCAACAATCTTATAATGTACATTCAATAAAGTTATAGGTCTCCAATTTCTCAAATCATACTTATCACCTTTCTTGAACAGATCACACCCTTCCTCATAGATTCAGTCATGACACCATTATTTAACACAAATTCACATATTTGCAAAAAGTAATCTGCAATCACATCCCAATGTTCTATAAAATATTCTACAGGTAACCCATCACATCCAGATGTTTTATTTAACTGAAAATTCACCATTGTTTCTTGCAACTCACATTTGTTCACATCTGTCACCAACCAACTCATATCTTCTTCTTTTATTCCTTTTTCAATGCCACTTAAAACCTCATTTTCTAAATTCTTATTTCTCCATATACAATTCTGCATAAAATTTCTTCACTACATTTAACATATCTTATCCCCAATCACTACACCTTCATTTACTACACCTTCCAGACTTTTTTCCCCTTCATATACTTTTTAAAAAAAATATAGAACACTTTTCATCTTTTTCTAACACATTCAATTTAGCCGCAAATACAATCTTTTTACCTCTTTCTTCCAAACATGTGTTCCTACTTTCTCAATCATCTTCCACCTCTCATCCACACAAATATTCAATTTTCAATCTCCAATTATCCAGGCATTCTCTCTTCATTCTAGCTTTTTCCCCATCCTTTCCTATTTAAAAAAAAAAAAAAAATTTTTCCACCCATTCCCACCATAGAAACATAGAATGTGACGGCAGATAAGAACCATTCGGCCCATCTAGTCTGCCCAATTTTCTAAAAACTTTCATTAGTCCCTAGCCTTATCTTATAGTTAGGATAGCCTTATGCCTATCCCATGCATGCTTAAACTCCTTTACTGTGTTAACCTCTACCACTTCAGCTGGAAGGCTATTCCATGCATCCACTACCCTCTCAGTAAAGTAATACTTCCTGATATTATTTTTAAACCTTTGTCCCTCTAATTTAAGACTATGTCCACTCTTATATTTATATGTACACTCCTTACAGTACTTCTATTTAACACTATTCTTTTTTCATCTCCATAATTATCAATATACTCACATTCAGCTTCCAAAAACTTCTACCAAATTCCATTTTCAACTCCATTCTCCCTCACATTCCAAAAGCACATGATCTGAAAAAGTAACTTTTGATGTGCGCAGAACTTCTGCCCCAACACCCTGTGTAAGAAAACAAATCAATACGTGACTTGACACTTACATTTTTTAGTGATAAAGGTAATGTCAACATTTCCCATAACCACAACAGCATCATAAAACCCAAAATACTTAACAAAATTATTTAAAAACTGCCCTGACTTACTCATATTGTAACCAATCTCAGTTCCCATCCTATCCTCCCTTTTCAAAATACAATTAAAGTCTCCTATCAAAATAGATTATAGATAAGGTAAGGTCCTTATGGATATGTCCTCCAAATTTTTAAAGGGCCTAACCCTGTATATGAAATAGCGAAACAAATGTTCCCTCTGGGAACCAAAATTATTTGCAGTGATACTTATGAATAGAGCTGAAACATGATAAAGGTAAAATAAGTCCCATAGAAATAATTGTACAGAGTAAAATGTAAAAATGAAAGAGTACTAAATTAGACTATACCTACGCATACCAATGCTAGGGTACTGTCAATTACTTGTAATATATTGCTTGGAATACAGTTGTGTTGTATATCTACTAAATGCAAAAGTTGCAAAGATTTAAAAAAAAAAAAAAAGTGGAGAGGTGTCAAAAGTGGAGAAAATTACTATTAAGGAGGTACCAAAAAGTCCTCAGAGACGTGTAAGAAGGCTTAAAATGTAGTTCTTCCCAAGATGTCTTGCAATTATCTCCACTAAGCATGACTAGGTAGATCTCTGCTTACAAGTACCCAAATGGGCTTAATCCTTCTAACTAAACAGAAAATATGAAGAAAGCAAACAAAAAAGTTTCAAGTCTACCTCTGATAAACAATGTGTTATCTCAAAGAGGTAGTTGACTGAAGGCTGTACAGTGATCCAGTTTCGTAGAAGTTAACGCAAATGTACACGAATAGGCCATCAGTGAAAACAAAAATAGATTCTAAGTAATAATAAAGTATCAGACTAGCATCTGTATAGTCATGCTGTTCATGCTGTCACTAGAGGTCTAACTGATACGAAGTGAATACTGTCTGGAATGGAAACAGGATCCCCACAGAGCTATCTCAAAACTGTGAAGCTTATACCGTAAAAAAAATATCATGGAAGTTAATAGCATCCATGTGCAAGTAATCCGTAACCTTCAGACTGAAATAATATGGTGTTCTCAGAAAGGAGGTATCAGACGAACGTTTAATTCTGGCTGTCAATACAAGCTCAATACAAGCTGTCAAGAGCAAAGTAAACCGCTATATGAGAAAGTATAGTACCATAGATCTATCTCCTACCCGGACTCCCTTAATAAGTTTCCCTCGTAAGGAGTAATCGTACACCAAAATTTATAGCAAGTGTGCAGTGAGTGCTCCTCAAGCTCCCTCAATTATATTACAATACTACAGCGCTTAAACGCGTGTCAGGCATTTTAAACACTTTTTTTATTTGGTTACTTTGGGCTCATTTTCATGATGGGTATTTAGTGTAATAATTTTTTATTTGAGAGAGGTGGTTGTCCTTAGGTGTCTTTAGATAGCAAGCTTTTCTACCACTGCCTGGACCTCGGTCTGACTACTTCAGGTCTAAAATTAGACTCCTACATTATTTTGCTTATTGGAAGTCTTTGTTCTGTTTAGCTAATTGAAGGAGCTTGAGGGGCACTCACTGCATAAATGTTGGTGTACGATAACTCCTTACGAGGGAAACTTATTAAGGGAGTCCGGGTAGGAGATAGATATATGGTACTATACTTTCTCATATAGCGGTTTTGCTTTGCTCTTGACAGATATATTAAAGGTAACTTACAGTACCCTAGCATTGGTATGTATAGGTATGATCTAATTTTGTACTCATTTTTATTTTCACTACACTTATTTCTATTGGGACTTATTTTACCTTATATTTCAGCTCTATTCATAAGTGTCACTTCAAATAGTTTTGGTTCCCAGAGGGAACATTTGTTTCTCCAATGACAATAGTTAATTCCTTCCCTGGCAACACCATACCCAAACATTCAACCTATCTTTTTTTTTTTTTTTTTTTTTTTTTTTAAATCTACCAATGCATATAAATTAATAATTCTGCAAACAGTGCACCTGTATAAAAAAAAATGGACTACCAAAACCCTCCGACACAACTTCCAATACTTTTAAAATTAGGAATTCCCATCCTTTAAAGAACACTGCAACTCCAATGTTTTTCCCTACACCACATGAAAAAAATAGAAGGTTCCCTTTCTTATTTTATATCACCTGTTTTTTTTATTTCTAGACCACACTCCTGCAAACACACAATGTGAAAAGTTACATTTTAAAAAGAAATCAAATATAACAGCGCGTCTAGAAGTTTTTTCCAAACTTCTCACATTTAGTGAGGCAATGCAAAACATAGTTCAGAGGTGTTATACCTCATCATTTCATGTCCCACTAACTGACTCCCAACATCTCCTCAAGGTCCTGCAAGAACCCTCAGATATCCACCAGTCGGGACACTGCCTGAGAATCAAAGATTGGCGAGAAAGGGCCAGATGTTTCTGACCTAGTCTGATCTTCAACCTCAGAGGAAGACTCTCCCAGGACCGTCAGGATGGCTGTAGACAACCGCAACTCTCCACCTTTCCTCTTGGCAACTGGAGTCTTACCAGCCACTTCCTCCTCAGAGACATCAGAAACAGAGTGACCAGGAGCCTCAAGAACTACTTTAGTAGAGTCTCGACACTCCATCTCTTCGACAATAATTATTTTTTCTTTTAACTTTGTAGATTTTTGCTTAGCCTGATCCTCCGCCATTAATTGTGCATGTTGCCCCTCCACCTTTTCCTTAGACCTGGGCTGTGTACCATAAGTAGGAATAAAGGGAATGCAAATTTTAGAAATAACTTTTGCACTTTCACTTGCAGGCTCTGGAAGACTCACCTCATTATCTTCACCTTCAAAATGTTCATTATACATATTTGGACAGAACCTTGCTAGATGATTATTTGCTCTGCATATATCACATCTTTGCCATACAGCAGTATGGCCTTCTGCAAAGCAATTTATGCAACACATCCCTTTCTTATATTCTTCCCTGAAGTGGCCAAACTGGAAACACTTCCTACAATAACGAGGCTGACTTGGGTAGAACAAATAACCTCTGTTTCCACATATTGAAAAATTCTGTGGGGTGGAGTTTTAGCCAACTTACCTCCGATGAATCAGGTCTGAGTACAATGAAGAACTTATGCTTACCGTTATAGACACCAAACATATTAACCAACTTCAGGGGTTGTGACACAACTGAACAATAACAGTTAAGGAAAGCCATAATCTCCTCATCAGACACAAAAGGGTTATACATGTGCACACACAAGGGTAAATGAGCCACAGGAATAAAGGATATGCCCTCCAATAAGGGATAATCTTCCTTCTGCCTTTTACACTCCATAACAGTCGTGACTTGTTCATACTATTTGAATGTGATATCAAATTCCGCAGTGCTTTACAATGGGTGGACGAACAGACATGTAATTGTAACCAGACAAGGTGGACACACAGGAACAGAGGGGTTGAGGGCCCTGCTCAATGAGCTTACATGCTAGAGGGAGTGGGGTAAAATGACACAAAAAGGTAAGGTTAGTATTAGACTAGTGACAGTTGCAGAAGAGGAATCAGTCAGGAGCTATTAACAGTTTAATTGATACGCTTTTATGAAGAAGTGGGTTTTTAACAATTTTTTGAAGGAGTGGAGACTGGGTGAGCATCTAACTGAGGAGGGAAGCGAGTTCCACAGGAATGGTGCAGCCCTTGAGAAATTTTGAAGGCGAGCATCAGAGGTGGGAGTACGGACAGAAGATAGACGTAAGTCTTCAGCAGATCGTAAGGGCCTAGACGGGACATACTTGTGTATAAGGGAGGATAGATAGGTGGGAGCAGCATTATGTAGAGATTTGAAAGCAAGAACCAGAATTTTAAATTGAGCTCTATATTTTATAGGAAGCCAATCTAGGGACTGACAGAAGGGTGAGGCATGGGAGGTGCGGGCGGACAGGAAGAGGAGCCTCGCTGCCGCAATCATTATGGACTGTAATGACGCAAGTTGGGAGCACGTAAGACCACTGAGAAGCGGATTACAGTAGTAAAGGCGAGAAAGGACAGTGGAATGGACCAACACCTTAGTCGCATCTGGCGTTAAGTTGGGGCGGATGCGCGCAATGTTTTTGAGATGGAAATGACAGGATTTGGCGATAGATTGAACATGAGGCTTGAAGGAGAGGTCGGAGTCAAAGAGAACACCTAGGCAGCGAGCCTGCGTGGTGGAGCTGATGGTAGCACCGTTGACTTGGAGGGAGACAGAAACAGGAGTAACAACACTTGAGGGAGGAAAGACCAGAATTTCAGTTTTGGTCAAGTTTAGTTTAAGGAAGTGTGCAGCCATCCAGTTAGAAACAGCAGAGAGGCAGTCAGAGACACTAGTCAAGAGGGACGGGGAGAGATCAGGAGAGGACAGGTAGATTTGTGTGTCATCTGCATAGAAATGATATTGGAAGCCAAAGGAGCTAGTGAGTTTACCAAGGGAGGCAGTATAGACGGAGAACAGTAGGGGACCAAGGACTGAACCTTGGGGGGACACCAACAGAGATGAGTTGGGGAGAAGAAGCAGAGCCAGAGAGAGAGAAACACTGAAAGAGCGCTGGGAGAGGTAGGAGGAGAACCAGGAGAGAGCAATATCTTGTAAACCGATATTGCGGAGGATGAGAAGAAGCTGTTGATGATCAGTGTCAAAAGCCACAGACCGGACAAGGAGAATTAGGATAGAGTAGTGACCACGAGATTTTGCAGCAAGTAGATCATTGGATACTTTGGTCAGTGCCGTTTCCACAGAGTGCTTAGCGTGGAAACCAGACTGAAGCAGGTCTAGCAGCGAGTTGGACTCGAGGAAGTCTGTCAGTCTCGCAGACACAATTTTTTCCAAGGATCTTGGATGCAAAAGGCAGTAGCAAGATAAGACGATAGTTGGATGGGGAGTTAGGGTCAAGATTGGGCTTCTTTAGAATTGGGGTTACTGTTGCATGTTTGAAGGGCAATGGAAATATACCAGAGGAGAGAGAGAGATTGAGAATATTAGTGAGAGGTGGAGAAAGAAGAAGACAGTACGGATGAGATGCGAGGAAATTGGATCTAGGGAGCAGGTTGTGGTGCGGGAGGACTGGAGCAGAGCAGAAACCTCTTCCAATGTAGCGGGTGCTAATGAACATAGAACAGCAGAGGGAGTGAAGTTAGGGGAAGTATTGGAAGGGGAAGAAGAAAGATGAGAGATCTCTTCTCTGATTGTAGAGATCTTGTCAGTGAAGTGAGTTGCAAAGTCTGAGGCAGTCAAGTTAGTAGGTGGAGGAGGAACAGCAGGGTGAAGAAGAGAGTTAAATGTGTGAAACAGTCGTTTGGGTTCACGGGAGAGTGTGGTTATGAGGGTATTGAAGTAATTAACTTTTGCAGAGGAAAGAGCAAAGCTGTATGAGCTCAGCATAAATATATAGTGGAGAAAGTCAGATGCACAGTGAGACGTTCTCCAACAGTGTTCAGCAGTTCTGGAGAATTTTTGGAGGTATCGAGTTAGCATGGTGTGCCAGGGTTGTTGTTGGGGGGCCTGCGGAGGTTGCAGAACTGTGGTTCCCTTATTTACCACTATAATGTCTTAAAGCATAGAACTTAGTAGGGCTAACCATACAGATATCTTAGCCATAATTTTATATAGTGTAAGAGATCCTCTATTTAACATATATAAATAATTGAGAATACAATATAAAATAAGGATTGTCTTGGAAGCAATCGTTTTGTCTTTTGGATATTTATTATATAAAAATATAAAATCCATTATAGCAGAGTTTATAAGATTAAAGTACATGCTTGCAAATATCATTAATAGGTTAACATACCCTTCTGAACATGTCATCATGTCAGCCTCTCTGTCATTTTAAGATGGAGCAGCGTCTGTCTCCAAGTCTCTCCTCTGTATCTTAACATTTAAAAGTACACCTATTTATACCTTAGGTGTCTCCATTTTAGGTTACCATAGTTCAAATATGAAAAAGTAACACTTTTACTTTATTCAATTTAGGACCTCCCTTAACTTGGCAAACATACAAGGCCATAACTAAAGGGTGCATACGTCACGGAAATTTTCCTGACTTAGTTCAAGATGGCATCTTAAAGTCTGAGTAGGTTATCTGTTTATACTAAGTCGTAAGTGTACAGTCGTGGGAGATTCCCGGATTTGGGGAAGTTCCATTAACTTGGGGTTACCACAGTATATTGTGTACTGCAAGAGTCGTAGTATAGCCTTGAAGCATGTTTATGCATTATTGTAATTCGTCTTGGACAAAATGGCGCAAACATATTATGCACTGAGGTTATTGCTTAAAGATACAGTTATGAAAAACAATATGTTCTATTTCTAACACCTTGTCAGTTTGCAATATCTCTTAAACAAAGTACACAGTTTAAGAAATACAACATTTCATTCTAAAACTTGTAATATTTGCATTTGCCCATAACAGAACTAGGACAGGTGATGTTTGAGATAGGTAAAAGGAGAGTTTGGAGATTAGTGTAGAAATGCTCTAGGTCAAAACATTGGAGGTTTCTGTGAGAGTGATGTTCAGACGGTGGTGTAAATTGCGTCCTAGGTATACCAATGTCAAAAGTCAGCAGATGGTGGTCAGATAGAGGAAAATGAATATTGGAGAGATTAGAGGCAGTACAAAGGTTGGTGAAGGCAAGATCAAGAGTGTTTCCTGCTGTATGGGTTGCTAAATTGGACCATTGCGGAAGGCCAAAGGAGGAGGTTACAGAGAGCAGACGAGAGGCATCAGTGCAATTGGGGTTATTGAAATTCCCAAGTATAAGGGAAGGAGTGCTAGATGAGAGGAAGTGAGGAAGCCAGGAAGAAAAGTGCTCAATGAATAGTCTAGGCTAACCAGGGGGGCGGTAGATGATAGCAATTCTTAAAGGAGAGGGTTTAAATAGGTGGACAGTGCGAACTTCAAAAGAAGAAAAGGATAGGGCAGGGGGAGTTCTGATTGGTTGAAAGGTACATTGAGGATAGAGAAGGATGCCTACGCCGCCTCCTTTACAGTTGAGTCTGGGAGTGTGAGAGAATTGTAGCCCACCAAAACATAAAGAAGAAGGAGTAGTGCTGTCAGAGGGGGACAGCCAGGTCTCTGTAAGTGCAAGCAGTGTGAATGAGTTTGAGATGAAAAAGTAGTGTATGGTTGTTGATTTTAAATTACTGCAGATGGAGCGGGCATTCCAGAGTGCACAATTAATTTTGATAAGTGAGGGTAAAGGGCAGGGTATTGTGATGAGGTTTGTGGGGTTTCTGGTTGTCTTAGTGTGTGTGTAGAAAAGGTGAAGGGCCCTGGATTGGGAGAGACATCACCAGCTACTAGAAGTAGGAGGAGAGAAAGTGACAGGAGGTGTGAATGGGTTTTGTGTGCATGGGGTCTAGGATGAGATCGATTGTGGGTTGGAGTGAGAGAGTAGAAAAATGAGTCTAAGGCATGAGATGAGAGAAGGGGGAATGTAGCAGAGAAGGGCATATGTAAATGTGGATGGGGGGGATGAGTGAAGTGGGTGTAAGGAGAGATTTTTATACTGAGGGAGACTGAGGAAATAAAGAGGAGGAGAAAACAGATCATTGCTAAACTGTGAAAAATAAACATTGGAGATAATTGGAATATCAAGAGCAAGTGAATGTGTTTTATGGGTTAAGAAAGTGCAGGAGTGTACTAATAAGAGGCAGGTTTTTTTAACCTAACTAAAATGTAGGTGTGACAGACAATCTATAAATGTAGTAATGAGCATGGTGTGGGGAGGGTGGGCATCAGGCTTGCTCACTGAAGGAATGGGCTTGCAAAGTTGGGGAATCAGGCTGTTGAATAAAGAGATGTGAGGGTCAGAGAGCTTGCAATAAAAGGTAAGGGAGGGGGAAGTGTATCTAGGTACAGAGATGAAGAGATGGATATTCAAATAAAAACAAACATATCAATAAGAAAAGGGAGGGGTCAGGTCAGTCACAAATCAGAGGGGGAATAGAGGAATGCATATAGGTGAATAAAACAATTACAAACAGGGCTAGCAAAACTACACTTTAGCATAACAGACAAGATATAAATACAAGAAAATATACAATGTACATAGGATATATTAAATAAAATAAATGTACAGGGTGGTTAAGTTAAAAATAAATGAAGGTGTGCAGGATAGAGACTTAGTGTTGTCTTCCAGAAGGCTACCTTTGCAGACGATCAGGCTTGCTCACTGAAAGAATGGGCTTGCAAAGTTGGTATCATAGATACCATGAGCAAGGAAGTCCTGGACACAGAATAACCAGTCCTTTGGAACACACAGCAAACCTTTCGGGATCTCCCCCTGAATCCTCGGCAAGCCAACAAATCCCCTTCTTTCTTCTGTCAAATACAGCTGTACTGTCTTTGGGAATGAAGGTGCGCTACACTCTATTCTGGACCACTCCCCGTTTCTGGTGTCAGTGCGGATCGCCCCCAATAGCAGCATCCAGACTGCATCCCCACTAAGAACACAGTCTGGAAGGCCGAGGGGCTAGCATTGCTGACCCACCAGAACCTCCTGACAAGACCAGCTTTCACTGATCTAAGCCAAAAGGAAGAGAAGCGATAACCGGAATGGGCACCCAGCTACTCACCTGCCATTTGCCTGGGCTTCTTAAGCTTGCTGTGAGCCTCGGGTACAGGACCACCTCTTCCTCATCTAGGTGTCAGCTGGCTAGGGATCGCAACAGCGTCACAGCACACAAGCTCTAAGCCTTTGGTTACAGCTCCTCTTCTTAACCTTGTCCATTCCTCAATATGCTCCCCTCAAGACATACCTGTCACCTCCCTCTCCAGGTGCTACTGCTGATGATGTGCCTAACAAGGCTGCTGGATCACATGGTCTGTTCCTGTTCAGCTGGAAGTAGGTAGAGTAAGCAATCAAGCACCTGCAGGTTGCTCATTCACTCAATCATTCAATTAATCAAACCTTCAATTGGTTACTTAGCTGTTGCTCACACTTCCCTCCAAAACGTTAGTGCTGGAATTGCAAAAACAAGCCTGCCTTTGTTTTCAGGTTACCTGCATTTCTTTCCCACCAAGTGAGAGTCTAGTGGCTTGCTTTTCTTTGGAATTTTTTTTTTCAATCTATTTTTTAACCAGCATAAGAGAGGTGCACCGGTCCTGAAGCTACTGCAATACCAGGTCAATGCGTGGAGTGGACAGAGAAAGCTCTTCTTCTATCTCCCTGTTCCAAAAATCCATTTACTATATGGTCCCCAGATAGGGGGCGTATCTGATATTTGTGACAAACTCCCCTTTTTAAGGGAGCTTGCCATGAGTTGTATTAGGGGCCTGCTTGCCAGCCTCCTACCCTGGGACTATGGGCTCTGTGATAACCCATGTTCAAAAGTACTGTTTCTGCCCCTTGGACTTTTAACTGGAACAGATTCAAACATGTGGTGGTGGCGGCGGCGGCCATCTTAAATTGTCCAGCAGTGTTTTGTCGTCGAGTGTATGGAACTGTTTTGGGTATGGGACCATGTGCACGGTGGGGCAAAAATAAGACTTCCAAGAAATTCCTGAACCGATCTGGGTGATTTTTGATATGTTGTTCACCCAGATTGGAGCTATCAGGGGATGGGAGGCTTTGTGAGGATATGTTGTATTTTAAGTTACTTTTTGGGGTTTGTAAAAATGTATGTTTTTTTTCTGCTTAGCATTAATGGAGTTAGTCCATTGTCTTTGTTAATTGTATCACAGGCAGAGGGGAGGGTTTGTGTACAGTAACTGGGAGTGTTCGAGTGTAAAACTCTGTTTTTATTGGATTGTGAATTTCATGTCCTGTGCCCCACAAGGTCCACCTGGGCAGTAACCTTGTGGGGAAAAACTGTATAAAAGAGCAGCTGTACCATTAAACCTTCAGTTCTACTTCATCCTCAATCTAGAGTCCTGTCTCTTATTGGGGGAATCTGCTACAAGAGATTGATATTGTGGCGAAAGTAACCTCGCCACTGGTTTTTGGAGGGGCCTGTTTGCCAGCCTCCTGCCCTGCGACTATGGCCCTGGGATGTATTGCCCTTCTAGGAACTGATGTGGGCATACTTGATTCTTATATTGCTGTTCCTGGCCCTTTAATTCCCAGAGAAAGGATTTGTACTTTTAAACTGGCACTTCGGATGTCGAAGTGCCGAAGTCGTCGAAGAGGCCGCTATTCGAATGCCGAACACATGGCGGCGGCCATTTTAACTCATTCGAACGCGGTCAGCAGTGTGTGCAGCCAAATCTATGGAACTGTTTCCGGCTACCCAATTGCACGAACACCACTGACCCGTACCTTCTACTCTACTTCAACATTGCGGCTGGAGACTAAGTCCCGTTTGAAGATTCAAACGCTCGTTCGAATGGGACTTAGTCATTTTCTCGGTGTAAAATAGACCGACCGCACAGCCCAAATCCATGGAACTGTTTTGGGCATGAAAATGTGCTTGCGGTCGGTCAAAAGTGACTTATATCTATCTCCCGAACGGCTTCAAATGATTTTTGGGTATGTTTGTATATTTATTAATATTGGATGTATAGTTTTAGAGTTATGAAAGTTGGGTAAAAAGTATGTTTTAAACTGTATGGATAATTGGGTTACCTCTCAGGCTAAGGGGAGGAGATGTGTGGGATGTAACCATTGTTTGATTGGCTAATGTATAATTGTCTGCGGGCGTCTCCCTTGCATGGGAGAATTGCATAAAAGCAGAGTGTGTGTCATTAAACCAGAGTTCTTCTTCACCCTCAATCTAGAGTCCTGTCTCTTATTGGGGGAATTGCTATATCACCACATGGGACTGCTATGCTCCATACTCCCTTAGCTAATCACTTCTAAGCTCTTTTAAGAGCTTGTTCCTGCTTCACTCTCTTGGAGGAGAGATTCACCCACTGGAACCTGGAGCCTTGTCGTAGGTCCAGGGTGGTTAGGAGACGGCGAGACCCCAAACAAGCTGCGGCCGTTCATGGGGTCTGCAGTGCTTATGGTGTCAAGTGGAGTGCTTGGAGCCCTCGGGAAGCACTAGGAGCATCCTTCAAATGGAGGTACCCAGTCTGGGTGACAGGCGATCCGTTACAATATTACACTGGTAAGATCAGATTTTTTTATTTTTTATTGAACCACTCAGTCACAGAGCATTTCCTCCAGATGAAATTCAAGGAATCTCTCAGGTAACATCCTCATTCTTTTTCAATTAAATTAATAAGTACAGCACCACAATAATCATCACATCAAACCCCACCATCCTTTCCAAAACCACAGCAAACCATCCACCAAAATCTCCCTGCAAAAAAGTAACCATAAATCCTAAAGCACATCCATCAATCCATCCATACACAATTACCCCCCAATTTATGTAAAAAACAAACAAACCATAATATACACACAATATGTGCAAACATTTCACACTATCCAACATCGCCAATACCCACCAAATTTCTTCCTTTTAACACTAAATAAAAAACAAACCTATATACATTAATTTTATGTAACTAAGCACCATTTTTTCTAAATTTAAATCAGTTTACATAAACACATACAAATTACAAACCCCATTAACCACTATTTAACTGTACACACCATTTTTTTTAATGCTACATTTTTTTTATTTTCCTTTTTCTCCCATTACTCTTCCACTGAAATATATATAATTAAATATATTTACAATAATACGCCCGCCACCAGCTTCATGTCTACTGTGAGGATATTTATGGGGATTAATTATTATTATTTTCATAATTATTATTAATCTTTATTAATGTTACGGTACCTCCAGTAATAAATGTGGTCTGGTAGTGTATGCAGTATAACCATGCGAACCGCCAGCTAGGGAACACTCCAAACTCCCGAACGGTACCTGTACGGCTCCTTCCCTTCACGAGCTCCAAATGCACGAATCGCCACTAGCAGCCGAACGGCAATAGTTTCCAAGCGGCAAATAATCCCAATAAGCAGTCTCTAGTCGCCGGTAATAAAATCCCCCCAATAACGAGACCAAGCTCCGCTTTGAGGGTAAAACACGAACTGAGTTTACTGTGGGCTACCTGCCCGTATTTATGCAGGTCTCCCACTTGGTGGACACTCCCCTAGGGGACCAAATGGGAGACTGGAATAACAGAAGGACATGGGGACATTTTGGACATACATCCCCACAATATTCCCAGCATGCATCACAGTTCCCTCCCCTCTGCTCGGGAGATAATTGGGAAGTAATTCAATTATCTCCCAGAGCAGAGGCAAATCGCCATTTTAACTCAAAGTTATAAAACACATTAAAATCCATAACTTTATGACTGCCGAACGTATTGCATTCGTATAACATATCCCCAGATAGCCTGGATCTGAGTGCATATTATTGGCGAATAGTGCTCAGATCCCACACACATAGTTCAATCGCCATGAAGTCAAAGTCTATTACAGTTCTTCGGTATGCGATTGACTCCATGGGAAGGCTATCTGGGTTAAGTCCATTCGTGTTGTTAACTCTCCCGGACAGCCGGCATTTGTATGCTTTTGTCGATTGGGAGGGGGAGGTCGACGGCTTCAGCGGTGTTCAGTTGAAAAAGTGTCCGTTTTGAGTTCCATGAAATAATCGTCGAACACCGCTGGGCTTTCGCATAGTTAAAATGGCCGCCGCCTCGTGGTCGACATACAAACGACGACCACCCTGTATTCGGTTTTAATTGAGAAGTGTCTGTGGTTAACCGCAATGTTCTAATTGGGATCAATAGGTTAACCAGCAGCACACTTCTCTTCTGTGTGGCCGTCCGTTCGGTAGTTCCGTTCGACAAAAAAATACATTCCCTTAATCAAGGCATACGAATGGGGGAAATTCATGCAAAACGGCAAAACAGACGAACACAGCAATTTTAGTCTATATGGATGGGTCTGTCACAATTAAAATATCAGGGATTGATATTTTATTGGCGCTATTCCCATTTATTATTTAAAGCAAAGAGTTACTCACTATTTTAACTCTTCAAACCTGGCGTACATTGTTCAAATTTATTATTTTAAACATTATTTTAGTCAATAAGTGTAAATATACATGTGAATAGTTTTTCAATAATACTTAACAAGATATGGCATAGTACAGAATTGAAATTTCAAACTCTTTAGAGTGATGGGATTGTTAGTTTATGACACTTTCAATCAACCGGGTTAGCATATGGAATATGTTACTTCATATACAATTGATTGAGACAATCAGCAAATGGAATGTTACCCTGATAGGGGTCTTTGGTGATTCTGAGACAGTTTAATTTTAGTTACCATTAGACTAGTGTTTACTTTATTTCCTGGATCCCAGGCTGTACTACCGCTATCTCTTGGGAGGTCTGGGTTGTCTGTATAAGCAATACTGTATTAGGTTTTGTTACGAGATAGAACAATCTCATAGCGATCCACTATACCTATTGATCGTAAGTAGAGTTGAGCGGACACCTGGATGTTCGGGTCTGGCGGGTTCGGCCGAACTTTGAAAAAAAGTCCGGGTTCGGGCTTGAACTTGACCCCGAACCCCATTGAAGACAATGGGGACCCGAACTTTTGGGCACAAAAATGGCTCTAAAAAACTCCTGGAAAGGGCTAGAGGGCTGCAAAAGGAAGTAAAATGGGGGTAAAAGTAGGACAAGTGCCCTGCAAACAAATGTGGATATGGAAATCACTTAAAATAACTTAAAATAACCAGCCGCTTAGTAGATAACTTCTTATAACTCGGTATTAGGGAGCTATCTACCAAAAGGCCACATTTACTAATACTAAGTAAAGATTAATTAGTATTAGTAAATTCAGCCCCTACTCTCTATACCGTGAGTAGGGGTGTGTCTAGTAAACTGTGAGCAGCCTGTGCGATGGGTGGGGGCCTACGGTCCTCCCGCCCAGCCCCCACCCCTGAGTGGCGGGTGGGGGCCCTAATTAACGATAAGGGGGGGCTTACTGTCCTCCCCCCCGGCCCCCACCCCTGAGCAGTGGCTGGGGGGCATAAATAAGAATTTGGGGGGCCTACTGTCCTCCCCCCACCAGCCCCATCCCTGAGCGGTGGGTAGGGGCCATAAATAAGAATTTGGGGGGGCCTACTGTCCTCCTCACCAGCCCCCACCCCTGCGAGGTGGGTGGGTGTACTAAATAACAATAAGGAGGGGACCTGATGTCCTCCCCCCCAGCCCCCACTCCTGCGCAGCAGGTGGGGGCCCTAAATGACAATAAGGGGGGACCTAATGTCCTCCCCTTCAGGCCCCCACCCCTGAGCGGTGGGTGGGGGCCATAAATAAGAATTTCGGGGGGCCTACTGTCCTGCCCCCACCCCTGAGCAGTGGGTGGGGGCCATAAATAAGAATTTCGGGGGGCCTACTGTCCTGCCCCCACCCCTGAGTGGTGGGTGGGGGCCATAAATAAGAATTTGGGAGGGACCTACTGTCCTCGCCCCCACCCCTGCGAGGTGGGTGGGGGCCCTAAATAACAATAAGGGGGGGACCTACTGTCTTCCCCCCCAGCCCCCATCCCTGAGCGATGGGTGGGGGCCATAAATAAGAATTTGGGGGAGTCCTACTGTCCTCCCCCCATCCCCCACCGCTGCGCAGTGGGTGGGGGCCCTAAATAACAATAAGGGGGTGGACCTAATGTTCCCCCCCGCGGCCACCACCCCTGAGCGGCGGATGGGGGCCCTAAATAAAAATGTACCCCCCCCCCCAGGTGACTAGGATCCCCAAATCCTTAATCACCAGCCTCCACAAAAAAAATTACCCCTACCTTCCCCCCTCATCCTAAAAATAATGAGGGGGGACCCTTATCTAAATACCTGTAAAACAAATAAATAAAACTTACCATCTGATGTTTTCTTTCTTCTAAACTCTTCTTTTTTTCAGCCCCAAAAAAGGCCAAATAAAAATCTATAATAACCGAAGCACTTTAAAAAAAATAAAAATAAATATATATATATATTTTATTTTTTTTTATTTTTTTTTATAGGTATTTAGATAATATTTTTAGGATGAGGGAGGTAGGTAGGGGTAATTTTTTTTTTTTGGGGGGGGAGGGGTGTGACTGGTTTGAGGACCCCTAGACACCTGGGGGGGTAAATTTTTATTTAGGGCCCCCGCCCGCCACTCAGGGGTGGGGGCCATGGGGGAGGACATTATGTCGACCCACCCAATTTTTATTTATGGCCCCCACCCACTGTTCAGGGGTGGGTGCTGGGGGGGAGGATAGTAGGTCTCCCTCCCTTATTGTTATTTAGGGCCCCCACCTGCAGCACTGGGGGGAGGACAGTAGGTCCCCACCAAATTCTTATTTATGTCCCCCTCCCACCGCTCAGGCGTTGGGGCCGGGAGTACCTTAGGTCCCTTCCCCAATTTGTATTTATGGCCCTCACCCACCGCAGGTGGGTGCTCAGGAGGGGGGATTTTTTATTTTATTTTTAACAGTGAGCAGCCACAGGCTGCTCACTGTTTTATAGACATGCCCCTACTAGCTGGGTCACATGCTGCACTGGCCAATCACAGCCATGCCATTAGTAGGCATGGCTGTGATGGCTTCTAAGGGCATACGAGTCAAACGCTTGTTGATTGGCTGCCCTGCAGCCTTTCAAAACGCATCATTAAATCGCCGAACTCCAACCTGAACATACAGTGATATGTCCGTGTTCGGGTCCGGTGTCCAAAAAACCTAATGTTCGATACGAGCCCGAACTTTTCAGTTCGGGTTCATTCAACTCTAATCGTAAGCTTAGACCTTTAAGCTCATCCGCTCCCCACTTATTAGCAGTGTTGTACCATGCATCAGCAGATGTAGGTGCTTCGGCAACACCCTTGCCGTTATAAGTAGCTAGGTTGATGCACCTCGTGCAGCTATATTTTCTCCTGCACTGTTTACACACACATATGGGTGTTTCATTGATCACAAGAAGCACTGTGTATGTGGATAATTGACAATTTCTGTATTATTCTTTTAATTCTGTATTATTCTGTATTACTCAATTTAATTTTGGGGCGTATCCCACAGTTAATATCTATCATCCGATTTTGCATTTATCTTCAATTTTTATATTGAGTGTAACCTAGATTATTTCTACATAGTTACTGTGGATTGCAAAATTGTTTTTTGCACACACTAATAGGTAGAGGTCGCTGAAAACTTCTAAACAGGACCTTTTACCCCCCACATTTAACTATCTCTGTGTCAATGGATACTTTCAACATACTAGCTACTGTGAGGCTTCATAATAAGCAATAATCTGCATTATGCTTACACGGACTAGTTTATCTCACTAAGACTAGTGTACTAAGTAATAACCAGATCTGTGTTAATTAATATTCATGTCTCATCAGTAGACCGTGTATGTCTTTGGAACTCTTTAATTGACACACTTATAACTATTGACATTTGCAACAAGAATTATTACACATTGTTTCATTATCACTGGTATTAGATACAACAACGTTCTTTTACCTATCATTTTGATTACTGCAGCTGTAAGGTACGGACTGAGATGGAGAAGATATTCAACCATATTTCTTTCATTTTGTTACTAGATTATTACTTTACTATGATGATACTACCATTGTTACATATTGTTTACAACTGTAAAATGTTGTACTTGATGTTACATGTAGTTGGTTGATAGAATTGTGGTTGCCAAATACTTATTTATAGCAAATGGATAGCCTGCTCCATTCCCCCTGACCTCCCTCTCCCCCTGCTTGCCACTCCCAGCTGTAAATGCCTTTTAAGTAACTGTTTTATCTCTCTTCCTTAGCCCCAAGTCACCACACATCCCTGCATGAAGGCCATTTAATTTTGTTCATCAGGCACACTCCAAGAGTGTGCGTATCATAGTTGTGGTGGTGAAAGGGTTCAAGTTCATTATTTGTCTGCACTAGACCTGAAATAATGACAAAATCCCCCTTAACCCCACTGTTACGGTTGCCTCCAGGCTGGCTGGAGGTTGGACCGTAGAAAGGATGCTCCTAGCGCTCACCAAAGGACCATCAGCACCGTAGACTCCATAAGTACGGCAGACTCCAGAAACCGCCGCTGCTGGGCTAGGTCTGCTATCCCCCCTGGACCTACGACCAGGCTCCAGGTTCCAGTAGGTGAACCTCTTCCTTCTGTAGAGCGAAGCAGGCTCAGGAACAAGAGCTCTTACAAGAGCTCAGTAGCTAAAGGAGTATGAAGAGAATAGCAATCCCTGTAGTGATTATAGCTGTCCCCTACAAACATGAGTCAAGACTGCAAGTTAGAGGGTTAAGTCATTCTGTTTATTGACACCAAAAGAACCTTCTTTTATGCAGGTTTCCCTTAGATAGGACCACCCATAGGGTTTTACAAAACAACCAATCATACACGTATATTACAGAAACACTCCCAGCAATTACATACAAAAATCCTCCCCTCTGCCTGTGATATAATTATGTTACGCAATGGTTTAACATAATTAACACAGGCAGTAAAAATACAGTTTTTATACATATCCTGTAACTTTAAAACCACACATCCAATATTTAGAATCAGCAACCTTCAAATATATACATAATCAAAAATCAGCCAAATGCATCCAGGGGTTAAAAAGTTAGCTGGAGGTCCCTTTAGATTTGGACTGTGCGGTCGGTCTATTTCAGGCTGAAAAAACGACTAAGTCCCATTGCCGAATGGGACTTAGTCTCTGCGGCTGCAAAATCATTGTGGGAGAAGGTAGGGCTCAGAGGTGTTCGCGGAAATGTGTAGCCGATTTTAGTTCCATGAATTTGGCTACACATACCGCTGACCTCATGCGAATGATCAAAGATGGCCGCCGAGCATTGTCAATTAAGCTGCGGTTAACCACAGCTTCTGGGAGGTAAATTGCCGACACACTCCCAATACAGGTGGTCCGCCTGTGTGGTACTTGGTTCACTAAGCCCCATTTACTGAACTCAGTGGGAAATAGCTAGGCACAAAGGGTTTTAACCCGGTCTGGGGACACTGGGGACACCGTCTTAAAGGGGCAGTGTCCCAAACAATCCTGGGGACACTGTCTTAAAGGGGCAGTGTCCCAATCTTCCCAGTGCCCCAAAAAGGTGCTTAAAGGGCCAGCACCAGTCCCATAAAGAGTCCATACGCCCCAATATGCCCACTGACTGTCTTAAAGGGCCTTACACACCAAATAAAAGTCCATAAGTTTTCACAATCTCCCAGGGGCCATAGTCATGTGGAAGGAGGCTGGCAAATAGACTTCTCCACAACCCAGGGAAGCAGGGCAATTTGTCATTTAAAGGGCCAGTTACAAATAACAGTTTGTAACACCCACCAACACTTAAACATAATAATATAACTTTTACTATTCAAGGCCACCACCAAGACAATTTATAAATGGGGTGACTTTGTCCCACAGGTAAATCAATAATAAAAACCCACCAAATATTACTTAGCACAATATCTATGTAATTGCAAAATACTGATTAGTCTCTTCAGGTACGTGATTCTTAACCAGAGAAAGGCAGAACTTAATAAATTAATATTTATTATGAGAAAAAAATAGTCAAATAGTCACAGTGCATGCAAAAATATATGATAAACAAATTATTTACACCAACAACAGATAAAAACAAAAAGGATAAAATATCAGAAGTCCTTACTCAATTAGGTTTTCAAAGTAAAACTTCTCCCCAGGGGGTCTTTGGCAAGAAAGGATGATGGTGACTGTAACGGATCACCTGGCACCATACTGGGTACCTCCGTTAAAGGATGCTCCTAGCACTTCCTGAGGACTCCAAGCACTGCAGCAGACACCAAAACCACCGAACCGTAGGAGCATATGAATGCTCTCAAGCATATGAATGTTGTATACAGCCGAATAGGAAAAACCATGCAAATAGGTTTACACTCCTAGCAGTCAAACTGGAACAGCATACAATAAATCCTCCCCCAATAATGAGACGACACTTCACTTTGAGGGTTAAGCAGGAACTGACTGTACTGGCACATACAGCCTCTTTTATTCCCAATCCACAAACTTAGTACTGCCCACAGGGTTTTACAAAACAACCAATCAATCTGTACAATACACACAGACACTCCCACACAAAATCCTCCCCTCTGCCTGTGATACAATTACCTTACACAATGGGTAATCTAATTATCACAGACAGAGGAATACAGTTTCATAAAACACATCACAGGGACCCCAAAACACGCAATAACCCCATAAAAAGTATATCCTTGGAACCAGGGGATCTGGGTGAACCACATATCCAAAATACAGTTTAATGCAGATTCCACAGAACATATACAGGCTAACTGAAAAACAATCACTGTATAATGTGTCCCCTGCTGTATAGTCCTAAACCACTGAAGGATGTCTCTGTGCACCAAATACTGGCGAGATGGCACCGTGTTGAAAAGTCCAAACAGTGTCTGTGAGTTAAAATGGCCACCATCCATTGTTCTCACCATGTGCTTCTGATACAGGAAATGGTGGCCACCCAGTGACTCCACAGTATGTCCCCAGATGGTTCTTAAAGGGCCAGCAGCAGCACAACACAAATCCATTATGCCCAAATTATGTCTTTAAAGGGCAATACATCCCAGAGGCCATAGTCACATGGCAGGAGGCTGGCAATCAGTCTTCTCCAATGCCCAGTGGCGAGGTCAGTTTCGCCACAGTGACTGTCAGGAATAGCTGATGCCCAACAGACAGAACTTAGGATTTTTCTTAATATCTACTTAAGACATATTACCAGGCCTTAGAATGGCTGGATTTAATGTATAGAGGAAAAAAAACACAAGACAGGATAAAGACAAGACGTAGAAAAAACGGAAACAATGAAGAAGCCACGAGTCAAGGAATGGAGAATTCAGAATAGTCAGGAGCCAAGCCAAAGGTCAAGAAATACAGAGATAGGTGAAAGGGAAGCCAAGGTCAAAACACTAGAATCAATACCAGGAACGCACTCTTGGACAACCACAATGAAAACCACGACAGGGCACAGAGAAATGGATAAAACAGGTTTAAATAGTCTGAGTCACTCCCTGATTGGCTGCAGGGAAGCATGTGGTTGTGGGCGTGTGTGTGTAACACACCCACAGATCAATCATGAAATGGCATTTTAAGGGTTAACTGAAAAACCCTTAGGTTTAACAAAGCTGCAGCAGCCGGCGTCTCTAATGTTTACAGACCCGGCCGCTGTGAGAGGAGGAGGAGCCATCATCAGGGATGAGTGATGGGCGGCATTCCCATAATCATGTGGGAATGCCGCCGGACCGAGATGTGCCCGCTGTTTCAGACCACTCCCTAGTATGAGTGGACCCGGCAGATGACGGCCAGACAGGTAAGAGACCGGTGGCATTCCCCTTAGCATTTGGAAAAGCCACCACAACGAAGCGTGACAGTGACTCACTCAATATTAGATCTTGCCCAAGCAAGTACACAGTTTCTTTAGAGATATACCCTGTGGATTACCATGCCTCACCCAGAGGTGGAGATAAGGCATATCTATAGAGACCCTAAGTGACCACCCCCTTGTGTACAGATCCACATCAATCCAAATGGAAACATTTGACTCTATCTTCTCTTATGTATGCGCCACAGAAATAATAATTGCATTTATGAATTTGTTATTATTTTCCCATTCTAGATATATGTCGCATGCCGGCCTTGCAATCCAATAAGACGGACGTCACAATTCCTTCCCCTATGGTCAAGTTAGGCCACTCATGTTTGGGCTTGTTTAGACGATGGTGCTTGTCACATTCCACATATAACAAAATGAGGCTTAATTATTATTCTGTGGGTACGTATTAATGTTTCTCTTGGATATGATACTGGAACACAAGGTTCTTCATGAAACTAATACCATTACCATATCAAAGGATTGAACTGTCAATTGAGAGTGCCAGGCCATATGGTCAAAGTCAGTTAGTTTATATTGAAACTAGACATACAGGCAGCTCAAGTGTAAAATGTCTCACCTTGCAGGGCCTTTGATAGATCAAAAGGGCAATCATTTTCACATCTTGCAGAAGCCCCTTTTGATCAAAAGAGCTATTTCTCTCTGCCATTTGTCCTCTACCAGGGGTCAAATTATTGATGCACTACAGAAGTTATATTAAATAGCAATATTCTATAGTGCAACAATGAATTATGTACCCTTGCCATGACAGGGGACACCCCTGTCTCACGCTGGAACAAATGTTAAAACTTTCAGTCAACCAGCCATTCATCTGCACTACACTCTCAACATTTGTATACAGACATCTAATCATATTTAGCAATTTAGTTGGGATTCCCATTCTCTCCAAAACTTGAAACCTAAAATCATGTGCCACTCTATCATACGCTTTCTCAAAATTTTCTTTTGTTACAACAGCCACTTCTTGCTTTCTTTCCTTACAAAACCACATAACATCTCTCAAACCTATCAAACACTCATTAACCAGTCTCCCAGGAACAGCACAAATGTGTTCCTCACCTACCATACTCTCAATCACAGTCTTAATTATATTTGCAATAAAGGTTGCAATGATTTTATAATCTACATTCAACAGTCATTGGTCTCCAATTTCTCAAATCACATTCATCCCCCTTTTAAAAAAAATTAAAACAACCACTCCTTTTCTCATTGATTTTGACTTTCTACCTTCATTTAAAACAGATTTACATACTTCTATAAAATCATCTGCAATCACTTCCCAACACATTCGATAAAATTTAACATGCAATCCATCACACCCAGGCGGTTTATTCAATTTAAATAATAGTAAATAGATAATAGTATTTTTTTAATTAATTCTTATCAAAACATTTACTAAACATACATCATCTTCCCAAATTCCTTTTTCAATATTTACAAATACTTCTTTCAAACTCACATATCTCTTTTTTACTTTGTTCTATTCTTCATAAAATGCAAAAACATAATTCAACATCAACTTTTTCTCACGTACAATAACCCCATCTTTCTGTAAAACCCCTTCTATTCCTTTATTACATACAAACATCTTTTAAAAAAAGAACCTTGTGCGCTTTTCATCAAACTCCAAAGCATCGAATTTAGCAGCAAACCCTATTTTTCTACCTCTTTCATCCAAACATTTGTCTATTTTCTCTTTGCAGCCTCCAATTCATGTTCAACTTCCCAACCCAACTCTCTCAATTTACATAATCAATACATGTTCTCCATTTATCCCAACATTCTCTTTCCCTTCTAGCCTTTTCCGGCGGTGAAAAGGAAGATGTTGTCGCAGTCTGCTGTGGGACTCTGCTCAAAGACGGGTTCCTTTCAGAGGCTGTCCCCAGACTTGGTGTTGCAGATATGCAAGAACCAGCTGTGCAGCATCTAGCTGGTGAGTAAAATAGTTAAAAGAGTAGTGTTATGGGCAAATGCAAATATTACAAGTTTTAGAATGAAATGTATTTCTTTTTATTTTTACATTCTTTATTTTTGTAGTGCAAGCAAAGAATACAGGCTGATCTGCAATACCACAACAGCATGAGCAGGCAATGTTTGTTACAAGACAGTACAGTGAAATGGCGTTTGTTAAATCTGCACAATTTTTTAGTAGCTGATTTTATAAACTTCTTAGGTGACATAAGTTATGTTATGTGCTAGTCAAGATAGGATTGTAGCTGTTTAAGTAGTGAACGTTAGTGCTGGGCATATGTGGATACTGTGTCATTTGCAATTTCTGTGCTTTGATACACCTAGTGAGGGTAGTAAACCCCTAAGTGGATGCTTGCAGGTCTATTATAACGTAAGAATATTAAACTGTGATTAGGCTTAGACAGTGCTTAAACCAGGCTATTGACAACACATGTTGTGCATATATATATATATAACAGTAGTTATACAAACAGACTAGTGTACTTTGGTTATACATGGCATACAGGCTAGGTCTTGTGAATTCATTGTAATACAAATATGCAAATATCATCCGGGCCGATCAGAGCCACCCGTGTTGAAATGTTGTATTTCTTAAACTGTGTACGTTGTCTATAAGAGATATTGCAAACTGACAAGGTGTTAGAATGGAACATATTGTTTTTCATACAATGTTTCTTTAATAGATGACCTCTTACCCATATTTAGGGAATAAGATGTTCAGACTTTAGGAAGCCATCTTGTTCAAAGTTAGTGAAAATTCCCCAAATCTGGGAATTTACCATGACGTGTGCACTTACATTTTAGTTATGACCTTGTATCTTTGCCAAGTTAAGGGAGGTCTTAAAATGAACATCTAAGATATAAATACGTGTACCTTTTAAATGTTAGTTACAAAGATGAGAGATTTGGAGACAGACGCTCCATCTTGTAATGACAGAGAGGCTGACATAATCACATGTTCAGGAGGGTATGTTTATCTATTAAGATATTGCAAGCATTTAGTTTAATCTTATATAAAATCCATTACAATAATTTATAGCACAGTTTGTCTATGTTTATATTTTTATGTAATAAATATATAAAAAGACAAAACTTTATTGCTTCCAAGACCATCCTTATTTTATATTGTATTCTCAGTTATTTATATATTTATTTATTTAATTTTTTATTTTTGTTGTGCGCGTAGGTACAAAGTTTCCACAAACACCACAACAGCGTGAATCAACATATATGAACAAATAAATGAGTTTGACAGGGGCATGCGTAGTCGCACATTTTTTCTTTTCTATATGTATGCAAGGTTCAACATTTATTGCCCACAGGTAGAGATGAGCTGACACCTGGATGTTCGGGTTCGGCCGAACTTCTGCAAAAAGTTTGAGTTCATACTCGAACTTGACCCCGAACCCCATTGAAGTCAATGGGGACCTGAACTTTTGGGCACTAAAATGGCTCTAAAAAAGTCCTGGAAAGGGCTACAGGGCTGCAAAAGTAAGTTTGGGAGAAAGAGTAGGACAAGTGCCCTGCAAACAAATGTGGATAGGGAAAGAACTTAAAATAACATAAAATACATAAAAATTTAAAATAATAATCTTGAACTAGGAGGAGGAGGTGGATGTGGAGTAGGAAATTGAGGAGGCGGTGACCGTGGCGGTGTAGGTGGAAGCGGTGGTGGAGGAGGTAGCCAACACTGTTTTTTATTTGTTTGTTCGTTTTCTTTCTTTCTTTTTTTTTTTTTATTGGGGTAGCCCCCAAAATATTGGGACATATAAAAAACAAAAAAAACAAAGAATAAGTGCACTTGAGTATAACAATGGCTGGGTGAGGCCGGTATAAATGTCTATTCTGCACAAGGTACAGACAAGTCTGGTGGGAGCCATGCCTGGTTCATTTTAATAAACGTGAGCTTGTCCACGTTGGCTGTGGACAGGCGGCTGCAGTTGTCTGTGATAACGCCCCCTGCCGTGCTAAACACCTGTTCAGACAATACACTGGCTGCAGGGCAGGCCAGCACCTCCAAGGCATAAAGGGCAAGCTCAGGCCATGTGCCCAATTTGGAGACCCAGAAGTTGAATGGGGCAGACCCATCAGTCAGTACGTGTAGGCGTGTGCACATGTACTGTTCCACCATGTTGCTGAAATGCTGCCTCCTGCTAAGGCGTTCAATATCAGCTGGTGGTGCTGGTTGTTGTGGCGTGCTGACAAAGCTTTTCCACATTTCGGCCATGCTAACCCTGCCTTCTTAGCATGGCCTTCTGAGGTGCTGGTGGTGCCCCAGCTGTGTCGGCAACCTCTTCCTCCTCCTCTGCCTTCGCCTTGTGCTTCCACTGAGCCCCCAGTGTCAGTTGGGAATGCCCTCAGCAGCGCGTCTACCAGCATGCGCTTGTAGTCGCGCATCTTCCGATCACGCTCCAGTGAGGGAATTAAGGACGGCACGTTGTCCTTGTAACGGGGATCCAGCAGGGTGGCCACCCAGTAATCAACACAAGTTAGAATGGCAGTCGTTGCGCAGGAACTGCAGCATGTAGTAGTTCATGTGTGCCAGGCTGCCCAGAGGCAAGGACAAGCTGTCCTCTGTGGGAGGTGTATCATCTGTGTCCTCCATATCCCCCCAGCCATGCTCCAATGATACCCAATAGCTGCGTTGGGTGCCACCCTGCTGTGAACATGGTTCCTCCTCCTCATCCTCCTCTTCCTCATCCTCCAGAACTGTGCCCTGGCTGGACAATTGTGTACTTGGCCTATGCTGGTGCAGGAAACCATCCACTTGTAAATGACTGGCCTGATAACCATGGAAATGAACCCTCTTTCTCCTCCTCTTCCTCCTGTTCCACATCCTCTTCCATCATCGCCCGAAGCGTTTTTTCAAGGAGACATAGAAGCGGGATAGTAAGGCTGAGAGCGGCGTCATCAGCACTGGCCATGTTGGTGGAGTCCTCGAAACAGCGCAACATGGCACACAGGTCTCGCATGAAGGCCCACTCATTGGTGGTGAAGTGGTGCTGTTCCGCAGAGCGATTGAACCGTGCGTGCTGCAGCTGAAACTCCACTATCGCCTGCTGCTGCTTGCACAGTCTCTCCAGCATGTGCAAGGTAGAGTTCCACCTTGTGGGCATGTTGCATTAAAGGCGGTGAGCTAGAAGGCAGAAGCTACGCTGCAGCGCAGACAGGCGAGCAGCAGCAGGGTGAGAATGCCGAAAGCGTGCACAGACGGCCCGCACTTTCTGCAGCACCTCTGATATATCTGGGTAGTTTTTCAGGAATTTCTGCACCACCAAATTCAGCACATGCGACAGGCAAGGGATGTGCGTCAAACCGGCTAAGCCCAGAGCTGCTACAAAATTTCGCCCATTATCGCACACCACCAGGCTGGGCTTGAGGCTCAGTGGCAACAACCACTCATTGGTCTGTTTTTCCATGCCTGTCCACAGCTCCTGCATGGTGTGGAGTTTTTCCCCCAAACATACTTGTTTTAAAACAGCCTGCTGTCATTTCCCCCTGGCTGTGCTGAAGTTGGTGGTGAAGTTGTTACGCTGACCGGATGAGGGGGTGATAGAGGAGGAGGAAGCGGAGGAGGAGGAGGTGGCAACAGGAGGCAAAGAGAAATGCCCTGCAATCCTCGGTGGCAGAAGGACATGCATCAAACTGCTATCCGCCTCAGGCCCAGCCACCAGTACATTTGCCTAGTGTGCAGTTAGGGAGATATAGCGTCCCTGCCCCAGCTTACTGGTCCATGTATCAGTGGTTATTTGGACCTTGTCACAGATGGCATTGCGCAGTGCACACCTGATTTTGTCTGCCAATTGGTTGTGCAGGGAAGGGATGGCTTGCCTGGAAAAGTAGTGGCGGCTGGGAACGACGTACTATAGGACAGCCACCGCCATCATGTTTTTAAAACTTTCTGCCTCCACCAGACTGAATGACAGCATTTCAAAGGCCAGGAATTTTTAAATGCTGGCATTCAGGGCCAGGGATTGCGGGATCTCTCAGCTGAACGCTTCTATGGGACAGTATGGAGATACTTGGGGACGGTGATGGATGTGGTGGAGTTGCTGCCACATCCTCTGTTTGCAGGGTGGCAGGTGCCACTGTCACTCCAGAGGTGGAGGAAGAGGCCGAGACAGCAGCAGAAGAGGAAGCAGGAGGAGCCTGAGACCTTTCTTGATTTTTGAGGTGCTTACTCCACTGCAGCTCGTTCATTGCATGTAGATGCCTGGTCATGCAGGTTGTGCTCAGGTTTAGAACGTTTATGCCTCGCTTCAGGCTCTGATTGCACAGCGTGCAAACCACTCATGTCTTGTCATCAGTACATTGTCTGAAGAACTGCCACGCCAGGGAACTCCTTGGAGCTGGCTTTGGTGTGCTCTGTACCTGGGTGCGGTGGGCAGTAGCAGGCGTACCGTCTAGGGGAGGGCCGCTAATCTTTTGCACCCTGCTCCCTCTTATGCTGTGCTGGTGCCTCTGTGTGACCACCGCCTCTTCCTCCACGCTGGACATGTCACTCGCATGACCTTGATTCCATGTTGGGTCTAGGACCTCATCATCCTCCACATCATCCTCCACATCATCTTCCACCCACTCCTCAACCCTGCCCTCATTGCCGGTCTGCACAATGCAGAAAGCCACAGCAGTTGGCACCTGTGTTTTGTCATTATCAGAGACGTGCTGCGGTGGTCCTTGCATGTCCACATCCTGAAACATAAGTGGTTGTGCATTAGTGCACTCCATCTCTTCCACTTCTGGGGTAGGGCTAGGTGCATGGCCCACGGAAACCCCACCAGCAAAGCCATCAAAAAGCATAAGAGACTGCTGCATGACTTGTGGCTCAGACTGCTTGGCTGATTTTACAAGTGGCTGAGGTCAAAGACAGATGACCATGGGCTGCAGGTGCCAACGCTGAGCTTTCAACAGGGGACCGTGTGGGAGACAATGTGAAGGAACTGGAGGCACTGTCAGCCATCCAATCTACTATCGCCTGTACTTGTTTTGGCCTCACCATTCGTAGAGCGGCATTCGGGCCTACCAAATAATGCTGAAGGTTCTGTCGCCTACTCGCACCTGAGGAAGGTGTTTCACTTGTGCGTGTAGCTCAACAGATCAACCATGTCCTCTCCCTGCAACAGGAGCTCCACCAACACCACCAGCACCACGACCAGGGCCACGTCCCTTATATGACACTCTCCTCATTCTTTGCGTTCACCCACCAAACTAACAGATGGTTTAAATTAGAATTTTTCAAAGTGCGGTGTAACCACAGTATTTGACGGTTCTATTTGACTCTCAGATATGAAGTGCATGCCACAAATGTACTTTTTAGCACCCCAAAAATTTGAATTGGTCAAACTGCGATGTAACCACAGTATTTGGCGGTTCTATTTGACTCTCAGATATGAAATGCACGCCACAAATTTACTTTTTAGCACCAAAGTAATGTGAATTTGTCAAACTTCAATATCACAGCAGTATTTAAAAATGCCTAGACGTTGCCCACTGAGCTACCAGAACAGGATTAAAGTAATGTGCCTGGCACACATGCAGTTGCAAGTGCCCACCTAACAAACAGACTGATTTCTTATTTCTCTGTGGCACTGGGCTCAGGGCAGGGTACAGGTAGCACCCACAAAAATAATCGCTGTAGTTTGCAGATTCAACACCAGAATTATTTCCTAATCTGTCCTTCACAGCTGCAGCATCCTCTCCCTACACTATTACGAGCTCATGTGACTCCAGCTTACATAGAGGCTGGGTCACATGCTGCACTGGCCAATCACAGCCATGCCATTATACAAATATATCCGGGGCCAATACAAATTATCTGGAAATCTATTCACAAGGAAAGGTCTTTTTTTACAGTAAGAACAATAAAGATGTAGAATTCTCTGCCTGAGAAGTGGTTTTATCAGAATCTATACAGATGTATAAACATCAACTGGCTGCATACTTGCAAAAACATAACTTTCAAGGATATAATTTTTAAATTGTGGGGTAATAGCTTCTTGATCCAAGGATAAAACTGATTGTCATTGTGGGGTCAAGAAGGCATCTTTCCATAGTTTGTTGCAAAATTGGAAGTGCTTCAACCGGGCGTGGGGCAGTTGCCTTTTTTTGGATCAACAGCAAATAACACATGTGAGAGAGGCTGAACTTGATGGACCCATATCTCTTTTTAGCCTATGTAACTATGAATCACCAAAGTCAGTTGTTTCTCCACTGGGTGAAGACTGTAACTAGAACTGCGGAGAAGACACATAATGGTTTAGCAGAACTAAAAATTGGTTGTGTA